TACAAGCTTCTCAAACAAAAATTTCGCCTTCTCCACACACTTTCACGCAAATCTGCACTCATCTGCAAAAAGTACAGCAGACAATCGTCCAATGACCAATGGCTTTGTTCTCGAGCAAATGCGAGCCGTGTTCTGGTTATTTTGGCCCTCTTACGGGGTGAAAAGCCATCACTCCATATTGATTTAAACTTCTTCGAGCAGTGCGTTCAGAAATATGGACACCTCGAAATTCCTGGAGCTGATGAATCGCTTGAACAACAGTAAGATGCCGGTTTCGCCAAATTCTCAAAGTCAAAAAACGGTCATTTCTGTGGTTCTGTTACCCTAGGGCGTCCAGAATTGTGGTCTATCGAAGGTCTCAGTTTCTCGAAAACTCGTCTCTCAGTTCGTAGGGAACTCTGATGGCAACAGTCGCACACCTGATGGAACGCCCATCAACAATAATTGCCACACCACGCGCAACATCCTCAGCCCTAAGTGCCATTTTTAAGTTTAAAAATTTAAATTAAGAAAACAAAGATGAAAACGAAACAGTTTATTGCTACAGAATCCAAATGAGACTGAACAAACATTTTAAATTCCGTAGAAGTAAATATTGAAAAATACTTTATCCTTGTTTTGGATTAAGGATTGGATTTCCCTCTAATTGATATTACCAATTTAAAACATTGCATAAACAAATATTTATTGATAAAAACAATGAGACCAATTAAGGGCAGAATTTTCTATTATCGAGAAAATGACAAAAAAATCAATTTGGTGGAATTTTTTGTCTGTGAGTGAATAAAAACAAGTGTTAAAAACTACCCATATGAAGTCGGAAAATAAATAGAAACACTCAAACACGTATTCGAATCTAACCGATAATCGAAACAAGTGGCATAGAGCATGCCTGAAAATACGACTTTCACATGGTATTCAGCCTTGTGCGTCTAAAGTGTTTGGCACTGGGCGGCCAGCCACATTGCCAATTCAGCTAAATTTAAAATGATTTCAAATTTTATTTATAAAAAATGCACGATAAGGCGCAAGATGGACATTGTTAAAAAAATATATTTTGTGTGAGTGTAGTTGTCTACTCTTATTAAAAATGGACGAGGAAAGAAACCTAAGAGTGTTACTATGTCAGCGATTCCCCCCCCCCCAGAAAATAAGCAAAATTTCGTTTTTCGTATTCGTAACTTTCATATTTACGAGAATTCTGTTAATGGGCCACATTTAGTTTCAATTTAATTTTGCCAATCATCCATTAAATAAGTGGCCCCATTCCAATCGTAATTCTGTGCGGTGTTTCCGTTGTATTAATCGTCCATTCTCGGTTTGATCGTGTCCCATTTGCTCACATCATTCGACGTAGTTTATTGCAAACTATTAATTTTTAGACGTTACAACAAGAATTATTCGTTAAATACTAAGCAATTATGTAAATGTAATTCCCTTCTTGTGTAACATTAAAACTGAGGGTAATCTCAGCAGCTGGTTACTCGCAATTATGCAGTTTTGACATCTATTACTCAAATCTTCGAATTAATGCATTTTCATATGCGAGCGACCCAGATAGAATTACATCGTACTATGATTTTTTGACCAATTTTAATACAATACATAAAATCATAGCACACTTAACAAAATTATCTATCGGACAATTTAGGGTTGTTACTATGTTTCACACAGTTATTGGATGTTGCAACCGGTTTCGCTTTATTATTAAACATCATCAGGCCGCTACAATAATCAATTAACATAATTATTTGTCATGCTACATTGAAATAATAATAAGGCGAAACCGGTTGCAACATGCAAAAAACTCTCAAAGAAGTGGTGTGAAACATCCTCACAACCCTAAATTGTCCAACATATCCACAACATAACATTATTAATATCTGTGGAATGGTACCATAAAAAAATGAAAACATGGCCTACATCTAGTTGAAGTATATTTACATATATACAGTAGAGGTAATACATAATGAAAATGAAAAAAATACATTACGTAAATGAAAATAATAAATGCAATTATGATTACACTTAAACTTAACTTAAAAAAAATTATCATCTATAGAAATTAACTTAAAAAGCAAAGGCTTAAATTTTTTATTAAAATCAATTATAATTTCAATCTAAGGTCTTGGATGAGATGAAAAAACAAGTGTCTCAGGCGGGATTCGAACCCACGACCTTCGATAGGTCAAGTAGTTAGAGCAGCGGCGTATTGAGCCGAAGGTCGCGTGTTCGAAACCCGTTCTAGATAGTTGCTTTTTCATCTCAACCAAGACCTTAGATTGAAATCATATTCTTGTGGTTCTGTCAAAGACCATCTACTAACAATAACCAACTCTTTGCGACTCTCCATTGAAATTCCCGCCCACGACATCACTGAGCTGGGTTGAAAAGGTTGGCTCGGGGAAAAATTACAAGCTTCTCAAACAAAAATTTCGCCTTCTCCACACACTTTCACGGCCATTTGGAGATCATAGAGCAAATCTACATAAATCTGTAAAAAGTACAGGAGACCAATCGTTCAAAGACCAATGGCGATGTTCTCGAGCAAATGCGATCTGTGTGTTCTGGTTATTTTGGCCCTCTTCCGGGGTGAAAAGCCATCAGTCCATACAGATTTCATCTTCTTCGAGCAGTGCATTCAGAAATTTGGACTCCTCGAACTTCCTGGAGCTGATGAATCGCTTGAACAACAGTAAGGTGCCGATTTCGCGAAATTCTCAAAAAACTGTCGTCCTGTGGTTCTTTTACCCTATCGGGCCTTCTATGGTAGGACCCAATTTCTCGAAAACATCTAATGGCGTCTCGCAGAGTTTCGTAGGGAACTCCCATGGCAATAGCCGCTTACCTGATGGAACGTCCATCATCAACAAGTGCCACAACACGCACAACATCCTCAGCACTAAGTGGCTTTTTTAAGTTTAAAAATTGAAACTAAGAAAACAAAGATGAACAGTTTATTGCTACTGAATTCAAATGAGACTGAATAAACATTTTAAATTCCGTAAAAAATAAACACTGAAAAATCCTTCATCCTTGTTTTGAATTAAGTATTAAATGCGTTTACCTCTCTCTAATTGATATTCCCAATTTAAAACATAGATAAACAATAATTTATTGGTAAAAACATGAGACAAATTAGGGGCAGAATTTTCTTTTATCGAGAAAAAAATCAATTGGGTGGAATCTTTTGCCCGTCAGTGCATATGTATTTTTGTTGTTATATTAATTACAACATACTTAATGTTAGCCGAATTAAACGAAATCGGAAATTTAGTTATTATGTTTGAAATAAAATTCACCAAAGCACTGGAAAATCAATTAATGATAGTTTAAAATTTAACTAATAATTTATTACCTGGTTAATAACGCATTAAGAGCAAAACCAGGCAATAAATTGTTAGTTAAATTTATTCTACTACTAAGTGATTTTCCGCCGTTTTGGGTCAATTTTCTTTCAAACCATCATAATTAAATATTTTAAAATTAAAATCCGATCTCGTTCAATTTGTTTTTCATTAAAAGAAGTTTAATTATTTATTATTATTATAGTTTAAATAAAGAACAAAATATGAGTCTGTATGTTTTTAAGTATATTTTGGAGTTAATTTTTGATTTGTAGTTTTTTGTCTGTTATTTCCATGATCAAACTCTTGGTTTTATATTGAACGTTGAAATGTCAGAAGCACCTCAACACGACCGAATGACCAAATATTTGAGCACTACTAGTGACCACGACAAATAAAGGCGAGTAACTTAAAATAATGAATATAAATTATATTGTATGTAATCGTAATTCATCGAGAACAAAGCTCCTTCCGACTGTGCGATAAGAGTGAATCGATGATGTAAGGGCTTTAAACTCAGACGTGTGAAATGCATCGACTGTTAAAAGTCCTTTGATTATAAATATGATATTTAAGAAAGATATTGAAGAAGTTCAATTCCAGCCGTGGATTCAGGCCTAGGGAGGAAAGATGTAATGACAGATAAACGAAACGTCCAAAAAGAAACGTACAAACAAAACTTAATTCCGACATTTCCCCTTGGTCTGTGTGGCGATCAAACTAATTTGGTCATTTCCGATCATTTCGGCTAGGCCAGTTTTGGCTTCTAGCCATCTTCACTGGTCGGCCTGAAACATCGAGGATCGTAAACGACCAAACAATAAAATTACATACATCAAATGAAAAATAATTGTTTTCAGACGATTCTTATTTACACAGCCTGGTTACTATTATTTTCTTTAGCCACAAATTGACAAAAATCGCAAGTGTTTGATTTCAAATAATTAATATACATGATTTGTATAAACATGTATTATAATGATAATTCCTCAGAGGTTAGTGTAACCAATTAAAACTTTAAAAAATTTCTGCAATTTTTTTTACGCTGAACAAAAGTTCATTTTCATTGTTAATCTCATCAAAAAAATAAGCTTCCTCCGACTCAGAACGTGTGTTGAACCCCTTTAACTGCAAATATATTATCGTAATAATAATGAGATTAGTATGGAAGCTAGAGGTGGATTTTTAGTCTGGTGGCGATGGCCAGGGCTAAGGGCGAGCCTGTTGGGAAAGAGAATGCACGGTGCGTCTGGAGAGAATCAGCTGTTCTGGATTTCTCGCCAGATCCGTCGCCTTGGAAACGCGTCCACATCCCATGCGAAGTTTTATGCACAAGGCATGTATGATCTTAATTAAAGGGTAAATTTAACGTCGCCATTGAAAATATATTTTCAAACCTTTTCCCGACGAATACTCGGTTTTTCCAATAAAAATAAATAAATAAAATAAAATAAAGATAATATCGCATATCTTAACATTACAGCGGATTCAGCTTCATACAATCGAAAATCTTACATCCCAAAATTTTCTCAATTTTTAAATATACAAATCTCTGAAATAACATGATAGATATCTTTATGCACAATTGTACGTTACAGATGTATTACATATAGTAGAAAATAAATGAGAAATGTTCTAGACGCAGGTACTCACACATGAGTCATGACGTTACCAGATAGGCAGAACGTACATACTAGGGGTGAAAGACAGGCGAACACTGACCTGCAAAGCGATGCCAACCGCTTTTCATGCGACAATAAACTAAGTCACGGCGCATGCGTAGCTATCGCTCCCTTTCGTTAATGGCTTTGTGCATGCACACAGATTTTTTTTTTAAATGAACCATCTGATTGTAATATGACCCCCTGCTTAGTTTTATTTGTAGGGAAAGGAAAGCCAGAAGGTTGAAAAAAGCGAAAAAATAAAATCTTTTGTTTAAATTCCGACTGATAAGATTCGGCAAAGACTGTGTACATTTTTTTGCCCTTATTTCTAAAGCGTGTCTAAAATATGGCTGAAATGAGACAATGGGTAACTTCAGACGGTTTTCCCCACCCTTATAACTTCAAGAGTGGATCCATATATACATTTATTTATTTATTTATTTTTTTTTTTGAGGGGGGTTGGGTATTCTAATTACTTCTTTCTATTTTATTTGAAGACAATATCTTGTTTGGTAAGGATGAATCAACGTAATAAGCAGTGTTTAAAATATGGCTGAAATGAGACAATCGGTAACTTCTGACGGATTTCCCCACCCTGATCACTTTATGGGTGTATCCATATATACCTTTTTTGGTTTGGGTATTCTCATTACCCATGTTTTTCAGTTTTAAATTGGGAAATTTAATATGAAAGACATCTTGTTTGATAAGGCTAAATCAGCGTAATAAGCAGTGTCTAAACTAAGGCTGAAATGAGACAATGGGTAACTTCTGACAGATTTCCCCACCCTTATAACTTCAAGAGTGGATTCATATATACATTTATGTTTTTTTATTTTTTTGAGGGGGTTGGGTATTCTAATTACTTCTTTCTATTTTATTTGAAGACAATATTTTGTTTGTTAAGGATGAATCAACGTAATAAGCAGTGTCTAAAATATGGCTGAAATGAGACAATGGGTAACTTCTGACAGATTTCCCCACCCTGATAACTTCGCGAGTATCCTCCATAAATGCATTTTTAAAATTTTTTGGGGAGGGTTTGGCAATTCTCGTTAACAATGTTTTGTAGTTTTAAATTGGGAAATTTAATTTGAAAGACAATATCTCATTTGATAAGGCTGAATCAGCCTAATAAGTAGTGTCTAAAATAAAAGCTGATTGCTTGTCCTGCCTGCAGGCGTATACCTATTCACCCAATATCAAATATTTAATAGAAAATTGTAAACAATTATCAACAACTGGCAAGAATTTGTTTTCCAGTTAATTTTCTTTCATTGAAAATATTTGTTTCATATGTCATTTGCCTACATTTCTAATTTCTTGTTATTTCCAAGTAAATACCTGTTTTTAAAATGTGTTTTCAACATTAACTTTTTTCAAAGCAATTTGATAGGAGGCTGTAGATATTATAAATAAACATTTTTAATCTACTTTTGATTTTTTGATGGTGTCCTGATTTTGTGGAACTGCAAAATAACATGATCGGTTGGAAATAAATAGTCTTTTCCACAATATATATTTATTTTGTCAGACATGTTTCAGTCTAATATAAACCATCTTTTTATATAAAGTGGTTTGACAGTTTTTTTATTGTTTAATAAATTCAAAAGTGGATGTCTGGGCAACTATTATGAACTTTTCTGAAGATTATTTCTTTCCAACCCATCGCCTTACTTTTATTTGATTAAATTCAATTAGTGTGGTCGTAAACACTGGTAACAAAGAAACCAAAGTTTAATAACAAAATATATTTGTACATATTTACAGTAAAATAATAGTTTAAAGAAAATATGTGGCTCAATATGAGCCAGATTTATTCATATATTTATAAATAAATATATAATGAAGTAAAGCTAAAAATAATTTTGTACAATTTTCTCTTATTTTTTACAATTAGAATGACAAAGCTTTTGTAAAAAATAAACTGGCATTTCTTCACGAAAATATTAAATTATTAGTACAAAATCTACAGAATTTGGCACTTGGTTAATGTTAAGTCCCCCCTTCCCCAAATATCAGTCGTAACATTTTTTAAATTTTTAACATTTTCGTTTCTATCACAAACAATTGAATTTGGTTGAAGCCAGCTCAACAAAATAATTAAAATCAAAGCTTGTATGTGAATCAATAAGAAGTAAGAACTAAATACTTTATTATTGGAAGTAATTTCCCTACGGTTGTTTATTTTGTCAATAATAAAGATATAATTAACCTTATAAGTCTATTACAACAAACAATTCATTAGGCACATTTGCCTATTACCGCCTATTACTTGAGTAGGCAACAAACATCCTCATACTTTACATGTTATCACACAGTTTGTTAAAAGAATTTATCCTGTTCAGTAAGGTCTGTCCTGAGGTTACCGTTAACAAGTGAATGTGAGTTCCTTTTAATAGTAGCAGTCTCATATTCGACTGGCAAACCATTGCCTCCCATCGTGCCTTTAAACAGTCTTGAAGAACCATTTGAGTTTTGTCTATTAAATGAAGGAGCTCTTTTGGGCGATGTGCGAGGGGTTTCTTTTAGGGGTACGGTCACATAAGGATTCTGTTTTGAGGATATATAGTGAGGTGATGATGGAAGTCGATTAGTTGATCTTCGTTCAAGAAACTTCTTAAAGATGAGGAATGATATAAATCCCAACAACAACCCTACCAATAAACATCCGATAGCAGTGCCAATCCCCAAACCACTCGCTTCTGAAACATTAATTTTTTTTAAATGTACAAAATAAAGCTAATGCCAACAAGTACTGTAAAGATCCCAGAAACAATAATTAGCATTTTAGATCTGATTTTAATAGTATGCCAATTTAAAAAAAAAAAAAGATGTAACTTTTTAAAAATATTTGTTTTGTTGAAGAGCATTGGGAACCACTGATATTTGTAATGATAAATATGTAATACATAAAAATAATATTACACATAATATAATAATATTACATCACAGAATCTCTTACAAGAAAACCTAAAGCATACTTAATATTAATTTTACCTAAAACTACATTTCCCATAAAATAAATAAATAATAAAATAAATTACCAACCATGCACCAGTTTTTCATAAAAAAAATCCCTGCTTTGGAAGTGCATATTTTCTCAGCTTTTTAAGCTACACTCTGCACTATTTTCCTAGCTTCAGTCATTCATCTGCAAATTCAAAAATTTGGGAACATTTTTGCTTTTTTTACGAAAACTTCAAATTAAGCTATGGAGCCAGGAAATTGTCCTGGAGCAGCACCCTGCATCCATCGATAGGAAATTTTAATAAGCTTTCAATTAGTCAAATTCCACTTTGCCCGATTTCTCAACCGTTTTTGAGTTATTCACGATTTTTGGGCAAAAACATGGTTTTTTACATGCTCATGGAGAAACCGATCACTCTCTCCCTATTTTGAAGAGTGGATAAATTTTAACTGTCATTTTTTCACAAATTTGACGCTCTACAAATTTTGTTCCGAGGATTTAAAAAAAAGTGAACAGGGATGCGACAATTCTTACTTTGACCTTTTGGATGTGAAATGCTTCTGGCTGTTCCCATTTCACAGGTATTTGAAATAGGCTTCAAATAACGAATTGAAAAAATAGGTTTATATATGGTAAAATCGGGAAAAAGAGTGATCGGTCTTTTCCACGAGCACATAAAAAAAAACTATGTATTTTGCCCAAAAATCGGGAATTAGCTCGTGAACGGTTGAGAAATAGAGCTAAGTAGAAGGTGACCAATTGAAAGTTTATTACATTTTCCTTTCTAAGGGCTCCGCTCCAGGGTGATTTCCTGGCTCCCCAGCTCAATTTGAAGTTTTTGTAAAAAGTGCAGAAATTAACATGTTCCCGAATTTTTGAATTTACTGATGTACGACTAGAGCTAGGAAAACATTTAAAAAACCCATCTTGTTCAGCATAAAATTTTCTAAATTTTTTTAGAGACCTAGTGCAGGTCTATGACTTAAAAGGCTGAGAAAATATGCATTTTCAATGTTGGCCATATTTTGTGCAAAAACCAGATGGCCGATGTTTTTTTTATAGACAGTGTGTATGTACGACCAAAAGGTTATAAATATATGTATACTGAACAATCATTTGGATGCTAATATCACAATGTATATTATTAATTTACTTTTTAATCTCCAGACCCTAAGTTTTTATCAATATTATAATCCAGAAATGTTTTATCTAATACTATAATTATCACCAATGTTTGAAATATATAATGATGCAGCTAATTATACAGAATTTACTAGAACATTTGTGGTAGACCGTACACAGTGAAATTAATGAAAGCTAGCATTTAAAAAGTCAAGTAAACTTTTGTATTTATGATAATCGGTGGAAGATTAAATGAGGATAAGTTGTAATAATATTACCTGAAGTTATGGCATCAACACAAAGTCGGGAATCAATATCAGGCCCTATACATCCAGGACTGGTTGTGGAACACGTTCGTGTTCTTGTCTGATGGCCAGATGAATCACATTCTGACCAAATACTCCATTCATACCAACCTTCAGAAGCTAAAAGAAAAATGTGTTGAGTACACAAAAATATAAAATGCAATTTTTAATTTAATTTCTTACTTAAGCAAGGTGACACATTGCAGTCTTGATGGGCTACAGATTTACCATCACAGCTATTTTTATCTTCTCCAATGCATACACGAGTCCGTTGTCTTGTACCTAATCCACAGCTTGATGTACAAGGTGACCATTCACTCCAGCAACTCCATTCACCTGAAAATTTCCAAGAAAAATATTGAAACTGGGGAAAAATGGGCTACAATTCAGATCTTTTGAAATATTAAATGAGAGAAAGAAAGAAAGAAAGAAAGAAAGAAAGAAAGAAAGAGGGAGAGAGAGAGAGAGAGAGAGAGAGAGAGAGAGAGAGAGAGAGAGAGAGAGAGAAAGTAATTTCTGTTATTTATAACAATATTTTTAAAATTGATCTTTTCAAGTTTAGTGTAATTTCAACTGGCCATGTTAAATACAAGTGTATTTATCAACATAATTAAATGAAATGTTATTTTTCTTAGTTAATGCTTATTTGTTCATCTTTTTCTCTTTAATTCAAGGGTATTTCAACTCCAAGGTTATATGAACCCGAAGGGAGCTGGCATTTTTGAGAGAAAAAAATAGCCCATTGGTAAGTTTGTCAGGTTCGAATACAGGGCCAATGGATTTGATCCCAGGATCTTTAGCTTATAGTGATGAGCACCCCCAGATTTGTTCAAATTATAGTTAATATAAGAAGTATGAAAATGTATTTTTTATTTAATTTGTTATTGCTTTACTATTAATTATTTCAACTTTTTTTTGCAAAGTCGGTTGAAAAGAAAAATTATTGTCACAAACAAATTTCCGAGCCGAAGGTCATGGGTTCGAATCCCGCTTGAGACACTAATTTTTCTTCTCAAACGTCTTTGCAAAAAAACTTGGAAAAAATTCATTTCAATAGTATCGTGCACTTATACAACCCTCAGGCATCGTAAGACCATTCTTGACAGTGGAAGGTTCTAGCTATCTTCTGTACTGTTCTGGAGAAGGACGGACCTCCAGTTTTTTATAATCTTGATCAGCTTGTGCAAAAATTGTTTGATTCAGAAAATCCATTTTGGTTTCTTTTGTAAGTGGCAGTGAGCATTTTTTATATTGATTTACGTTTTGGAGTTTAAACAAAATTGTTTTGTATGTGACAAAAGCATGTTGGAAAGATCTATTACAATTTGTGGCTTTTGACCTTCAGGCCATGTTGGGCCTTCGCCTCCGGGTTTAGGGGGTCTCTGAGGCAGCCATGTTACAATAGTGTTCAGTATGATAATTGATAATGATAACATTGATGGAACAATGTTTTTAACTTTTATTAAGAATAATTTTTATTTTTATTGATATGAATTTTTTCTTTTTATGGATTGTTTAATTTTTCTTATTTCTAGACCTTTGTTTTAAGGTGTTTTGAGATATTCAAATATGTACATTCATTCAGTATCCTAGATCATTTTCAAGTACAAGGTTTATTTCTGGAAAATAATTTTACATTATTTTTTCTTAATTACTTAATAGTATTATAATTATTTTATTTAAAAAAATATTACTATAAATATTATATATAAATCAAAATGTCACGTTTCGATTTGAATGTACCGTCATGCTCCTCCACCCACATCTCACAGTGAAAAGAGTAGGGGCTAGGAAAGGGCTATTTTTCTAAGTCAAAAAAACAATTCCCTTTCTGTGCTCCATGGGATAAGAGCTGTCTATTTGTAATAAAGAAAAATTTGGTGTGCACACAATTCAAGTGAGTAAATTTTATATTTTGACGTCAAAAAACTAAAAATAATAATTGTATTTTAATTTAAAAAAAGGTTGTCACAAAAAATATATTTTTATAAAGAAAACTAATAGATAGCATTTGATTTCAAAAATTATGTTAAAATATTAATTGTATTTTCTAATTGGTGGTCAAAAATTAATAATAATAACAACAATAATAATTTCCTTTACTTTTCTTTATAAAACGAGAATTAAATTCGATTTTAAAATTAATGTTTGTAGATACTGAAATAGGTTTTATTATAGAGTAAAAGATTCTTTAAATTAAAAATAATAATTAATAAAAGAAATTGTAATCTTATTTGAAAATAAATTGTAATAAAAGATTTAAATTTAATTACTATTTTGGTCTGTACTTACTTTGGTATGAATTGAATATCAAAAAAAGGGGCCTGATCATTAAATTAAACAATTGTAGTCAGGTCCTATCATAAAAAACCCCCTGGGACCTTGTTTTCGGTTTTCCAAATTCAGGGTTGGGCCCAACAAAAAGAAGAAGAGACGTTTACAAAAATAATGTGTGGTGATTAGTGACCGTTAATCGATAATTATTCAGAAATCGTGAGATGCGGTCTGGTGTGATGTAGGTTTCAGAAAAACATTTTCTTTATTGTGCCAATGTTTCGATCTTTATTGAGATCATCGTCAGGGCACAAAGTGTTTGTGTTGAGAGTGACGATATGCAAGAATGGCACAATTACAGAGAAGACAAACACTTTGAGCCCTGAAGATGATCTCAATAAAGATCGAAACGTTGGCACGATAAAGAAAATGTTTTTCTGAAACCTACATCACACCAGACCGCATCTCACGATTTCTGAATAATAAAAATAATGCAAAATTAAAATATTTTCCAGAAATAAATCATAAAGTTACTAGAAAATGGTACAGGATGCTGAATTATTGAACATTTCTCTAAAACATTTAGAAAATAAGAAGAAAAAATAAGAAATAAGAAAAATAAAACAATTTTTGGATATTTATTTTTTTGAGATAGAGGTTATTTCAATATATTCAACAGTTAAGCTTATTTTAAGTGTAAATTTAGATTAAACAATTTTTTGAAACATAATTAGAAAACATATACCAACCCACCTTTACATGGCTGTAGATTACATAGTTTAGTAATTTGAGTAGGTCCAGTGCATTCCCCATGGGGTCCTTCACACGTTCTCACCCTTGATTGCTGCCCGGTACCACAACCTGCGGAACAAGGAGACCAAGCGGACCATTCTGACCATACTTCATCCACGTCTAATCTTTCCGATTTTGTGCATATCCCGTCACGAGAGCAATATCTATCATCAGTTTTAAATAATCCCACTTTTATCAATGATGAATCTGGTACTGGAGCTTTGCAGGAAAATCGGAATCTTCTTTCTGTCCCATTACTTAGTGGAATCCATTGTGTCCATGATGAAAGACGTCTACTATCGAAGCAAGGACTTGAATTACATTCCTGAAATTGTTAACAAATACTAAGTTCTATTGCATAGTTTCTCAGTGAACGTTTACTTGGTTTACTTAGACATTAGTAAGATACGTTTTTCATATAGGCTTCATTATTTACTTCAATGAAAGTTGTGTAAACTAGGTAAACATTTATACAAAATCTATCTGGGTGTACATTTTGCTGCCAACTTGAGACTTGACAGAGTACTATAATGTAGTTTGGTACAAACTGTCACAATTTAATGAGTTTAGTGGATGGTTTCCTTTTACAATGTTAATTTAGGTGTTGTAAAATAAAATATTTTTAGAAAATAAATACCTGATAATCTATATGGCATCCTTGACAGTCAAGCCCTCCAGGCAGTTGTGGCGGTGGATTTGAACATGTTCTGTACCTAAATCTATACCCTCCTCCACATTTTGCAGAACACTCTCCCCACGGACCCCAGGATGACCAGCCACCATCAAGAACTGGGGTTGATGCTGAAAGCAATTTCCATTAAACACAATGTCAATATCAACAGCCAGCTGAAGACAATTACCAGTAGGGCAGGGTGGATTAGAATGGCAGTACATTTCTGATCGATCTTGGCCTATGCACACTCTCCCACCATGCTGAGGAGCTGGATTACCACACGATCTTCTCCTAGTTTTTACTGCCATACCACAAGTCTGAGAGCAAGCCGACCAAACAGACCATGCCGTCCAACCACCATGAACTGTGCAGTTGGTTACTTTGATAGAAAACCCATTGCAAGGTTTGCCACCATTAGAAGGTGAAGGGTTACCACATGTCCTTGTAGAACATAGACACGTATCCCCATTGGAATGTTCACACGGAGAAAATGAAGACCACGCAGTCCAACCTCCATCAACTAAAAACAAAATATAACACGCCTGCCTGTCATTTAAATTATTCTAATCGAGGATAACATCTGTACAAATCAATTCTTGTATTGATTGAATTAGAATTTTAACATTTACATAGAAATATTATCTAATTATAGAAAACCCATACTCAATTGTATACCTGGATGTACTAATGTCGGACACTGATTAGCATCTTGATGCCATGCTCGAGAGAGAGGATTGTTATCCGGAGCTAACATACAAAGTTCTTTGTGTTCATGCCAACCGCAATGAGGGTCCATTGATGCAAGGCAAGCCAATCTATTTTTGTATCTTCTACAGTGTTCTTTCCAAATCCTCATAACACCTTCATCAGTACTTACATACAGAGAATCCTATGTAACAAGTAAAGTTAATTTAAACTATATTTTGCAAAACCTAAGCAAAAATATACGTGTATTTGTAGAAAAATACTAACTAGGCTTAGTTGTAACGCATGGATTTTCTTTGAAAGTGAATTTGGAGGTAATGGTTTCCATATTTCTAAAACACAAGTTTTCAAAGTTCTTGGGAGTACTGAGATTTTCTTTATGACCCCTTCATTAGTTGCTACATACAATACATCGACTTTGCTACAACATATAAATAATAAAAGTTACCAATAAGTCATAATATTTGTTTTAAATCACAATCAATATGGAATAAAAATTAAAAGCAAATTATGTTTTAAAATCTGGTTATAGCAGAGATATAAAACAGGAACTTAATTTTACAATATATGATTTAACAAGTACGTATTATAATATTTGCAACAATTTAAAACATGTTATAAATTATAAAATGGTTTATTATAATTTTTTATAGATATACATTACTTGTTAATTTTTGTTGATATTGTATCGACTACTATGTGTGTCAAAGTTTCTAGTTCGCTATGGTATAGAGGCTCTGTCGACATTGGTTGAACTGCCAAATCCATAAGCTGGTATCTTGTAGAATCTAAACCGGTTTGGTTACCTGAAAAAATAATACAATTTATGTAAAAACAACTTGGAAATTACAAACGTTAACTAAATTTAACAACAACCAACCTGTACATGTGCTATGATGATTTGGCACATTTTTCCTCTCCCAAGCTGAACCTGCACTTGCTTGGTATTTAAAAGGACCATCAAATGCCTCTTCAATAGCACTTGTATTGAACAAACAAATAGCTGATCCTGGAATGCTGTTGCTGTAAACAGTACAGACAATATGTAAGGTATGCTTTTAAATATATTTGAACAATTATATTCATTACTGTTATATGACTTTTCAAACAAATGAATTATGTAGATGGAATCGTAATTTGATTCATAAATGAAGATTGATGATATGTGATTGATGATATATGAAGATTATCACTTTTTGCTACTAATAGCCGAAATTTTCTTTTTAAAGATATCAACTTTAAAACAAACATACAAAAAGCATAATCCACTGATAAAATTATCAGGGTTACCTCGAATTTGATGTAAAAAAATCAGAAGTATGTCACATTAAAAATATCTGTATACATAAACATATACTGAAAACAAGCATATTTCATGAAGTAGATGTTTTCTTGAAATGAACTGTATATGTGTTCTTATAAAACCAAGACTCAATTTTCTATGTATATTCACTATTTCAAGTGTTAATTCACTATTCTGATTCAGTTCAATCTTCAAGCATTATTCACTGATAAAACTATCAGGGTTATCTCGAATTTGATGTAAAAAAATCAGAAGTATGTCACATTAAAAATATCTGTATATATACATAAATATATGAAAACAAGCACATTTCCTGATGTAGATGTTTTCTTGAAATGAATTATGTATAAATGTTCTTATAAAACCAAGACTCAAATTTCAATGTATATTCACTATTTCCATCCATTTTCTAAAGAAAGTCAGAATAATCAAATATCCTTCCAATCTTTTATTATTATTCAGTGTGGTGTTTCGTGACCGTTAATTAATGATTATTTGTATATCGTGAGATGTGGTCTGGTGTGATGTAAGTTTAGAAAAACATTTTCTTTATCGTTCCAACGTTTCGATCTTCAATGAGATCATCTTCAATGCCTGGGATTTATACAATCTCCAAATAATCATTTATTATTGATGTTTTTAATATATATTTTTTTTACATTACAGTATTTTGGTGTTACCTTAGTTTTCCTAAATTAATTTAAGTTTAATTTTGTACACAAAAAAATCTGAAATGCTGAAGTTGCATACAGTCCACTTTTTGTTAAATCGCAACCACCAAGCAAAATGAGAAACTTATGAATACACAAAGGCGAAAAATACTTTAAGTTTACTCTGTGCTTCATTTTAAGCTTTAATAGTGGAGTCTTGTTATGTAAAAAGTGATTTTATTTCAAAGGTTAGTTTAATATTTAGAAAAATAAAAAGAAAAAACTTACTCTGGTGTGGTAAAGGTAGCATACAATAGGCCTCTGTCTCTTAAGTATGTAGCTCCCTGAATATTATCATAGTAAAATGGGTATTCTCCAGGAAGTGAACAGTTGAGTCTAGCCTTCACGAATGTGGTCCAATTGTCTCTAAGCATAACTTGACCGCCTGTATCATTTTTACAGACTCTGGCTATTCTCGAATAGATAATCTAACCAAAACAAAAGTGACATAAATTTCCTCAGTTTCCTGAACTATTACATTAATTTAATAATAATATGCCATATTGCAAAGAATTTAAAATTAGATTTTAAGTCACTTACTTTTCCACAATTGATGTACTCAACTGCACTTTCTCTGAATAGAAAATAAACAAATGCGTCAGTTTCAAATGTCGCTACAAATTGTGGTTCGTTCAGCCAATTTGAATTGTATTGATTTGTTCTTAAATACAACATTCTTGAATTTGATGGATCAAGCCTGTATCCAGTGTCCATAGGATCCATGACAATAGCTGGATCGGCACCAGAAAAATCTACAGGTGTTCCTGCAAAAAACTGCCCAGTCGGAAGTGAAAGAAGTGATGTGACATTGGCACGAGGGTTGTAAGGACATTTGGCAATCCCTCGGACCCATGATGTGACCCTATTCACTTCCTCCATCTAAAATACATTAAAAAAAAATCATTTAAAAACAGTTTCTTCCATGTAAATTAAAATTACAATTTATCGTGATAGTTAATAACATACCTCCCTCCACGAACATTGTGGAGAAAATGCACCAGTGCCGCAGGTGAATAGTCTTCTCCCATTTGTCAAGAGAACTTTTATGTAATTGTGACAGTGGTCCTCTGTTTGCCCTTTATCGTTACAAAGAGCGACTTTTTCTGCTGAAGCTAACCATGAAGCTTTTTCCAGTTTGTCCAGCCTCTCAAGGCTCAATCTGAATAAGCTGTCCCTACAAACACAAATTATACATTTTCAAATGGGTTCTTTATTTAGAATGACCCAAATACGGGATACAAATTAATAAAAATTTAAAAACGAAACACAAGTAATTAATATTGGCTGTTAGTCATTGTTGCCCACAAATCTTACACTTCAAAACTTGCAAAGATGAATGTGTGTTTTTTTTAAATTTTATGCAATTTTCTACATAAAATATGTATTTTGGTGAAGAAGTGCAGGAAGTGGTCACTCATGGCAAAATACGAAATTAATTTCTGAATATTCAATTTTTATTAGATCTCACGCCAATTCAGGCATTGTTCTTACTGTCGAGTGAATCAAAATTACGTTTTAAATAATGCAATGAAGGGCTTTCTTTTTTGGTATGGGCGGATGGATGAACGAGAAAACTTTGTTATCAACTTTAGCAGTATGAACATAGAACATGTCGATCTCTCCGGTCATCCTGGTTTGCCTATTCGCGATGGTTTAAGTCTGTCAGACGGGTTTCGGACTTTCGCTACTTTAAAACACGATCATATGCCACCAGACCATCCTCTTTGTATGGTGTAATGCAGAAATTCGTCTGACAGACAAAACCAGGGAATAAAGGACGACCAACATGTTCGAAGACGATGAAACTACTGATACGCAGACATCATCACGTTTTACATATTTTACAATCCTGCGAACATTTCGCCTCCTATAATGGGAAATGGGAAAATTATTTTCAAAGTTACATAGAAACTAGTAAGAACTAAAATCGTATATTAAAAAAATATACTAGCACATGTTTTAAGTTTAATTGCTGCTAAATATATCTGAGCAATAGTGCGAAGTTTAAAAATACGACTCATTTAAATTATAATGACTACTCAAAACTTGCATTATTTGTGGTGTACCGCATAAACAATATAATATAGTATTTATAATAAGTTAGTAACATATGGTTGGATTAGAAAGGTTGGCTGAACTCGATGGGACTGGTTTCCTTATTTGGGGGCTCGACCCCCTCGGCTTTCATCTGTTTTTCTCGACGGGCCATTCTAAAAGACTGAAAACAAAAATGACAAATCTAGAAAGTTCAATTGTGCGAATAAAAACGAAACCTTAATTTAATTTGTTAAATTTTTCGCCGTTACGACGTTGGTATAACGACCTACAAGATAAAATTATTTTATTTATAAGAGAAATCAAACCAGTCGACAGATGACTTGGTCAAAACTTCCAGATAAATAAAGCGCGATAAGAACTGAGAAAGATTTGCAGTTAATGAGTACTTCGAAAAATTCTACAGCAAATTTTCACTTTTCAAATTCAATCGACCATACTCAAAAATGTTTTGTATCTTTATTATTAGTTTCTGCCGGTCTTATCTGATCTATAAACGAAAATTGTGTTTATAAAATGCTACTGTTGATATTCCACTAGTAGGTCTTGCGTGGCACATTATTAGTTAAGATGCTATTCTTAATTAATTTGTACAATTTAGTTAACATTTCCTTAAAGAAAAATCTGTGATTCGATTCTATTCTGATTATTTGAAAAAAAAAATGCTTAGTGTATAGTTATACATCTTTATACTTAGTATTGTTATTATTATTACTTTGTATTATTTGTATTCTTAGATTTCTTATCGTTTCCTCTCGTTGGTATAACGATCGTTTTAACGAAGACCATCCAAAAGATTTTGCAATACGTATAATAAATACGTGAAAATTACTATAATTATTATAATGTAATAAGTTATGAGAGCCTATTATGTTGTACTTTTTTTTATAAATGAGACTATTTTAACGGTGAACTTTTCTGTTTTGCTTCAGTCAAGTCGATTATATTAAGCAAGTGTCTCGTTTTCAGTAATGTTCGGAGCATTAAAAAACAGAATTTTCTGTTATTTTTTAAAAGGATTTTTGGGTATAATATTCATAATTTTCTTATGTATACATATATTAAATTAATTCACAGGTCCGGAAGCATGTATCAGTGTGTCGTACATGTGGAGCGTAAATACACGTGATTTAAAAAAAAAAATGTTCAATAACAGTCCTGGTTTTTGAACCATACAATAATTTAATATTTCATATTAAAATTGTCAATGATAACAGCTTTAGTAGAATTGTTGGGACTATTTTACTATATAGTCTGTGTTTTTCTTCGATGTATCCTACTTGTTTCAAATCGGTCTTGTAACGATCCTGCGAAAAGGACACAAGGACAAGGTGGCGTCAAGCAGGCCGCAATTAACGTACTCCTGATTTCATTATAATGTAATAAGCTATACATTTTTTGGGTGTTTATTTTAATTTATTTAGACATTTCTGGAATTTATACCCTTCATCAAAATCTATAGTTTTTATAAAAACACATTTTATTAAGAAGCCTACCTTATATACCTAATACTTACACAAACCTTATTTTTTATATTTTTTAGTCTAACATATATTGTAAGATATATCAATGAACGATATTTATATCCAAATTAATGCAAGTTGAAAAAATCCGAGGTTTATTTACTGAATTTGAAAAAAAAAGAATCTAGAAATGTTTTCATTTTGTTCTATTCTTTTTGCTTGTATAAAAACGTTAGCTACTTTCTACTAAATATCTCGCTTGATGAAAACCTGATAGAAATTGTACTATAATAAATAATTCTACAGACACTCATATTTATTTAATTAGCTTGGCAGTCAATATTGAATTATTTAAAGATTTAGTGCTCCATAAGATAAGATAAAAATATTTCGAAATAATAAATAAATATAGTGTTATGGTTAATCCTACTTCATTTAGCGAAAAAACAAAAAAACAATTACGATACGTCTTCATGAACGATAACACGTCGGCGGGGCGGGGTATCTGTTACAAAAGATAGAGAAATACATATGTAGCGGTTTTTTTTACCTTGCACCAACCACGATTTGATTTCTCGATATGTCGATCAACATCTGGGTGTAATTTGTAACACCAGATTCCGTAAAATAATTGCCATTTAACAGCAGATCTGTAAAGAAAGTATTTATTAGCTAGAAAAATCGAAGATATTCTGTTGTAGGTTACTTGTATTAAAATTGGCATTTTTGATATTATGAATCCGACCATCAAGAATTTTACTTAATCTTCAAGAAGAAAATGTTAAGAGAGAATTAATTTTTCTTTATTCTGCATATAATATTTTACGAATCTACATCATGCTCAATGTTCTGTTTCTCAACGATTGAGTAGCAGCTAAGAAGTATGCATTTACAAGAAAGTGTGTACAAACTTTCATCCTTTTTTTTCCTTCTAAATATGAAATGTAACAATGTAATTGTAATACGTGGTCATTTATAATTTACTTTACATAATCGATTAACTGATTTCTTCGTACAAATTATATAACGTGAATATTATTCGTCTGATAAACTACCAATAATCAGATAAATAGTGAAATAATATCATTTAAATTACCTTCGAAAGAAATCTCCCTTGGATCAGTACTTTGTCCTTTCGTAAGAACTGCGTTTGGAAGCAGTAACAACAACGTCAGCAAAGCAGGAAGCATCACTACAAAACATTATATTTATCATTTTAAAATGTTTACGTAAATTTATAGTTATAAGATAAATGTAATTGACATTACTCGGTCAGATTGGAGCTTACATGTTTTAAAGCTCCTAACCCGACGACGAAAACAAACAGATCGACTCAATTGTAATGAGAGAAGAAAAACGTGAGCTGTAAATGCTACTTATGGGTTGTAGACCCACGAGATTACCAACCTGCAAATATCCAGGCGGAAATCTGTCAACAGGTACACGGCATACTGGAACAGTTGGCATAGGAATCTATTCCAGATGGGTTGAAATTGAAATTAAAAGCCTACAAACCAATTGTGAATATTCACAAACATTTGTGATATCATCATGTTTATTGAAGTGTTTCATCGTTGGAGATAAATAATGATTAAAGTAATACATTTGCATTGAAGATGTATTAATGATTATTTGGAGATCGTAAGATCCAGTCTGGTGGGACGTAGATTTTAGAAAAACATTTTCTTAATCCTGCCAACGTTTCGATCTTTATTGAGATCATCTTCAGTACTCAAAGTGCTTATTTTCCGTGTAGATGTGTCATTCATGTCTGTCGGATTGGAAGTGCCCAGTTAATGTATTAATATGGATAATTTAATGTAGTGAAAAATGGTAGGGATTGATTGCGCTGAAACAGTCACCGAAGCTCGGCATGAATGATTTGCTTCTATTTGACCATGCATTCACTTTGAAAAAATTGTCTTTATTCAAGACTATCAGCAAGCAGACTAACAGAAAAATGTCAAGTGAATATGTATGGAAAATTCATTTTGAAAAATTAATCAGATACAAAAACTGCGCAAGATTTTATTTATACAACTTCGGTTTCTTCTAAACTTCACAAGCTGTTATTGTTAATCGAATAACGCTTTGGGGGGGGGGGTCGGTGGCCGCAACGGTTTACGCGTTGACACGGCGCTCGTCACTGTAAGGTAAAGGTTCCTGGTTCGAATCCAGCGGCCCTGCATCCTTACAAATGGACTTTTTTTTCCAAAAAACATCGAGGGTTGATATAAACCTCTGCTCTTGCGAACCCTCGTAAAAAAAACTGCTTTACTTGTCTGTTATTTATCATATCTGGAGGTAAAGCCTCGAAATTTGGACCACTGCTAGTAACTCCGTTCTCATTGTTTGTAAACTATACAAATCATAACTTACAATTAATTAAGGTTTTCAGTTGAGATAAAAAAGTCAATGACACGAGGGGGATTCGAACCCACGATCTTCGGCTTGATACGCCGCTGCTCTACCACTTGAGCTATCGAGACTTCGATCCACTCGGACACCAACCTCCCATCTCAACCACACCTTTTGAATTTTCCCTCCTTTTTGCCGTTTTTCAAGTGGTCAAGCCGAAGATCGTGGGTTCGAATCCCGCTCTTGCCATTGACTTTTTTATCTCAACTGAAAACCTTAATTAATTGTAAGACATTAATTGGTCAAGCGGACCACGAAACTAGTGAATTTAGCAAATCATAACTAGACAAATCATGGTGGATCTGTGAAAAGTGATCAACTTTGATCTAGAATAGTCGAAGTCGGAAAAGTAATCTCCAACGACTACCATGGCAACCCGTATAAAACATGGCTGAATTTCTCTTGAACCAATGAAGCTATAGCTAAGTGTATAATATTTTTTAGTCTAGTTTCAAATGTTTACCTTTTCTTGGAGAAAAATTATACAGGGTACCTCAGGCAATTCAATTTCAAAATTTCAAACACGACCCTATACTTCCTTAAACACCAGTTTAAAGGATTTTTTATGCTGAAAATAATGGTAATCGGATTTTAAATTGGTCAAAAAATGACTTAAGTTATGGCAAAATGTTTGAAAAACGCATTTCGTTTGTTTCTTTTTTAATTCCAATAATTTGCTTTTTCACTACAGTAAACATGAATTGCCTTTATTGTTTACATTCTGTCATTGTTAGTCAAACTCGCATTATGAGAGCAAATTTTAATTCCTGGAAGTAAATAAATTTTACGTTCAGTATTCAATTCAAAATGAACAGAACATCACATTTTTCCTATCAACAACGAGTTGATATGTACGACTGCTTTATTGATAGTGGTATTGCGCGTCGTCCAGTCCAGCAATTCCAGAAATTTCCTGATCGCCCCAGAGTAAACCACAAAACGTTTATTCGTATTGCCAGCAATATGAGGAGCTACGGATCAGTTGCTGTTCCATCACCAAGAAATTGGCAGCGTGATTTCGACGAGGAGCTGAATATTTTAATGTTTGTACGAGGAAATCCGAATTCCTCTCTCCAAAGTGTTGGAAGGGTTTTAGGTATTTCAGAAACTAAAATTAGTGATAGTATAGCTCTCATCTTGTCCTAGGACTTCTGGACTCTGATTATGATAGGCGTCTATGGTGCCTTGCACAAATTTGGGAATGAGGAAAACGTTCTTCCGTACATCCTAGGGACTGATAAATCTAAGTTCACCTCTAATGTCAAAATAAACCGCTGGAATTTTCTATGACATCAGATGGTTCACGTCTAGTGTGGATTGCCGGTTAATAAATTAATTGGGCCTTATTTCTACGAAAATAATTTAAATGCTGCTCAGTTCTTCCATTTTTTTGAGGGAGGTTTTACCTGCACCATTAGATGATGTTCCTCTGCAACAACGACAAAGAATGATTCTCCAGCTTGATGGATGCACCGCACACAATTCTTTGCAGGTGAGGCGTTATTTGTATCGTCTCTTCCGGGAAGATAGGTGGATAGGACCTCATGTCCCGATCTATTGGTTCCTCGGTCACCAATTTAACTCCACGTGACTATTTTCTGTGGGGCCACTTAAAAAACAGTGTCTACACCAATCATAACTAGCAACCTCAATCGAAGAACTGCGCAAAGGATAGCAAATGCTTGTCAATCCATCTCCCGTGACTCTATCGCTCTGAGCACCGGTGAAGAGTGGTCAAAAAGAACAATTCTTTGCATCTTTACACAAGGCAGGCAGTTCGAACATGAAATATGATTAATAAATAGCAAACCAATTAAAAAAAAAAAAAGAAAAAAAAAACTTTTTGCCATAACTTTGTTGACCAATGTAAAATCCAATTGCACCATTGTTTTCAACGTAAAAAATCCTTGGGCCTGAGGTACCCTGTATAATTTTTCTACCAATAAAGGTTGAAAATTTGAAACTTGACTAAAATATATTAAAATTTTTTTTTTGATAGCCTCGTTGGTTCAAGAGAAATTCAACCGGGCCATGTAATAAGGGACACCCTGTATAAAATAGCGATGTGGAAGCCAGGCCTGGGCTTACCGGGGGGGACTCCTCTCCGTATTTGAAGATCTACTGTCGCAACTGGAACCGACTAATTAATCGCAATAAAGTTTACTTTAAAAAGTCTTAATGTTGCATTCATATAAACTTAAATTTCAAAATAACGTTCTTCTTTTACAAATGACCACTTCTAGGCTTCTTTTATACAGAGTGAGTTTAATTTCTATTCCACCCTTTATTTATTTTTTATGGGGGGTTTTTCGGAAAAAAAAGCCGATAAACTTTTAATTTTTGCCTAGTTTCTCAAGGGCCAAAATGATCTAACTTCCACGATAGCGGGATACTTATAGAAGCTTAACTTTTTTTTTAATGGCAAATACTTATCAATGATATATGAAAACATCGTGTCTTTAGATAAGTTAGAGGGGTGCAGTCCTTGGGGGCAAAAACACCCACTTCCTAGTATCCATAATCGATAGAGTACATTTTTTAAAGGTTTTTGAAGATGGATTCAACGGTGCAAACGGTTTTTGATTTGGAGCAACTGTTCTCATGTTTTTTATTTATTTAGAAATCGTGAGATGCGGTCTGGTGTGATGTAGGTTTCAGAAAAACATTTTCTTTATCGTGCCAACGTTTCGATCTTTATTGAGATCATCTTCAGGGCCTGGGATTTACAAACATTGTTTACATATAACAATTACATTTTGGATGTGGAAAAGTGAATTTATACAATGCAAAATATATTTTTTATATATTCAATCAAAGTATTTCTACTCACTCAAAGTGTTTGTCTTCTGTGTAATTGTGCCATTCTTGCGTGTCGTGTCGAGAGTGCCAGTGAGATTTTGCTATTTTGTGTTTATATACGTTGGATTTTGAAGGGGTGGAGAAGGATGTCGGTATAGAAAAGACATTTTCTATAATTCATTAAATCCCAGGCCCTGAAGATGATCTCAATAGAGATCGAAACGTTGGCACGATAAAGAAAATGTTTTTCTGAAACCTACATCATACCAGACCGCATCTCACGATTTCTAAATAAATATCGATTAACGGTCACTCATCACCATACATGTTCTCAAGTTGTTCACAAGAAACTATTTCAGAACACAGTTTTTCGATATAACGAAATTTTCTTCAACCAATTTATCTGTTTAAAATTTAAAAAAATAAATTAACTGTTTATGGTATCGAAAGAAAAAAATTCACAAAAATTTCGGCCCAGTTTTCAAACAGGAGAACCAATTTTTCTTGTAATGACGATGTTGTACGAGACATTTTTACGATATACAGTAAAACGAAAAATTTAAAAATTAAACTTTAGTTTGATGGGTTTTTTAGGAAATGATAACCTTGGATTAAATTGTTTCAATAATTGTTTTTAGGATTAATCAAAAGCGTCAACAATTTTTATTTACGTTTGTTTGTCAAACATTAATTCTTTTGAATTTATATTTGTAGAGAGAAATTTGCACCAGGGTGAATTGCGCTTTAATGACCTACATCCAGAGTGTCCTGTTAGCCTGCGTTATTTGAGAAAATTGTTTCTTTTTTGCGAAAAACAATATTTGGAAATAGTTTTTTTAGTGAATAACACAGAACAGTTGCTATCTTACTATTGGAAATATTTAAGCTTTTATTCGTATCCTGCTGTCTTTAAGAGTTAAATAAAAACTTTTTCGTTTACGAGAAAGTAAACAAAAAATAAAAATTTTATATATATAAAATTAAAATTGGCGAAACGTCTAAATTATCGAAAAAAGTAGATATTTTAACTGGTTTTTAGTTTTTAGCTACCGGTGGAGGTGTTAGTTGCACATTAGAGTTATGGTGTATTCGACTATTTGCACTAGATCTCAGATAGCAATCGCTCCAGAAATTGTGCCCAAATTGAAAAAAAAAAAAAAAAAAAAAAAAAAAAAAAAAAAAAAAAAAAAAAAAAAAAAAAAAAAAACAACCAGTGAAAAATCTAAGCCTTGAGAAAATTCGAAAAAGTAGGTGTTTCAATTGGTTTTTGAGCTACCGGTGGAGGTGTCAGTTGCGAGTTAGAGTTTTGAAGTATTCGACTATTTCTACTAGATCTCAGATACCAATCCCTCCAGAAATTGTACCCAAAATACAAAAAACTTTTGAAAAGTAATGAAATACCTAAAAAAAATTGTAAAAGTACGTGTTTTACCTGGTTTTAGATTTTCACCAGCCGGTGGAGGTGATAGTTGTAAGTTTGAGTACTGATGTATTCGACTATTATTTCTACTGGATCTCAGATACCCATCGATCCATAAAATGTACCCAAAATGTAAAAAAAACTTTTGAAAAGAAGTGAAATATCCAAAATATCGAAAAAATTCGAAAACGTTACTGTTTTAACTGATTTTTAATTGGAGGAGTCTTCCCAAAAATGTCCCAATAAAAAAATATATAGGGGGTGGAACTGAAGTTAAATTCACCCTGTATGTATTGTACATAAGTACTATACAATATGGATACTGCATTACTGACGACCAAATACGCACGCCCCAGTGAACTACTACTGCTTTTTTACTACAGGATACCACGACTATAAGCAGTCAGTCGGTCCGGTTCTGCGTCTTGGAAGACAAAGTACGTGTGGGCCGGCACGGCAGACCGATAAAAAGTTCCAGCCTCGGGATCAGTCCGGGCGTAAATTCTCTGCAAAATCGCGTTGGTCGTAAGGCACGTGCCAACCGTATGTGCTTAGTATGATTATTAAAGAAAAAAAAGCCACACAGAAACAGCTGGATGGCACATCACTCGTGCGAGACGACAAATGTCAAAAGCCTGTTGTGGAAGGTCGGCGCTCCTCCACATTTTACAGGTAGGTAACCGGGCATCGTCCTCGGAAAAAAAGAAGAAAGCAGAAAAGGCGAGGAACCAGAACGGCCAGCTGAAAAAGCAGAAAAAGTGGTAAGAAGTCGGATCACGGCCGACCTGACTGAAGAAGCGTCTCCTTCGGCAATTGAGATATAACGACGTTTTTTCTAGTAGTCATACAGTTGTAATATAAAATAAGAACTCGTGCGCACAAAAATCAATTCAGAAAAAAATTATAGTTGAAGCATTAATTTATGTTTTAAATAGAAGTTTATATTAAATTTGTTAACCGTGTAAATCACGAGAAATACATTTTCAAAACCCTTAGGTCTCTGTCAAATTCGCGTATTCATTTTTTTTAAAATATACAATTTAATCTAGAGAAATTTCTTTTATTCAGGTCAGATTTTAAATTACGACATAAATTTCAAATTATATGATCACTGGCAATTTAGTCTGTGAGTTTGCGGTGGTGCAGCAGCGGCCGAAGCCTGATCACATCTTCGAGAAGGCTTGCGCTTTCTTGAAATTTGTTCATTTTCGGACGTGGGTGGATCGGCGTAAAGCTCCGACCTCCACTTAAAAAAAAAAGAAAAAACTTTTTTTACCATCGGAATACTACGTATTTACACGCTGCTGTTTGTTCTAAATTACACCCACAGATCAGGGATGGTTAGGGAAAATAAAAACGGGCTCGCCTCTCCAACCGTCCACAGGTTTCGCAGTTTCGCACACACGAGCTTACAATTACACTGGAATAAGGTTATAAACAACTAAGGTCTTAACTGTTTACGAATATGTAGTTTGCTTATTTTTTTTCATTACGAGGAGTAATGCTGTATTATTTAAATGAGATAGTTTTATTAGGCAAAGATAAATAAGAGCAGGCCGTCTAGGTGAATTAAAATCCCGTTGCACAGACAGGGGAGAAAAACAAACAAAAAACGTACAAACCGTACTCATAGGTTGTTTAAACAGCAAGAGTTTATCTCAGGTTGGGAACAATATTATCGGTTTCTTAAAGATAAATAATGATAAAATTGAATATTCTTACCGAAATATTTGGCATAACAATCAATCCATTTTATCCGATTTTTAAACGGAATCTTTCTTATCGCAGCATATTGTATACACAAAAAGAAGCCGATCGGGCAGGATCGATCGAAGATTTCACTGAAGGTGACGAAAATAAACTTAAAACCCCGCACAGATGTCACGAGCCGAAACCGTTCCGTAAAGCCAACTGGAGAAACAGGAATTCAACCTTCAGTAACGCCTCTGAAGGCGCGTCTAGTGCTGGTCAACGGCACCGGGTGGCGCCACACAGCCGAAGACTGGAAGAGGGGCCAAGCCCAAGCCGCCGAAGCACCAAAGCCCCCCAGGTAAACATGTAGGCGAGTTGTACCACTTTTTTCTCTTCTTTTGTCAACTCTACCTAACTGGATTTTTCAGTCATTTTCAAATACATTTTGGCCATCTTTTGGCAGTCAGGAAAAAAGTCAATTAGCGGAGAAATTACTTTTCTACGTTTTGATTATGTTTACTATGTACCCGTTTTGCAATTATTTAGCGTGAGTTGTGACAGCAGTTGTATAATTTAATAAAACCCAATTTATCTGGCTGTCCCAAATGAGATTATAGAGGATTGACCGGTTGATTTCCTGCAAAATATTTTCAAACAATATTAAACACTTGTTGATTTTCTTTTTAACAATGTTTTCTTTCTATCCAAGTAGACAGTCACATGTTAGTTTTATTTTAAACAATTGAAACACGTGACTTTCGCATGGTACGTTTTGTAAGTTCAAACTTCGGTGATCCTGATTTCGAGCTGATCGGAATATTAATCAGGTTTTCGGTGAAGGGAATTCTATTGAAATAACGTTCGATTCGTTTTCTGTTTTGAAAGTTTTCTTCTGGAGATAAGACCTATGTAAACAGACCCCGCGGAAGACCTTCAACAACAATCGGAAACTTTTAAGTTTATAAAAAATGATAAAAGGATCAGATTACTCCGGATTACTTCTCTCTGACTGCGGGAGTACAGCAGGGCAGTTTGCTTGGGCCAATCTTATCTAACTTTTATTCCGCGGATGGAGTAATTCTTTGCAATGATCGTGATCCTATAATTGTTTCGGAAACTGCAGATATTTCATCTACATATAACAGAATGGATTAGACTATGAAAAACCAGTCCATGTCACCTTTACAGATCTGTCTGCGTGTACGGAAAACAGAGAAAAGTTGGGTTTCACCTACTGTCACATTTTACGAACGATACGAGACTTAAACAGATGCTACTTGACAAAAGTACTGGACGAAACTTTAACTCATCGATGAAAAACAGACTAACAGTCTCCAGAACGTAACTAAAACCTATTTACCTGAAACCAAGTATGGTATAAAACTGCGGAATTGCTTTTAACGATTTTTTTTTTTACAACGATTGTATTAGGAATGTCGGCCACAACAGGTCGATTCGTATATACCAGCATGTAGCGTGTGCAGCACGTAACGTGGCAGATATAGCACAGACACAAGTTTTCACACCACGACGACTCACTACAGACGCCGGCAGACAAACTAGAAAGTTGAATGAAACGCACTTACCCATTTTATTTATCCTTAAGCATGTTAAAAATGGTACACTGACGGCTCCAAAACCGACAAGGGCACGGGGGCTGGAGTCTTCGGGATGAATCCAATGACCGAACTTAAACCTAGGTAAATGTGCTACAGTTTTCCAGTCTGAAGTCATAGCGATTGAACACTGCGCGCCTTGCCCCAAGGATATAAAAAGGCTAGGAATACATTCATGGAAGATAGCCATCTTCTCTGAGCCAGCAGCTCTAAAGGACCTAACCTCATGAGAGGTGAAGGCAAAGAGTGCTTGGATGTGCATGGAGGCCCTGAGGAAGTCAGCGACACTAATGACCTAACGCTGGCGTGGGCCCCTGGGCACTGGGGCATAGAGGCAAACATTGACATGTCGGCCAAAGAAGGAGCCAATGGACCTTTTAGGTCCTGAACCCTACTGTGGCTTAGAATCCTGCCACAAAAGAGGATACATCTTAAAATGGATCCTTAAGGAGTCCAACACCTGATGGAACAATACCATGACATGAGGCACTCGAAGGAAGGAGAAGCACTAAAATTACGAAAAACTTACAAAGGAATTACTGGAAGGGAACCGCAACCGAACCAGGATTCTGGTTGGACTGCCACTTAGCAAAGCACCGGATAGGAGTACAGACCGAAGAAACACTGTACAGATACTCCCAGGAAGAGGAGGACAGCAAAACACATTTTACGTTTTTGTGAAGGTTTATGTAGGTGCAGATTCTTGCAAGTAGAACAGGAAAAGCCACAAGAAAGATCGTACAATAAGAAGCCGCTGGCAAGGCTATGGAGGTTGATTAATAACACGAAGCAAGCCAGTAAGTTATTAGGTCGAGGTGCAGAAGGACTTGTGGCCACCTCTTTTATCCCTATCCTTACTATGCTACAGTCAAGGACAGAAACGTGGCAGCATAATTCGAATATTCTGTACGACAATACTGGCCGTTCCTGGCGCGTGTCTACGTCCATGTTCCGCTGAATTCCTGTAGAAGTGAATACTCATGTAGATAACGTACGTAACATTTTTTGGTCTTAGCTGGTACATGCGGACGCGTTACGTGCTGGTATGACTATACTGAACTGGTATTAGTATGAATTATTTTGTCTGAGCTGGTGCGTCTGTGGCGTTAGCGACTATTTTTCATATTGTACTGATGTACAACGAAAAATTAATCGTATTGATTCGAGGACATAAATTTGTCTTCATTGTCCACTAGGTCTTTAGAGCGTGAAGAATTATCATCTTTTTCTTTTTGAATTCATTGGATGTACAACAAATCTTCTTATCCTTTTTGCCCTACTTCCTTACCATCCAAGTTCTTTCCTTCTTCTTCTTCAAGCAAAATTGCTACCACACCTAATTCTTGAACCGAAAAGTTTTTAAACGTGTTTACTTTAAACAAAGTAGATAGGTACGTTTGTATTCAACTCTCCAGTTTGTCTGTCGGCGACTGTAATGAGTTTTCGTTTAATGAAAACTATTGTCTGCGCCGTGTTTGCCACGTGACGTGAACTGAAGGCGTTGTCACGGCGACCATCATTGCGGGGTCCAGGGTTCGAACCTTACCGGCCCTTCGAACCAAGCTTATGTATTTACAAATTTTATTAATAAAACAGTACAAGCATATATTGTTAGTTAAATTTTAAACCATGAATGGTGTTTTGATTAATTTTTTTTTTTCAAACCATCACAATTAAATAATTTTTACTCATGAATATCTCGTTTTATTTGGTTTACATTAAAAAAAGTATATTGTAATTCATATAACGATAAAAATACATATATATTTTAAAATGAAAAACAAAATACAAGTATACGGTTTTTTTGTCTTTGAGTATAGTCTCATCAATTAGTGTTTAATGCGATATACGAGAAAATTGGCATAAAAAGTTGGATGTTATTAGGTGAAACCCAAATCAGCATTCGCAGTCAGATATGTTATGTTTTTGGTTTTTTGTTTAAACCAATATGCTATAAATGAAATTGTGCAGAGCTTCCGAACCAATTGTATGTAATGTATACTGCACTGAGACAATCAGCGAGATCGGAGGCTATCAGCTAATTTGTAATATTCTCTCTCTCTCTCTCTCTCTCTTAAACATGATGTAAAAAGTTATTAAAACGAGATCAATATTTAAAGCTGAATTAAACTAAATGAGGGAATAAATTTTCACTTTAACACGTGAATTTTGCTTTGCCAGCTGGGAAACGGCTATTTTGTGTCTGAGTCTTTACACGGATGTGAAATAAACAATTTTTCTGCGTGCATTACATTTTTCTATTGACAGCAGCAAACTTGCAAAATTTTTATTACATTTTCAAAGGCTTTCTTCCGGCTTTCTAAATAACATTTGAATGTGAAACATTATGTTTTGTTTATTAGGCAGGATTCATAGAAGAAGCCAAATATTTTCTCGATGTTACTAAAATTGTCACCTAGTATTGTTTTTAAATTATTTGCGAGTTTGAACCTATTTCTTAGGTCTGTGTATTTTTTGCATGTTATTAAAACATGTTTAACAGTGATTATTTCGCCGCAATCTGGACACACTGGAGCAGGCTCCCGGTACATCAAGAGACCATGCGTCAATCGACAATGCCCTATCCTCAGTCTAGCCAAAGTTTTCTTTTTTCCTGGGTTTTCGTAAGGATGTGTCCGACTCTTTGACATAACCCTTAATTATCAAATCCAATCTGATCGTTATATCAGATCAGTGTGTTATAGTATACAAGTAGACATAAAAAAGTAATTTTTCAATAAACTATAATTTTCGGTAAGCTACTCAGAAATTTGCAAAATTTACTTTAAAACTCAGTATATATATATATAAAATATGAAAAGCAGTTTTATATATTTTTCCAGTTAATTATTTTTTTTATCTAAGGTTTTGGTTGAGATGAAAAAGCTTGTGTCACGCGCTGTATTGGAATAATTAGTATGGTAAATAGTGACCGCTAAACATATAATGGATTAACTTGTATATTGTATTGGACAAATTATGAAAAAAGTACGAATTAAAAGGCTTTATTATGTCCTAACAAGAAAAATATTTATTGCAACTTACAAAATTTACAATTCCCAATATTGCAGAAGGAAGGTCATTAGTCGTAAAACAACTTGCAAAGAGACAATTAGAAGGCAAAGTTGCTTGCACAAGTAACAAATACAAACAGTAAATTATGGTACGTAAGATTAAGACAACCAAATTTTTGTGAATTTATGCATTGCAAAAAAAAAAAATGATATTCAATCAAAGTATTTCTACCCACTCAAAGTGTTTGTTTTCTGCGTATTGATATGCGTAATTTGATTGAATATAAATATGATTTTTGCATTGTATAAATTCACTTTTTCCACATCCTACATGTGTTTGTTAAATGTAAACATTGTTTGTAAATCCCAGGCTCTGAAGATGATCTCAATAAAGATCGAAACGTTGGCACAATATAGAAAATGTTTTTCTGAAACCTACATCACACCAGACCGCATCTCACGATTTCCGAATAATCATCGACTAACCGTCACTAATCACCACACGTTTTATTTTTTATTTTTTACATCTGTTCTACTTCTTCCTCAGTCTTAAATCTTTACTTATATCCGGACAAAGACGAGCATGGATTTGATAACGTATAAAGCCGTAAACGTTGTGGTTTGTAAGCTGATTGAGAGATAAGTTAGGATCTCAATTTATTCTTTTTGGGTTCTGAGGTGCGTGATACAAGGAAAATTTTTCGCTGGGTATTTTCGGCTCAACAGCGTGCACCCTCTTAAGTTCATATAAATAATTCTGCATTTATCATCAGACCATTTGGACCTTACTGAAAATGAATCACTGCTTCCTGATCCCACGAAGGAAAAAATGCACGTACCTTCAAAACAGTATGAGACGTCTTATACGGAATTTCCTAACTTCATTAACAAGGCTCTCAATTTTTAAACCTGCATTTGATGGTCATGGCATTTTAAACATTCTATACTTTGCATGCAAACTTTTGCAGCCTTTTTTAAAAATAATGTACGACTTTCGCGACCTAGATTTTTATAGATTTATCAATATCTAGCATTCCCAGAATGATAAAAAAAGAGGTTATGCGGTCTAAAAGTGGAAATATGTCTAATTTAAAATGGTGAATGAACACCTAATGCCAAACTCCCTTCTCTTTGTGAAAGATGCAATAAATTGAGAACAGTTTGTGTGTGTGTGTGTGTGTATATGCATGTGCACGTGGTGGCTGTGCAGGGGTACATAGGAGCTCTCTGCACAAGTTAGCTCCTAACCTGTAGAAGATGTGGACTTTTCTGTGTTGAACTGTTATTGGGTTTTAACCACATCCTTGAAAAACGAGCTCTGCTTAAGGTGAACTATGTACGGGGATTTAGTAGGTAGAGCCCTTGGGTGCACCCTGGCCTGTGTGTCCTCTTTGAGGGTGGCTGCCCCATCTCACTACCCCAGGAGAATCACTTTTACAAAACCTCTTGAAACAGCGTGAAGCCCAGATAACGATAAAACTGTAGCTTTTTATATTATTTTTAAAAAAATAAATAAAAAATCTGGTGAATTATCATCATTCAATCATAATAAATCATAATAATTCAGATATTAATGCATTAATTCATGTATTATATTTGTAGTTTATATTGATGGTTAATGCTATCTCATTAATACAAAATCAAAGTGTTATGTACATTTTTCAATTTAGGTAACATATGGTTATACTCATAAGCAATTAGTTTGCTTTAATTGTTTATTTGTTTCTTGGGCACATTTGATCGTTATATATTACAAATTCACAGAAACTTTACCTTGAAAACAAATGTAACAATATAATTTAACAATTGACAAATGTATTTTTTATTGTAGCTCTCTTTTTCCTATTTTGCATACATTCCCTTTACAAGGCTTTGAGGTTGATAAAGAAGCAACTGAAGTTGTGCTGTTAAACGACAAAGAAAAGCACTAGGGGAATATTTCAGAACTTTCAACCTTATGATAAAATTCACTATTTTGAGTTTATCAATGTTATGTATTTCTTTCTTCAACCTCAATTGGCAAGTTTTTTTTTAAAGATAAGGATCAATACTAATCCATGTTCAAAATCCATTTCTAAATATCCAACAACAATGACAATTACAATATTCTTGATTTTTAAAATCTAATAAAATATAATATTGTATGATATTATAGTTGCAAATCATCTCAAAACCTTTTATTATTAAAGCATTTTATTATAATTTATAAGTTTTATTTTTAAAATTATAATAGTTTTAAATACACATAATTGTTATTAATTCCTCAATAATAATATTATTAATTTCTTTTTGAAAATCTGTTGACTTTTTTAGGTACCTTGCATTTTTTCAATGCAATGAAGACAATACTACATTTTTCATAACAGTCAATAATCGAAAATAGACATCAGAAAAATAAATCTGATTGGTTTGAACACAATAAGAACATTATACAATGAATTTATGATGATGATTGTTAATAAAAATAGTGTGGGATCAAACATACCAAAGGTTTGATGCATAACACAAAATTGGTAATCAGTATCATGACCCACACACCCTGAGCTGATTGTGTGCCATATTCATTTTCTTGTCTGATTATTAGCTACATAACTAAATAATACAAAATTCACCTTATGTTTATTATCATTTTTTTCCTAGTTTATGAGATTCATATTTATAATTTGTAGATATATTGAAGAAAGATTTGCCTGTTGGACACTGACTAGCATCTTGATGCTATGCGAGAGAGAGGTGGTTGTCATCTGGAACCGACCACAATGAGAGTGCAGTGATGCAAGGCAAGCCAATCTATTTTTGTATCTTCTACAGTGGACTTTTCCAATCCTCATTACACTTCTATCTTTGATGAAGTATAGAGAATCTTTTGTAACAAATTGAGTTAATTTACAATAAACTTTGCAAAAACTAAAAAAAATATGTATATTTTTAAACAAATATGTACTAAGTGAGCATTATTTCAATGTGTGTATTTTCTTTGAAATGAATAGGTAACAGTGGTTTATATTTTTCTTAAACACAAATTTTCTTAATCCTTGTACTGATTGCTGAAATTTTTTTATGGTTCCTTCACTTGTTACATGTAATATGTAAAATATAAATTGAAATAAGAAAATATGATAAGTAAATTCATTAAAATATGACGGTAATTATGATGGTTGTCCAATAGGTAAAAAACGATTGCATGATTAAATATTCATTGTAATAATTTATAATAATAATAATTAAGATTGCTTGTTGTAGTGACAAACTACTGTGTGCTAATTTCCAATTCATTATGATATCATGGCACTGCTGGCATCGGCTGAGCTGTGAAATTCATAAACTGGTACTTTGTCACATTTATAAAAGAATGGAGTGTCATATTACAAGCAATTTAAAATTATTAATCAGTTCAATTGGATGTTGACTGGTACAAGTTCGATTATGATTTGCCACATTTTTATAACTTCCATGATAGTCCTTTACAATTTTGTTTGGTATTTAACAGGTTTATTAAATGTTTTTTCAAGAGCACTTGTATTGAACAAACAAATGGCAGATCCTAAAAGTATTGTTGCTATAAACTGTATTAACATAATGTGCAAAAAATCATGCATTGTTAATGTCCATGTATTTCTGTATATGATAAAGAATGATTTTTTTTAAAGGCTAACAAATAACTTTGCCACAGTCAGTGTGTAAACAATTTGGTACAATGGATTTATTTTTTTGTTGTTCTATAAGTCTCTGAATATTATTTTTTACTGTCAAGTCAATGATTGTAACGGTAATATGTGAAATCAAAAATCTCGATTAAAAAGTGAAATGTTAAGACATTAATTTGTCATTAATAATTTTTCTTTAAAACAATACAATTATTTCTTGCCGTTGGCCTATTCTGAAGTTAAGTACTCCCAAAAGCTGCTGATTGTGAAAATGCGAAATATTTTATATACAAGAAAGATTTAGGGAATTAGTTTTACAAATAAAAATATTTTTTTATACAGTAGTTATATTTCTGTATACTTTAAAACACCCACACTTTATAAATACTATTTTATTTACTTTACAATTTTAAAAATTGATTTTAGGGCCTCCATCTCCTTTTGATCTATTTTTACATGATTTTTGTGTCCATGTTACTGAAGAAAGTCTACAGAAAATATACCTACTGTGTTATTAAATCATTAAAAAACAACCTAAAGAAAAAATCATTAATGAATTTTCACATTCATCCCAGATTCTTAGATTTTTTGATAATTTTTTAATTATTATTATTTTTTTTAAAAGAAATCACTTGTTCTTAAATACATATTTATAAACTAAGAAAACCAAAATGCTTTTGTTTTGATAATCAGAGAACTTTGCATGGAGAAACTTATTTTTAAGGTTACCACTGTGGACTTGTTAATTTAAAGGGTAAAGTTTAATCTTTATAAATATATTATATAAATTAGAAACAAACTTACTCAGGTATGGTAAATGTAGTTTCACACTATGGACTCTGCCTTTTAAATATGTAACTCCCTAGCTATTAACATCATAGAACGGATATTATCCAAGAGTGAACAGTTGAGTCTGATCTTCACGAGTGTTGTCCAATTGTCTTTAAGAGTACCTTCACTTGTACCATTTTTACAAACTCTAGCTATTCTTGAATAGATAATCTGATCAATAAATTTTATTTCCAAAAGTGTATGTAGTGTATTGTAAAACACACACACACACACACACACACACACACACACACACACACACACACACACACACACACACACACACACACAAAGATATCTCACTTTATTAATGTATAAGTATGTATATTACTGTTATACAATTACACAATATTTATTGTATCACTTATGTACTCAATTTGTCACTTACTTTTTTTACTCTTCTCATGGATGTGTTCAATTTCATTTTCTCGGAATAGAAAATAAACATACTTATCTATTTCGGATATTGCTACAAATTGCGGTTCATTAAGCCAATATGGATTACACTGAATTGCTCTTAAATATGACTTTGTTGAATGTGATGGAGTAAGCCTGCATTCGATGTCCGTAGGATCCATGACAATGCTGGATTAACATCAGAAAAATCTACTGGTGTGCCTGCATAGAATTGTCCAATGGGAAGTGAAATAAGTGACGCCAATTTCTTCCATCTAAAATATAATGATTAAAAAAAAATCACAATCCAGGTTGCAGTTGTGGATATTAATATATTATTTATCAAGACAATATACTTGTAAGATAATAACGTACTTCCCGCTACGAACATGTGAAGAAAATGTGCCAGATCCATAGGTGAATAGTCAACTCCCATCTGCCAAGAGGACTTTTGACTGCTTTTTCATTAGGAAAAATTGTGTATAATAATTTGAAAATACACAATAAAATTAAAATAATAAAAAGGGGCGTCGGTGGCCGCAACGGTTTAGGCGTAGACACGGCGCTCACCCTGCAAGGAAAAGTTCCCGGGTTGGAATATACCCAGCATTCGAAGCCGACATACAAATGGCCTTTTTTTCAAAAACACCGGCACGCCAAAGGTTGGTATAACCTCTGCTGTTGCGAACCCTCGTAAAAAATAAATAAGTAACAAAAATATAATAAAACGAAAAAATGGTAAAATAACAATAATAGATGTTAGTTTGCATTTTTACATATTATTAAATTTTCATTATAATTTAAAAGACAAATCTTCATCCATAAAACATTACTGGCAACCAAAACTCGTACTCATCCATCCCCTTTCTTATTTTCCAATATATTAAGAACAAAATTGGGTAATATTATTTTTCATTACGAAAACACGATACATTTTTACTCGTAGCTGAGCAACTTCACGCTAGATTTATTTATATTTTTAGAAATGGTGGATGAAAGAGAAATTGTCAATAACTTACACTATCTAGTTCAAAGCCATATCTATTCTCTTAAAACACGAAGCGGGAAAATTATTCTTAAAGTTAGACCGTGAAATTAAAGGAAAATAACGTTAACCAGATTAAATCGTGTTTTTGAGGCATTTGTACTAATTATCTCAAAATACCGCTGAGTAAAATATTAATTTAAATCATAATAAAAAATTCATTATTTGTTGTGTACCGCCTAAACAAAAATAAAATATTATTAGTATATAACAATATATTGTATCAACATATGGTTAGTCGAGAAACGGAAGAAATGGTTGGCTGAACCCGATGAAGACTGGTTTCCTTATCTGGAGAGCTCGACCCCCTAGGTTTTCATCTGTTTTTCTCAATTCGGGGAACTATCAACGATGGTTATATACGATGGTTGACATGTGTCCTTATATCCTAATGCCCTGACCATACACGTAAAAAATCGTAACGTGTTCCTATCCCTTGTTTATGAATTAGTAAATGTATACTGAATCCCTCTAACAGTCTAGAGAGTTAATCTTTATGTAAGGTATTGGCTGAAATGAAAAAGTTAGTGTCACGAGCGGGATTCGAACCCACAACCTTCGGCTAAATACGCCACTGCTCTACCACTTGAGCTATCGTGACTTCGATCCACTCAGACACCATCTCAACCTACCTTTCAAATTTTCCCTCCTTTTTTGATTGTTGTTTAATATTAAAATGCAGGACTTAAACTATTATGTAATTCTTTCAGATAAGAGAACAATAATGTTGAATATCTGAAATAGAAATAGTTTATTTCATTATGTTGTATGTACATCTAAGGACTCAATTCCTCATTCAAGAAGTCACAATATTTGGTCTATGGATCCTGGCATTATCAAACATTAGTAAGAATTTCTCACCGATGTGGGGCAAATGTCGGCACTACATGTTCTTCCATTGACCTGTGTGAAGTTAGAGATCTTCCTCGCACAACAACCAATTCGGTGCGGGCGTCCAAGGAAATGCCACCTCGAATGATCACTAACCACCATACAGCATGGGGGCGTCCCTTTCTCCTGAGCCTTTCCATATGAAATTACGCCCATGATTTGAGGCCAACTCTCACCACAACTGTTAAGAGAACTCGTCACCAATCTTCCAATGTCCAAATCACACGTCCCCATGTGAATTGAAGCCTGGCCATTTCCGGAGCCGTGCTAAGAAGACTCCCACGAGCCGGCTGTCGTGCCCTGAGGTCATTTTAATTGAGCCTTCTTCTTACGAGTGTAATGAATTATGAATCTATCGTCTTTCTCGTCTGTAGACATAGGTCGAGCCTGTCCTGGCCTTCGAGTGTGAGGCCCTGTTGATATGAAGTGCCGAAGAACCCTTGAGTGATGTACATTCCTGGTGACTTCGCGCTGGTTGTTTCCTTCTTCTAATGATGTTATGTCGCTGACACTGTCATACGCACTAAAATGCCTGCCTGGAGTCATTGAAAAAGGTTTAGGAATAAGAATATCAAATGAAATCAACGAAGGAAAAAGATTAACTGAAAGGCGTTTAGCCGTAGCAGAAAGGATGGGCATAATGCTACTTTTTGTGCAAATGGGATTAATCAGTACAAAAGTAAACAAAAGAAGTAAACAAAGCATTAATTACTGTTTATTTTGACTACGAAAGCTGCTAATTACCTGTAACTAATATAGAAAGATAGTGGTTTTAATTTTAAACTAAATTTATTGAATAGTGCGCTTCATTTGTCCATCAGTGTATAAACATCACCATAAGCATACAAGTTGGTGTTATTTACTACCTCAGAGTACTTGATGTTCCATGTATTGGTGAACCAACTCCATTCTCGCTAATAAGTGAGTTTTACTCTCCAGACGTCTCCCATTCACCCCAGTGTACTTCGTCCTCTTTAATTAAGGACGATTAAATTGTCAACGATTTTTTTTGTTATAAATTCAAATACTCATCAGTAAGCGATTGTTCACCATTCAAAATATTGCAGAATCTGTACTAAAATTCAACATTTAATTCAGAAGGTCATTTGTAAAACGTATTGCGATAAAAAAGTACCATTTTACCTTTGTTCTTGGAGAACGAATATCGGCTTCGGTATAACATATGTTTTACTAAAAATGAAATTGTATTACAAAATTGAGTAAATTGTGTGTAAATTTTCCAAAATTCAAAATTTACCATTATGGCAGAAGGAAGGCCCTCGACGAGAAAGCAATCCGTCAGGAAGCAATCGACAAGGAAACAATCCGCCAGGAGGCAATCCGCGAGAAGACAATCCGCGAGGAGGCAATCTAGAAGGCAAAGTTCTAAAGGCAGTGTTGCAGTTCGTGGTAAGATTAACATCGACTTACAAAACACTTGCCTACTAGTTGAATAAATTGATACTTGGGTTCATTTTCCCTGTCATTGACAATAATTTTTTTTGTATTGCGATTGTATTGCAATTTGTAATAGTAAAGATTTGTAATCAACACAATCAAATAACTGCAGCAATCGACGCGCTCTGGCTTGAATAGTGACAATTATAAAGTCGTGTTTCTTGTAAGTATTAGAGAGCCCGTAATGAAATGACTCTGAAAAGTTGTGCATAGGAGGAATGGGCTTTCGTTAGACAACCTTTATCGCAATCTATATCTCCTGAATATACACAAAATATACCGACGGAAGTTCTGCTTTTTTACGTCAACACCGATGCTGGAATAAGACACCGCCAAAATTCCATTATCCAACTTCTACAGAAAAATATATTCATTCACGCGGTAACAAACCAATGTGTGTAAGCATGTTTCCTATCTGGTGTCGAATTTGATCGTTAAAACACCTGCTTGACTCGTGTCTTAAGCCGTCTCAGCACAAGTGGTGCATGGCGTTCAGCTGCTGGTACACACATCAAAAAAATTTAAACAACGCAGAATAGAATCTTCCCTATCCGTCTTGTCATAGAATGGATGGTCAAAGCGATCTACAGTCTAAACTATTTTATGAGCAATCATGCAAACCTTCCAATCTTCGAGAGCCACCAACTGCCCTGAAGACGACCTATCAGAAGACTCCAAAGAAAAAGACCCCAACTTGCTCTAGTTCTGTAGTACACTGGAAAGGAAGCTCCCAGTTATTTATTATTCTGTTGAGATTGTTATAATAACTTATGATATATGATAAATTGACTAGTTGTTGACTTAATGTATATTGAGAAAACCAATATATTAATTATATCTTAAACCAACACGCGAATTATATAATCTTTTTCTGTTTTTATTGGTTTCAGGCAAAGGAGCCAGGCCGAGTAAAGGGAGCGCTCAGCAAACAAATCCGTGGGTTAAAGGCATAAAAGATCACTTGAAAGCTTCTTCTCAAACATACGAAGAGTATTTTAGGGAAATAATGAAGAAAAAAGAAATTTTCATGAATGATTGCAAGTAAGGAGTAACTTGTTTTTTTTAAAAGAACGTTCGCAAGTTTATCAACCCCCGGGGGGTGCCAAACAGCAGAGTCATATCAACCCTCGGGGTGTCGGTGTTTCTGAACAAACAGCCCACTTGTAAGTATGCCGGGTTTGAATGCAGGGCCGCTGGATTCGAACCCTGGTCCTTTGCCTTTCAGTGACGCCTAAACCGTTGTGTCCACCGACCCCCCTCCAGGTATTCTGATATTAGTTTGTATTTCTTCGTTTCAAATCTTAATAGAAAGAAGGTAGTTTACATAATATGTTTGTCAAGAAATAGTCTATTTTAGAAAAAATCAAAAGAAGCTGTTCACATCATCAAATGAACCGACCTCAATGTTATTTTTACAGTAATAACGTAAATGAAAATATTTATTGGATGTTTGTTTATAATTCATATCATTTTTTATTATTATTACGTATTAATATTTTCATCTCTAAATGTGTGTTGTGTTTCTTCCGCCCTATCCACCAGCTTGGTTACATGGTTTTAATTTTTCAGTTGTTTTGCACGTACATTCTACTGGACGTAGACATGTAAATTGTATTTTCCGCTTATTTAATTTTTGTATGCTGCTATTTGTTGTAGGACCGGAAGAACAAATTTTCTGAATTGGTTAGCTGACACTTTACGAGGGGTCGGCCTTTACTCCGAACAGGTCAAGATGCCTGGGAATCCTTTATCTCTCTACGGCCCAGAAGATTGTCCAAATGCTCTACTTGCATGGAACACTAAGCAAGTACCGAAAAAATGGACGCTGTGTGTTATAGGAAATTTCGACATAGCAGAACCCCAATTGAAGGAAGCCTCTCTTCTGATGGACGGAAGATACATTCCGCCTCGTTACAAACCAGAAAATTGGGGCATTCTCGCAGCATGGCTGTCGGCACTGAGAACGATCTCGAGTGTTGGACTACAGTGGCCGATTAATTTTAAATTAGTTTGGACTGCCAATCAAGCAGACGACTCGGTCGCGTTAATAAAATTCGTCAAAGAGCAAAAGCACGACTTTTTCCTTGACGTCGATTTCTTCTGTACGTGTACAACTTTAAGCAAAACCAGTTTACCAGCCGGGATCGTGTACGGTTGTCGTGGCGCTTGCCATTTCGTAATTGAAGTATCTGAAGGAAGATCGAACTATTGCACCTGTGAGACAGGACCCGCTAGGCAGGCTTATTGTGATATGATGATGATGTTGGACGATCTTCAGAAAGATTGCGTCTACACGTACTTGAATGTCGTCGAGCCTTTTAGGCTTCCACAACGGTTCAAAAAGATAATGGAGAAGGTGTACATTCGTGATTTAACACCAGAATTGGGTTATTGGTACAGGTCTTCAATTCTGAAACAAAAAGTATATAATTTTCCAGAAATGTGGAAACCAGAAGTTAAACTACAAAGTATTAATGAATATCCGAAACATGTAAGTCATAATTATACCATATCCATTATATTTAGTGGTCTGATTGACCAAATTACTTCTTTCAATGAATTAACATTTTTATGTAAGGTTTTGGTTGAAAAGAAAAAGCTAGTGTCACGAGCGGGATTCGAACCCGAAGGTCTTGGGTTCGAATCCCGCTCGTGATACCAGTTTTTTCATTTCAACCAAAACCTTACATAAAAATGTTAATTAATTATACCATATATTGATAACAGTATTATTATATTTGATCGTGTGTGTGTGTGTGTGTGTGTTCATAAAACATTGATTTTTTTATTTTTATTATAACCTGAATACAAAAAGTGAACAGAAAAACATACCAAATTTATTCTAAAATTATTGAAGTTTTTTCTAAATATTTGAATTTCTTTTTATGAAATTTATGTTTTAGTATTTTATTTAATACCCTATTATCTTATAAGTTACCTTCGAGTGATATTAATTTTTGTTTGTAGGGTCATTTGTTTACTCCGGGTACAGTTGTTGCACGGTTTTCTGTCAAGTACATGTCTGAGACGGCACCTTCGAGAGTAGAAGAAATGGTGTCCAGATTGCTGAGAAAGAAGTGGGATAGGTTGGGCAGCAACTTATCCTGCAAACTGAGTATGGACTATTGGTCCAGACCGTGGGTGATGGACTGTGACAACCAATTATTAAAATATGCCAAAAGGGCGGTTTGTAAGTCATTTCACACGCTAGCAGTGGAATCCTTCGATTTCACGCCAAATCCACTTCCGGCCGTTTTAGAATTGATCGTCGGAAAAGACACAGTGTACCTCTCTTTGGCGTCGATGCTCGACATCGGCAAACCTACCCTGAGAAAAAACTTTATGAGAAACGTTAAATCTATTATTATATTCATTAATATTCTGCAGAAAGCGACCACGCATAAAGAATATACCAAGGTATATAACAAAAGAAAATTACAAACTAAAGAAATTAGAAGCATGCTAAATGACTTGTCGCACGTAAGAGAAAAAACACAACCGTACACACCTGAAGAAACTAAAGAACGCAATCAGTTTCTCGATTTGTTGCACGTCTTATAATAGGAAACGGAGATTGGACTGTTTAGTGTTTGTCAATAATAATTATAAAAACTTTGTGTAAACAAATGACTTATCTATTTTGGATTACCTTCATATGAACAACGACCTAGTTTTCTGCCTCCATTTTATAACACTCGGTTTAGTATCGATCAACATATCATCACATCGTACTGTTCGCTTCACAAAATTATTAACCTTGTCAGCTCCTTCTTAAATTTTGTTAAATATAAAAACTGTTAGTCTGAACTTTGTTCGGGAGATAAAACATAAAAGTAGGCGTTTTTAATGTTTTGTACAACATATGTTTTTACATTCGCTGTTTTGGTAATTATGTAACATGATCATTTCTAAAATCATCGATTTGACCGTACCACTTACGACACATACGACACACGAGCATGAGAACGTGATAAAACGAGAGGACACTCCTCCCTTCAGTTACTATGATAAAGGTCGTTTCAACTTTTAGACTAAAAAAGTTCATAATCTTCAGGAAGCAGACAACGTGCATACCAGGACATCTTTTCAGTCCCAGTTTCACGTAACTCAGGTACATATCGTGATTGAATTAAAGATGGTGATAAAGAAAAGCTATACCGCTTTTTATAGAGATGAGAGCGGCGACACCAGATGTGCTTTAAGGTGGGCTCGCGCTTTCTCGGCTGGAGTCCTTGGACAGACCCACACGACATGGCACACCTGTTGAAAAATAAGACTCTAAAATAGCAGGACCAACTCTGCGTCTAAATCTATCGATCTTCATTTAGTTTCATACGGAATCTACATGTACAACCTGTAGGGTGTATAGGTTCATATTTTCTGTATATACTACTACTAAAGATTGCAATATTCTCACTTTTTTCAATCTTTCTGTGTGTTGATTATTTCCCGATATTAATATATCTGTGGCAAATTGCTTATGAAACGAAACTATATATACGATATAATTTTTTATTTATTTCTCAAATGTCTAGTAGAATGTGGATGTTCACAACGACCTTTGCCTACTTAATTTTGATATTTTTAGTTGCTAATAGTTGTTGTGAAGTTAATTAAGTTCCACGTTTACAGTAGTAAATCTTAGTACACCTTTCTTGGTGTTGGCCCTCATGGGTAGGTTCTGAATATCTTCACTACGGGTTATGTATTTTTTAAACATAATTTCAATTGGTGTAATAATAACTAACAATTAACATTGTCTTGCTGGAAGTCTCATCCAATTGGCAAAGGATGTTAAGTTAAAAAAAAAATTAAACATCACCTTCGAAATTGTGAGTAAAAGAACATTAGACACTGACTACAGTAAATCTTCGTTCTTATGTCTCGTCAGATATAGGTTTGGTTGAAAATGTGTCGCAATCTCTGTCTGCAATGACGTGGTGGAGTCGTGCAACTCTTCACATGAGTTTCCTCTGAATGTTCTAAATGATTATTTATTAAAAAATTAATGGAGATCAATAAATCTTTATGTAAGGTATTGGTTGAAATGAAAAAGTTTGTCACGAACGGGATTCGAACCAACGACCTTCGGCCCTGTACGCCGCTGTTCTAACCACTTGAGCTATCGTGACTTCGATCCTCTGGACACCAACTCCTCTAGCGGAAAGCCGTGGGTTCGAATCCCGCTCGCGACACTAGCTTTTTCATTTCAACCAAGACCTTAGATACAAATTATAATTAATTAAAATTTATTTTAATTTGATTATGTTTTTACTTTTTTTTCGGACTCCAGATACTAATATTGTGGCCCATAAACACACACATCGTACATAAATATCATTTTATCCCTGTGTGTTTGACAAAAGTAACAAAAACTTTGCGAAACCGACAATTCATTGAGTGATTCATCAGTGGATAACGAAGTATTTTTTAATAATGATAATTTTACCTCAGAAACATAGAAAATAATTAACTTCCATCAATCAAAAATAAAAACAATTGAAATGCGGTTTGAAGAAACTTTTAAATATTGGTCGAGTTGTTGGGTTCTTTTAATACTAACAGATGACATCATGTTCTCCCACTGGGCTTAGCTGTATTGCATTTAAATTTTAAATTAATCGACTTAGTGAAGATTTGTATAAACTTAACCAACTGATTTGTCGACTTAAAACAAGTTTCTCAGCGAAGAGCGACTATTCTTCGGGACTCAAACACGAAGGCGTTCGCCAATTAAATTCCGAATGAATACCATGATAAAAAGTTATTAAGTGTTGTTAAATGCTAGAAACAAATTGAACTACAATATCTTTATTGTTGGTTAAATTTTTATTTCAAGTAACACGAATATTACAAGGTTGACACTATGTCCACTTCGCATTTAAAATATCAGGCCTAGAGTGAATCATTAAATATATTGTACAGTTTAGGCGCCTAAAAATTAATATAAAAAAAAAGTTTCAATCGGGGTCAGTATGGACTGTTCTAATTGACTGCTGGTCGTTCATCTCTCCACGCTCTGAGATCGACGACTGGAATCGAAGGACTTTGGCATCCTACGCGTTGATTTCTGGGAAAAAAAATCACATTTAATAAAATAGCCTGAGGCTTAAGTAGCGTTTATGTGGGCACAGTTTATGTACTTACAAGAAGGAAGGTTGGATGAAAACCAACGGTTGCATTAACGCAATATTATCTGAATTATCGCAGATAATGCGTGCTAAGCTCGTTTTCTTTATCTCGGAAAGTTGCTCTAGAACAGGATGTAAGGTTGTGAATTTTAATTTGAATACGGTTGGGAGAGAGAGCAACAAAGGTCGTTAACTCCCCTCAAGACATTTACTGTGTCAAAGTGATTTGTAAATATGTAACATAACATTACATAATGTATGATATTATACAAATAAATATTATTTAAAAAAAATAATACAGATAGATGTGGGTGATAGGATTTTTCTCCCACAATCGGTTTAGCCGATAGCTAATATAATGAATTAATAATGCTTGTGCTATGAATCTAAAAGGGCTCATTTTTCAACTCCACGCTTATTTAGAATAATACAAAATCTAATAGAAAAAAATTATTATTTTATTTGTACATGTTACAAACGTGATTACTTAACCTTTTTTCACACAGTCATAGCAGTTATTAATTCCAGCGCTGGAATCGGAGGGGAGTATGTGTAGAGTATGCTGGAGCATTAAGATTAGGTTGGATCGAGAGGTTGGTGTGAAACGTTTGGAATCGGGAACGGACCAGTTCGTCGATAAAATGATGTTGAGGTCGCTGTGAATACAGGTTACCGACGTAGTACGAAGCTTTGACGGTTTGTCTAAGAACTTTTAATTGGAAGGATTGGATTCGCTGGATGTTGGATGGCTTGGCAGTTCCCCTACAGTTCCACTCCGTTTGTCCAAAGTGGTCGCAGTAAAGTTTTGTATAAGGTTAGTTTAGTGTTGACGGTCAAGACGCCTTTCGTCTTGGATATTAGATCGATACAAGCCGGCGTCTCACAAGGGAACATTCTGGTCCCATCCTTTACAACATTTATACTGCTGACCGACTTATAAACCCTAAACAACATCACAACCACCGAAAGGATTTCGGTCATAGAAGTCTTCGTAATTGTCCAAGTCTTCTGTTTAGTTGTTGTCAAGAGACAGAAGACTTAATGAAGCCTTATATGGTAATTCCACGTCAGTCTGCTTTCTAGGTATAGTCCTAAGTATTTGACTTGAATAGAAGTCGGTATCTCTTTGTTAATGTACAATGGAAGGCGAGACTGTTTTCTCAATAAGAATGTACACTGAGTACATTTTTCTTCCTACACTTTTTGTACCAACAGGACAAAATTGTGGTTATGATGGTATTAGGGGGTATAGGTAAGTCAGCAGTATAAATGGTATAAAGGATGGGACCAGAATGTTCCCTTGTGAGACGCCGGCTTGTATCGGTCTAATTTCCGAAAGCTCGCTGCTACACCTTATTCAGCAAAATAAATGTAAATAAAATGACTAAAGTCAACTAAAAGTCATTTGGTTTATTGTTATTTTTCTGAGTAAATTATATGCATATTTATCTATACAAAGGTAGAATATCAGGATAAAATAATAAGGAGTAGGTAGGAGGCGTTTAAGTTTTTTCAGCATGCCCGAGTGCCACAAAGCCAGAGCTACATCTAGGAATGTACCCAAGCAATACTCTCTAGAGCAGAGGAGATATTGGCTACGCCTCTGAAAAGATGGATCGTGGAATGATGAGAACGGAAGCTGAATTGGTGGAAAGGAATATATAGGATGGTTATTATCGAACAATTTCAACTGGATTGTTTGTGAGGTTTTGTGAAGAACCTTTAGCCTTGTTGAACCGTAGAATGATGGGGTCGGAAGCTGTGGTGAGAAGGAATGATTTTATTAGTAACTAGGATGGGTACTAAGCGCTTTAATTGTTACAAGTGAGCCTTATTGGTGTGCTACATACAGGGTTGTGACTTACTTGCAGAAAATGAAGACGGTTGGTTGCCTTCTTCGTAAAAAAATCTATCGGCTCTTCTCAGCCTTGCAAACTGGTCTCCTACCAAGCAAACTAATGTCGGCCCGAGAATAGCGCCTTCCTTGTGGTGTTCGGCGACAGCACCGATGAAGAGATCGATCTCATTCACATTGGTGTACAGATTACTTAAAATTCTCACGGTCTGAAAAATAAAGAAACAACAACTTTGTAATGCTTTAAGAATAGAAAGAGAAAAGAGAGATAGAAAGATAGATGGATAGTTAGATAGATAGAAAGATAGATAGAGAGATAGATGGGTATATAGATATGTAGAGAGAGAAAGATACTTAGATAGATAGATAGAGAGAGAATGAGGGAGGGAGAGGGAGAGGGTGAGGGAGAGGGAGAGGGAGAGGGAGAGAGAGAGAGAGAGAGAGAGAGAGAGAGAAAGACGGAGAGAAGAAAAGAGAGAAATGCATTGTACATAATAAAGTATCTTTCGTTTTCGTTTGTCATTTCGACCAACTTCTAGTAAACGTGATACAGATAGATGCTTATAAACAATTATATTGATAATTTTGATTAAACGCTGTCACCTGAGGATCCATATCTCTGGCAAGATCCGCCCACGTTCTTGCCCTGGGAAGACCACATACTTCTCGCCAGTCGTTATAAGGCGGTAAACCGTGGTCTCTTCCTCTTTGGATGTTTAGAGCAACGAGGTCGAGTCCAATGTCTAAATCTCCTTGAAATAGATGATCAGTTAACTAGAACAAGGGGAATTAGAATGCTATGGATTCAACGAAATAAATTTATGTAAATATTTACGATGTAACATCGCGATGCAAAACTAGGCTAAGGTCACACCGGAGGTGACAAGGTAGGTGTTTAGTAACAATGTGATCGCCTGGTTACTTGGTGGCAGGTTACAGGTGGCCACACCAGGATGACGTTACTAGTGTTTTGTACTTTGTGTAAGGAAGTGCCCTAAATGTCTTTCTCTAAATTAACTAGAAAATTATTTCTATAATATGATTTATTAGAGTATAAATCAAGGGGTTGGGTGCATGACATCACACGGCGAAGAATGTTGGAAGGTGGTGTGTGGATATTTACGTGGTAACGATTTTTGAGGAGATCCTCATTCGGATTCCATAGAGTAGGTCTTTTAAAAACTTCAGAAATAACCTCATCCATCATGAAACGATCTGAATTCACTACCCCATCAGGTAAAAGAAAACAGACCCGCTCGTTTACTAGGTGAATCGCTATGTAACCATGTACTAGTGTGGCCGTTCTCAAATTTTCTACAATGTTCGTTTTCCTGGGTGACTCACCAAGCGACTCGCCTTGTCACTAGTCACCTAGCTTGTCCCCTCCGGTGTGGCCTTAACGAACTTACCTGGTTTGAGAAAAACCTGTCAACATTCTGACTAGCTTGGGCTGAAAGTCCTCGGAGCAAGTCGTCCATTACTCCTTCACGGTACAACATGAAAGGGGCAAAATGCTGTTTACTCAATTCGATGTTGGCCCTTAGATTGCCAAAACGGCTGTAACCGCTATAACCAAAATGAACTGTGTATATATTTTTTTCAATCAATTATTCTTTTTATGTAAGGTCTTGGTTGAGTTGAAAAAATTAGTGTCACGACGGGAGACACCGATAGCTCAAGTGGTTTGAGCAGCGGCGTATTGAGCCGAAGGTCGTGGGTTCAAATCCCGTCGTGACACTAACTTTTTCATCTCAACCAAGACCTTCCATAAAAAGAATAATTAATTGAAAGAAGGAATTTGGTCAATTAGACCACAAAACATAAATGGATGTATTTATATTGTAGCTATTCATTTTGTAAGATTTGAGAATAATACAATCATAATTCATAACTAAACATAATTCTTGTTAGCAAATCCTTATGTTCGAACAATACAACACAAAAGGTACTTTTCCGTTAGATTTAGAAAGAAAATGGTCGTGTTTTTTAAAACCATACCTTCGATTTATGGTGATTTGACAAATCTTGCGGAAATATGTTTAGGGATGGAGTTATTGTGTAACGGGAATGATATTTATAGTTACGTTCCATTATATTATTATTTCGATATGTCATTACAATCCATTAGATTTCGTAGTCCGATTGTCCAAATAACTTCTTTCTATTAATTAATCTTTATGTAAGGTATTACGTTAAATACGTCACTCAAGTGGTAGAGCAGCGGCGTATTTAGCCGAAGGAAGGTCGTGTGTTCGAAGCCTGCTCGTGAAACTGGCTTTTTTATTTCAACCAATACCTCATATAAAGATTAATTAATTGAAAAATGGCAATACAATGTTAATGTTTGAACTTACTGCAAAAAACTTTGTATTTGGCTATGGCCATATCGAAAAGCTGCCGTAGCAAAAACATTAGTGATCCCTCCGTTTAAGTTAGGATCGTAAAGATTGGCCCATCCGCGGTCTTTGGGCGAAAGTGAACTGCGATCCATATAATCTCGCCCTATAAATTGAGTTTCAAATATATTAGCCGATTACGGTTGTTCGTCATTATTAAAAGCTAACCTAGAATAATTGGAAGAAACTCGTTGTAAGTAATATGTTGAATTTCTGCTATAACAATTCTTCTCGCCTCTTGATAAAGAGCTTCATCGCTCCATTGAGGATTTACTTGCGATAAAATGTTTGCTATCCTATTATGTTCTCTCAACCATACAGTATGGACTAAAGCAAGGTCCACTTGTTCGTTAACCCGGCCATCGCCTGTTGAAAAAGTAGTAGGTATTATTAAATACACTTAAAAAAAGCTAATTAGCATACCAGCCCGGAAACAAGCTACAGTGTTAGATTGGTCCGTACACTCCCCAGGATTATCAGGTAAAAGCGTACGGCCTCGGATATTCTGAATCCTGAGTTGTCCTCCTCTAAAAGTTCTTAAGCTCCTCGCTGTATTATCATTGGAACCGTATATGTTCGATCCATCTAAGTATCCGGTGATCTGATTCATCTGTAACATCGTGAACGCGACATATTTTAATTATCCTCTATCAGTGAATAGGGCTATTTTAGCACCTGCTCTCTTGGGCCGAAATTACATTCTGGCCGCGGTGCTGGAAGAGATCTCGAAAATTCCATACACCTGTCTCCAAATGGGGCAAAAATGTGATCCCTACGTGGAAGTTCTATTGGAAAGCAATCAGGGTGTCTAAATTGTTCAGGGATCAATTTCCCATCTCTGCAACATGATATTCCCGATCCACCTTCTCCTCGGCTGATAGGCGTGTGCGCCAAGTCGTGATCGAGAAATTGCCCCCACTGCATCACCATCATTGTGTAATTGTCCGACGATCGATCTGCATCCTGAGCGAATCTAGTGCTCAACAATCTGGCACTAGGGAGAAGCACTCCGTCAGATCCGAGCGTTCTAGGTAGATTGACTCCTGTTCAAAAGCATTAGTACAATTACAAAACAAACTCGGACAACGTCTTAATGTTTGGCGATGGAAAAGAACGAGCAATTTTCCATATAGTAAGCTTAATAAGTTTTAAATTAAGTTGCATTATGAGGAAAGCTTTTTCAAATTAATCGAGTGGATAATTAATCTGGTAAAAGTATCAAAACCATGGGTCTCACCGTCTGCGTATTTCGGAGGCAATATTCTTTGCAAAGCGGTGCCTGCCATGCCCCAATCTGGACGGGCAAGATTGTTACACGTTCCATCCATTGTTCTGTATTTTGTCGCAATACAGTTAGAAAATCTCGGACAAGTATCCGCCAGTACTGTTGACAATAAACTGAAGGACGGAAGGGCAAAAGTCCCTTGGTCGGGTGAGAGGTGGAATCTATAGTAAAACGACTGAATAAATAATCAATCAATAACGAGTAACTGTCATAACGAGTCATGAAGAGTGTGGGCTTTAAAAATATTCCGTAATGTAAAATAAAAATATTTACTCATTCACTAATGCTGTACTCGCTTCTATACTTTTCTGGGCTTCGTCTCCAATAGCGAGCGTCTGATTTGTGGTTGGAAAAAATTCTTGATGAGATGCCGCCGCCGACCCAGGTCGAACTATTATTCTTTTAGTGAAAAGTTCGTGGAGGAAAGAAAGCCTTTCTTTCACTGCCTGTAACGCTACTTGACCGGCATCGTTCAATTGTCTTGGGGTCAATGGAGGTATAGGCACGTTCGGCGGGGGCGGGGAATGAAGTACGCCGGAACTTTTCGGTCCCAAGGCTGAAATATTTATTAGCTCATTAGTATCGCTGCAAATTAAACTTTGTGCAAATTAATTCATGACATGATCTTAATTTTAAAATGTATTGAATTGAAATAATTTTTAAAAAAAATAAGAACAATAATAATGAAGAATGTATGATTTATATTGTGTGTGTGTGTGTGTGTCTCGTGTGTGTGTGTGTGTGCGTGTGCGTGTGCGTGTGTGTGTGTGTGTGTGTGTGTGTGTGTGTGTGTGTGTGTGTGTGTGTGTGTGTGTGTGTGTGTGAGAGAGAGAGAGAGAGAGAGTGTGTGTGTGAGGGAGAGGGATTCTCACGTGCTGGTCGATTCTTAGCAGGACAGCATACTCCAAGTTCTTCCTTTCCTAGAGAGCAAGGCTGCTTCCTTAATTCAGGCAAGTCTGTATAAAATGCCAAACAGTTGACCAGGGGCCGGCATAGCCCGCTGACTCCTGTTGCAGTTTGACAAACTAGCTCACGATTAGCAACCTGAACTCTAGCTCCTTCGTCTAATTACATAAAAACGTCCATATGTTAAAGTGAATATGTAATAATGTTGTTATCAGCACTCCCATTAGCCGCTTCCTACCTTCTTCGACTTTTTTAGGATTTTCAGATTCATTTTGAATGTTTTGAAGTGGTTCTACGAAGACGGGCTGAAATTGAAATATTTCACCATTTAATCTCCTTTGGAGATCTCTTTGCAGCCGGAGCATTTCTTGTTGCAATCGTTCGATCTCTGATTGGATGTCAGACGATTGCTGTTGCAGTCTAAGCAATGCATCCCCCGATGACACCTGTCGACACGAAAGAAAATAGTGTATTTTTAAATTTAATTTATTTAACGATATTTTAAATTTTATTTAACGCAAAAATATGTCGTATTCTACGACGCACACCACAAAAACGAATAGTTTTGTTATTATTTTCCCTCATAGAACTAATTGAATGTTAGATTTATTGAAAATAAATTGTAATAAGTCGTATAATTTGTAAAACGTAATAATTATAATAACAATAAATTCGTCGAGAGTAATGTGGCTGTGTTCGTACGAAAACTACTGACCTGACTGGCATGCTGGATTTGCTGAAGTTCAGAATGAAGTTGTGACTGTCTAAATTGTACCTTTTGCTGCTCCAATTGCTCAGGGAGCAAGTCGACATGAGCTTGCGCATTTTGACCACTTCCACTCAAACAGAAAAACGTCAAATGGAGAAGCAAAATGTGCCACATCTCTAGTGTTCAGGGTATACTTGCCATCTGAGATGAGGACTAAAAGAATGAGATGAACCCCCATGGTCACGCTAATCCCCCACCAACTTACCTCATTCTTCGCCAAATAATCAGCACTCCAATTCTAAATAGTATTATTGAAATTTTTCATTTATTTCCTTCAATGGTCAGACGTTAAATTGTTTAAAAACATTAGTTTATCTCCAAAATCTTACATATTTTTTTTTAAATCGGCTCTCAAAATCTAACAGTTCATTCCCATTTCAAAGGCAAATATTCATTTATATAAATTTTGTATTTGTTTAATTCATAGTTCATTTTTCTTTATACAATATATTCAAAAGTCGACTACATATCACATGATGCTAATATTATTTAATTTTGTTTGCTTTTGAGAGTACCACCAAAAATTTCACTACAGCCCATGAAGCCATAATTTACGTACATTTTTATTCACACATTAATCTTCCATTAATTCCATTTTTTAACAGGATCACACTTTCTTCTAATATATGGACACAGGAAAGTTTTTGTGGATAAAGTTCAATTTCAACCGAGGAGACGCCTCAAGTGGGGGCCAGATCCGGGCGAATGTAAGTAGCGAGAGCCGGCTCTTCTGCAGTCAGCGAAAAGAATAAGAGGCAAATTATAAAATCAAGGAAATAGCAAGGTCGGTCTCTCATTAGATTCGAGATTCAGAGCGAAGAAAAACATATAAAATAATTATTACGTGGATTAACAGCTTTTTTGGGGCGATTTTAACGCGTATCCATCTGAATCTTAAGAGTTTGACTATAAACATTAGAACTGAAAATATTTATAGCTACGATGTGTTAAAGGCTAGCCAAAAATTATTAGAAATGGAGAAATTAGAAAATAATTATTACGTACATTAACAGTTTGGGCGATTTTAACATGTATCCATCTGAATCTTTACGCGTTTGATTTTAAAAAATAGCACTGAAAATATTTGCCATAATAAATTTCAGGGTAGTACAAAATTGATTAAAAATATAATGCATTAGAAAATAATTATTACGTACATTAACAGATATGTTTTTGGTGAGTTTAACGTAAATAACTGAATATTTACGCGTTTCACTATAAACATTAGCGCTGAAAATATTTATGCTAGGATTTATTAAAGGGTTGTCCAAAATTAATTAGAAAGAGAGCACTAGGAAATAATTATTTCCTAGATTAACAGATTTTTTGGTGATTTTAACGTAAATAACTTTGATTATTTACGCGTTTGATTATAAACATTAGCACTGAAAATATTTATTCTACGATATATTATAGGCTAACCAAAAATTATTACAAATAATTATTACGTACATTAACAGTTTGTCTGGGCGATTTTAACTTGTATCCCTCTGAATCTTTACGCATTTGACTATAAACATTAGCACTGAAAATAATTACGCAAGGATTTATTAAAGGGTAGTCCAAAATTAATTAAAAAGAGAGCACTAGAAAATAATTATTACCTCGATTAACAGCTTTTTTTGGGGCGATTTTAACGTGTATCCATCTGAATCTTGAGTTTGACTGTAAACAATAGCACTGAAAATATTTATAGCTACGATATGTTAAAGTTATCCAAAAATGATTAGAAATGGAAAATATTAGAAAACAATTATTACCTAGATTAACAGTTTTTTTTTGTGTGGTGATTAACGTAAATAATTCTGTAACTTTACGCGTTTGACTGTAAACATTACAACTGAAAATATTTATGCTGCGATATATTAAAAGGTAGTCCAAACTTGATTAGAGATCAAGCATATTAAAGTTCATAAATCTTATAAAGCAAGCAATTTTCCTCGAACTTTCGTCGTGTACGACCATGTTCAGTCTGTGTTCACTTCCCATAACGGTTTTGAAATTGTACATTCAGATTCAATATTTTTTCTAGAAAATTATTCTTAGCGTTACATTTACTTCCATTAATTTTTTGCGGTGTGTAAGGCGGAATTAAATTTTAAAACAATCGTTGATTTTAACCACATGTAGTCTCAATTAAGTAGGTGTCTACTTTCGGCCCAAACGCTTGTAACTATTTCTAGCATAGCAAGGATATCATGATTTCATGTTTTTTTTTTACGAGGGTTCGCAACAGCATAGGTTATATCAACCCTCGGGGTGCCGGTGTTTTTTGAAAAAAAAGCCCATTTGTAAGTATGTCAGGTTCGAATGCAGGGCCGCTGGATTCGAACCCGGGACCTTTACCTTACAGTGATGAGCGCCGTGTCAACGCCTAAACCGTTGCGGCCACCGACGACCTCGATTTCATTTAACAACTTTTCAAGAAAAATGGAGAAATTCAATTATGAAGTATGTCAATACAATAGCAGTTGAGAGAACCGCAAAAGGGTTTAAATCAACTCGACGGCAGCAATTTACCCTTGAGTAATTAATATTAAATATTCAATAGAAAGATTGACATGTCTTATCTTAGTAAATAATTAGATCCAGTCACGTAGCTAACAATAGTCGGGGTGAGTAAGGCGTTTTGTCTTTGGCGAGGTCGATCAATTATGTCACAACCCGACAATTACCCGTCTGGGTTTTTCTCAGTCGGACGGAGTGCACAACCAGGATGCCCGTAGTAAAACACGACTCAGAGCTTTCCGAGAAGACATCCCTGAAAGTTAAACGCGACTTCACTTTCAGTTTATTGCCTGATCTTAGATCCGCTTGCTTCGTATTCTCCTAAATGAAGTATAATAGTAAGGCCTTGGGTAGTAGTTAGGAAAGTTAATCCGTATTGATTTGAAACTCGATCACGGCTACGATTTATTCAAGTTTATCAAAACAAGCATGTAAAAGAAACCTTTGTGTGCTTGAAATTAAAAAAAAAAGAAAACTTATTTAGCACCTACATGTATGTTAAGGATCTTTTGTCACTTCTATATGATTCACCTCTGCAATCAAATGTGACCTTCGAAAGCAGAAAAACTATTTCTTTTTCCTTATATTAAATGCATTTAATCAGCAAGCGTACATTCAATAACATCTGCGTAATCAAAACTGGATTATTTTATATGGATTAGGAATAGGTCTAAACTATAGAATTATTAATCCACATATGTATTCAGTAGTCATAATTGACCGTATTAATTATTTTACTTAATTATTCTTTTTAATCTAAGGTCTTGGTTGAAAAAGTAAGTGCCATAAACGGGATTCGAACCCACGCTCTTCCACAGACCAACGGCGTATCGAGCCGAAGGTTGTGGGTTTGAATCACGCTCGTGACACTTGCTTTTTCATCTCAACCTTGGATTAAAAAGTATAATTAATTATTATAGAAATATTATGATTTATCAGATTGTAAACTTTACAATTAGAAATTGGAATTGGAAACCTATTGGAACAATGATCCACTTTTCCCGAAGAGAGTTCAACGCACAAGGCATAAGACTTCTGCAGTTGAATCAAGAAAAGAGATGAATATCGCAAAGATTAGGGAGAGGATTTTTATTTACTAAAAAAGTGAAAATATGTATATAAATGTTTTTATTTTGGTCTCATAATCGGTATTTATTTTTAAATAAAACGAAAAAAGATTAAAAAAATAAACAAAATATATTTAGTACGATTAAAAAGAACAAAACAAAAATTGCAACTAATTTCATTTCTTAAAGTATTGGGAATGACATAATATTTTAAAATTTCATAATCGAAATGGCGATAATCAGGTCTTAAAATATATTTAATTTATACTAATAGAGCGTTCTACATCTGCCGATTTTATTTGAGCAAAATTAAAACATAAAATTTTCATTTGGGCTCTTAAGTTTCGTTTGTTTCCCTTTCAAAATGTCAAAGATATATTTTTGCTTTTTGAATCCAAGATATTTAAACAGCACAGCTTCCACCTTCTTTATTATGTTACTTTCGAATTCAATATCTTATATGTTTTTGGTTTGGTTCAGTATTTTATCGCAAGCGCAATACACATGGTATTGTAGAAGTATGCTGAAATGAATGCCAAATTTAGATGAGTGTATGTTTTGCCATTAGATTTTTTGGTCTTTTCAATTAATGTAAAAGGAACAGCATCATGTTTTGTATAGCTATATCTTTGTTATGTAGAAATTTTTGCGATAATATTTCACCGTCTCTAACCGTGTTCTCCATCAAATCAGAACAGGCTGACAAATCTCAATAGGTTAAGGATTTTTGTGCGACTTGTTTCTTTTACAAATATTTTTGTTACTATAATTTACTTTTAACGGTGTTTGGAGCTGGATTATTGGAAATTTAGATTGGTTACTTCTAAAGTAAAAAAAAAGATTTTACTTTCTTTCTTTTAATGCCATACTATCATTCAAATCGCGAATTAAAATAATTAAATATTCCATAATAAAGTAAAACGTGTGAAATGAAGAAAATATGTCAAAAATTTAATTTACTCAAAAATATATGAAAATTTAACATTAGCATGCTTCAAGATTAATAGATCAATAGAAAGTTGTAATATGTCAATATTTGGGCTTTAAAAAAATATGTAAACACATAAAAATCCGCTCTCTAGTGATAACATTCTAAGATTTATAGTTTGGCCATTGTCCATTATTTTAATCCGCCTACCCTCGCTATTTCGGTCTGTCGACCCACTATTAAAGATGGTGGGAATCCGACAGATCGGAAACGACTAAGCTTCGGGTTCATCACCCTGCAGACCCGAAGACGAAGTTATACAGATTTTGACTGTATAGTATATTCAAGTTTAAACAGAGCATTTGACTGGACTAGTGCTATTTAACATATTTTACTTTTAAAAAAATATTTCGCAAACGATTTAGCCTATGATTACGTTGTTAATATGAACCCTAGCACAAAAAAACAAACATAATAATAAAATCAAACACCAATAATAATAAAAGGTAAGTAACGAGAACGAAAAGGTTTTTAATTTTTATTGTTTGATTTGCCATTTTAGAGGGGATATCATTTCTTGGAAGAATCCTCAATGTTCAAGGCGGTCATTTTGTATCGCCAACGGCCTTCACCTGAGCACATTAACTCGACAACCTTATACATATTTTATAAATCCATTAAACTGGTTTCGCATTTTCTATTCGAACCGTTTGTCAGAAGGAATGTCTTTTAACAAAAAAATCCCGTCGAAAAATCCTCGGTTTATTAGCGTCTTGGAAAACCTTAATCGTAGCCAGTCATGGGAAAAAAATATATTCTACTTTAAGGTTGGTTAAAGAGAGTATTATACTAAAATGACGGTGCAGGAAAAATTTTTGAACTATTACTGTTACAACGCATGCACAATTAACAAGCAAATAAACAAAGGACATACACACGAGCCAAAAACCAATCGACACCCCTAAAACATACATTATACTTTCTAGGATTACAGAAGTAAATAATAGCAACATATCATTGTTTGCTCACCGGCATGAACTCCGGAAGCACGATCTTGAACTATCCCTGACTTTAAAGGACCTCTTGGAGAAATATTTCATTTGCTCTTTTAAATAAAATCAATGCCCACCATTGGGAGAATTGTTTAGAAATGCCAAGTGAAAACATTAAAATTTACAAAGAATTTAAGTCATGACACGGAAACTTTTAACTTTTTTAACAGATTTGTTACAAGGAATCTAACCTGACAGAGCTCCGATGGCTTTTTAAAATTCGCGGTGAGGTCAGCATTATGGAGATTTAGGCAAGTGTAATCTTTGCAAATCGCGTGCTGTTGAAGACGTATATTGGCCGAATGTTAAATATTGAATGAGATACGGTTTTAATATTTTGGTGCGGTTGTGTTGGAAAGAGAAAATTCCTTCAAATATTCAATGGATTAGATAAATCTTGGTATGTCCGGCATGCTTGGAGATGTCGTACGCTACTTTTCTATTTAATTTTAGTTAAATACTAGTGTGTTTCCTCTTTTGCTTAAGTTTCCCCTGAATTTTTAGTTAGTACGTGAGCAAGTTCGTTTTATTTTAAATATTTCTATTTTATTTATTATTTTTTTACATTATATTAAAAAAATCATTATAATTATAAAGAAGAGTAATTTATTTGGACAACCTCCGCCAGGCGGATTTTCTATCCATGTTGTAATGCTTATGTCAATTATTTCTTTGTTAATTATGTACACATTTATCAATAAAAGTAATATATCATACATTAAATTAGGGAAAAAGATCTTGGTCCTAAAAATCGCAGTAAAAGCTACAAATAACCTTTTAGACAAATTACCGATAAGACCAACTCACTAGAAAAAACGGTACACGGACGTGAGCATTGCAACAAAGCACAATCAACAAAACCAATAAATATAGGACACCTTAGAAATGGATAATAAATATACCGAAATCATTAGAGAAGTATTATTACTTAAGTAGTTCATTTTTTCTTTGATACATTATACCATACAGAAAAACCGAACTAAAGGTAAAAACATTCCTGGAAAACGTGAAAGCCAAAGCATTGAAAAACAAGGCTAAACCACTTGGCAAAAATGGTACAATAATTGCAATAGTGACTTGCAAATGCGAGGAAAACACATCAAAAGCAGAAATAAAATAAAAGAGAGAATAGGGGGGAAAATGAGATCATTTAGGGACAATGAGGGAAAATTCAATTGGGCAACTCACTTGACACGAAATCACATGAATTCTCCACAATAACTACAAGTGTAAAATTGTGAAATTTTCTCCTGTGGTCTGCGGGATGATCCCGCAGACCACAGTAGGAAATATATATATTAGATATATATTAGTGAGTGGTGTTTAGTGCCATTAATTAATGATTATTTGGAGATCGTGAGACCAGACTGCATCTCACATCTCCAAATAATTGCTAATGCCAGTGCTGCAGCCAAAGGACATATGCTGTGAGTAACTAGCCAATTCTGGCACTCAGCATGCTATTAGAGGGGATTAAAGAACAAGGATGTCTTGAGACCATCATCAATTAAAGCGACTTGGTTGGTTCTTATTTTTATTTTACTTATTATTTTTCTACATTCTATTAAAAAACATCAGTTATCATAATAAAGAATAATAATTTATTTGGTCAACAACCTCTGGCAGGTAATTTTCCATTCATGTTGTAATGCTTATGTCAATTATTTCTTTGTTAATTAAAAGTATCCTCTATCTATCTAGCTAACATATATTAAATTAGGGAAAAAGAGCATTACACAAAAGTAAGGCTACATGGTGGGTTCTTGGGATCGTTATGTATAGAGAGGGTTTGATCAGTAAGTTAAGGATGGATCGAGTGGTGTGAAATTTTTGATATCAGCATCAGTTTGTTGACAAAAAAGCATGTTGAGGTCCTTGTGGATAGGGAGGTTAGTGACATAGTAAGGGTCTTTGACAACTTGACTGAGGAATTTTGATTGGAAGGTTTGGCAAAATTCAACTCCATATATCCAAAGCGGTCGCAGTAAAGTCTTGTACAAGGTTAGTTTAGTGTTGACTGTCAAGACAGATTTCGGTCCTAGAAGTCTTCCTAATTGTCCAAGTCTTTTGTTAAGCGGTTGTCTCTTAAGCGTGGGGAAGGCACCTCAGTCTGCTCATATAGTCCTAAGTATTTGACTTGATTGGAAGTCAGTATTTCTTTGTTTTGATGTACAGTGGAGAACAAGACTGTTTCTTCAATGTACATTTTTCTTCATTAAGTCCTCCTCTTTTTGCAACAGATGAGAGATTGATAAGCTCAAGGTGCTCTTGGCTCTCGGATACAGCTTCAATTTATAGGACAAAATTGCGGTATCGTCTATATAGGTGGTGATGATGGGCAGGTAGGTCAGCAGTATAAGATATAAATGATGGGACCAAAAAGGCTTTCTTGTGGGTTGCTGGATTGTATTAGTCTGATTATTGAGGACTCGTTGCCACACCTCATTCAGAAGCAGCAAAATGAATGTAAATAACCAAAGAAAAGCCAAGTAAAAGTCATTTGTTTTATTGTTATTTTTCCAAATAAATTATATACATACTTATCTTTATAAATCTATAATAAAAGCAAATGGTAAAACATTTATTTATCACACTTTTGTAAAGCTCAATTTGACTATTGACCTTCGCTATCTTCATCACTTTACAAATATAGACACAATATTTACAAGTTTGTATAATATTTCATTTTGCATTTAGCAGAAGTTTATACTTTTTTAAATAATATTTCTTTTTCTCCATAAATGAATATTATTTATTCTTTTGTATAGTTTTATGATTTTGGTTAATGCGAACAAGTCAACTAACTATTAATATATCTTTTTATAAATCAGGGCTTTTTCTCAGACAAATACAGGTGTCATGGATTTTATTTGATTAAAGCTTGTTGTCACCAAAATTTTCACTATAACCAAAGAACAAACTCAATTTGTTAATACTCTAAGGCGTGATGTACATGATGAATTACAACCATAAAAATTAAATTATACATTGATAACAAGTTATAATATGTATAAAAAAATTGTCATAACTAACCTCATGCAATACAGAAGTATTCTACAAAAATGAGATATTTTAATTTAAAACACAAAAGCTATCAGTTAATGTTACTTTAATTGTTTATAAATAATAAATATATAATCAAAATAGTCATAAATAATTCTAGAATTATAAATAAAACTGGACAAAGTCTAGGCTTAAAAATAATGTGACAGTTGATTGGAACAAAAAATTAATAAATAAAATCTTGATGCAAAATAGAGCTAGAATAAGAATCCAGAGGAAGAAGAGTAATGACAAAATTTATAAATTTATTGCCCTTAACAAATAAACATAAAATAAGTAAATGGCCAACGATTGAACAAGAGTGTTCAACAACATGTGATTTATTTGTTACATTAAAAACAGAATTTTACAATATAATTTTTTTTAAGTTTGTTTTTAGTATTGTTTATAAAAAGGAATAAAGAAGTAAGGATTGTTACAAAACTCTTTAAGCAAAGTATGGAATGAAAGGCCATGAGTAGATGACATTTTACAAATAATTTGATTTTAATCAATCAACTTAGCATTTTATCAATACCTTTCTGGCACTGGTATTCTAAGTTTAGTTAAATGAATGTGCCACAATTAGAAAATGATAAGCATTAAAAATAATAATGACGTTCAAACTTAATGACATTTTATTTAGGAACTCTTATTATTTTAATTTATCTAACGTCAGCACCATGGAATAAACTTACAAATACATTTACAATTTGTAATACATTTTGTTGATGTTGGGTCCGTTTAATTTTTATATTACTGGTTTTATTTTAATTTAAAACAGGCGGTTAGTTCCATCATATGAACCTAGTCATTGAACCAGCATATTGTACAATCACAAATAAAAATTTTAATATTTTTTCATAGCGAAATAATTTATTAACTTTCTTCCAGCAAATACAAACAAAATGTATTATTTCTTAATCTAAATTGTTCTTGATTGAAAACGTTCCCCAATATTATTGTTTGGCACTCTGGAGGAAACAAAAATGTATCAAGTTGTATTTGGCTTGCTGAATTTTCTTTTATCTATATAAATACATCGAATATAATATTTCCTCATTATTCTTGAGAAAGAATACATTTTATCAACTATTCATTCTAGTTCATTAACCATTCATTTGTAAATCTCTAGTTGTGTGTTCAAACTATTATTTTCTTAAGTAAAATTTATCATTAATGTATTCAAACCATATTTTTATTTATCCAGTCAATGTATTTTGACACTCTTGTATACACACCTGGATAACCAGGTTCACCACATTTGTTTCCAAACGAAACTATACCTATTTGCATCCATTTTCCTTGTTCTCTTAGCATCAGTGGTCCACCTGAGTCTCCCTGCAATCAATAGTTTATATAAATATTTTTAAATATACTACTACGAATATACTGCTACATTCCAATTTATGAGTGGTATTTTAATACAGGTTGTTTAATAAATTGAACAGCTTTGAGTAAGTTGATTGTATTGATTATGTTTACAATTTACCTGACAAGCATCTTTTCCACCTTCTTTTAAACCAGCGCATATGAAATTTTCATTTATAGGTTGAAAATATGTTTTATCACATTCTTCGTTCCTCCAAACAGGGAGATTCACTTGCCTCTGTACTGTACTTTCCTTCCCACCTAAAGATAAACATATTGAAATATGGATAAAAAAAATTACATATTTAATTAATTCAATTAAAACATTAATATATGTCTAATAAGTACATAATAAATACCATAGTATGTTGTACCCCATCCCACGACAGTCGGACTCCTACCAACATATTGTTCATTCGCCAAGCCGGCTGGTGGTAAGCATAAGGGTTTCACATATCTAAAAACATCAATTAATACATTTTGTAAAATGCTAATATACTTATGGCAAAACTTGTTGTTTTAATTACCTAGACCGCCTCACTGGTTTGTCAAGTACTAGTACTGCAATATCATTATAAAACCCGACCCTTGAAAACTTTGGATGGGCTCTAACTTCTCTAACGTGAAATGTTTGAGGCGAAGATGGTTCATCATCCCTCCTTAAGTCTATATCACCGAGTCGTACCGTAAACTGTCTAGCGCTGAACCTGAAAATTTCCTATTTTCAGTTTAAGAAATTATTACTTAAATAAAATCATAATGTTGATTTTTGTTCTATTAAAGTCAAAGGAAATTGTGTGAACCAATGTTGGCATTGTATCGAGAGCATGGTTTTATATTATTGCCAATCAACATACTTGAGTACAAATGACCCTTCTGAAAATCACTAAAAATATGAGTTTTCCCGGTCTCCTATATACATGATGATGGATCTGTTCAATATGCTAACCAACAGAATAGATATTAATAATACGTGGAAAGTCAGTTGAAGAGGCATTTGAGAGGAACTTGTAGAACAACAGCTAATTAGTACATCTAATGTATCTGTATATGCATGTCTGTATATGTGTATGTATACTGAATGTGCTGGTTGATTGTTGTTGTGTATGTATGAATGTACAATTAATTTGTTACGTAACAACAAAGTCAACCAACGCTGCCGTACTGGACCTATGAGAAAAAAAAATAAAAGGAGGGCAGTCCATGTAGAACACGGTACCGTGAACATCTGCCAAAAAAAGAGAACGAATTTATCAACGGTGAGCCATAAAAAAATACCCATTCAAAGAAGGAAATCTATTTTGTTTGTTTATTAAAGAGGAAAATTAAATTTTGATTTATAATTATATTCTGATTGTAAGAGAATTAAATTTTATTTTTTAATTGTAAAAAAGTAATTTAAAAAAAATTACAATATAATTTTTTTAGTTTGTTTTTAGTATTATTTATAAAAAGGAATAAAGAAGTAAGGGTTGTAACAAAACCCTTTAAGCAAAGTATGGACTGGAAGGGCATGAGTAGATGACATTTTACAAGTAATTTGATTTTAATCAATCAACTTAGCACTTTATCAATACCTTTCTGGCACTGGTATTCTAAGTTTAGTTAAATGAATATGCCCAAATTAGAAAATGATAAGAATTAAAAATAATAATGTTGTTCAAACTTAGTGGCATTTTATTTACGAACTCTTATTATTTTAATATATCTAATGTCAGCACCATGGAAAAACTTACAAATACATTTACAATTTGTAATACATTTTGTTGATGTTGGGTCTGTTTAATTTTTATATTACTCGTTTTATTTTAATTTAAATTTAAGATGTTTATACAAAAAAAAGAAAATTATTTTTAATTTATGCAAATTTAGTACATTATATTCTTACTAATTATTATAATAAGGCTTTATATTTTTCATGTATAATTCATCTCAATAATAAACCGATTGTTTAGTGATAATTCATTTCAATATTTGTTCTTTTTTTTCTAAATTAAAAACTTTATAAAAAACTTCTAAATTTAAAAAAATCGTAAACTTTATTTATTTTGGGGGAATTGTTGCATGTGGACAAGTATTAATTAATAAAATTGACAAACAACTACAAATTAATCTTATTTACTTTTTTTTTACTAGTCAAATCCAAAATATTATTTTTTATTCAAATATTTGTATACAAATTATACTTATGTTATTATTTTATTATTGACAATGCTTAATACTTTACTGCTTTTCATGTTTTAAATGTTCTTTGATTTTCTTTAATAATTGTAATAAAATGGGCTATTACCCTTAATTAAATAAACAAATGTTAATTGAAATGGTATCAGATATTAAAAAATACTTTTTCTATCTTTTGAACACCATTCTAAAATGAATTATGTGTTTTATCAATGATTTAAAACTTACACAAAAACCCATACATATTGCTGTATGCACATGTATGCATGTGTATGTATACAGGATGTGCTGGAAGATTGTTGTTCTGTATTTATGTATGTACAATTAATTAATATTATTTAATTTTTTTTACTAGTCAAATCCGAAATATTATTTATTATTAAATATTGGTATACAAATTATACATATGTTATTATTTTATTATTGTCAATGTTTAATACTTTACTGCTTGCATGTTTTAAAGATTCTTTGCCTTTCTTCTGATTATTGTAATAAAGTGGGCTATTGCCCGTAAATAAATAAATAAAAGTTAATTGAAATGGTATCAGATTTTAAAAAGTACTCTTTCTACCTTTTGAACACCATTCTAAAATTAATTATGAATTTATTAATGATTTAAAACGTACACGCAAATAAATACTCATTTAGAATCTGCCAAAGTTCATTCCTGGTTTTGTATAAACGATTTTTTTTGCAATTTCAAACTTTGCAGATATAAATAGATAAATACAATAAATTACTAAACAGAAACTGAGTGTTTATCGGATAGAAGTGAGAGGAATGGAGAATGAACCCTTCAGTTCCAGTCACTTTTATCAGGACATCATCCGGACGAAAACGAAAGTACAATTCAGTCACACTTTTTGTCAATCTTTGTCAAATAAAGTCATTTTCTTCGGATTGAACTAATGAAAGCTACTTTTTCTGATTTCCTTTTTTTGAATTATCCTTGCAAAAGTGTGTTTCCTTCCCAAGAATACCCACTGTCACTCTCAACTTTTAAAGATGCTGAGTCTGTGCTAAAACGAGCGAGAGCCGAATTGCACCAAAACTGGACCGTTTCGGTCTTTCTGACCATGTCGTTTAATGCCGAAGGACCGTGAAATCGCAATTTCAATCCGCCTTTGAACGATGGAAATTCACAAAAAAAAATCTTAAACGTGTGTTTAGAGGAAACTGTAAAAATCAAAACAGCTACCGGAAGGTGACACAAATTGGCGAAACTGCTTAATATATGCGCAACACGCACCGTGACTTGTTCACAGAATTTGGGTTACACGTTAGACAGAAGCGTGTGATTATAGATATTTATTTCTTATAGTATTAATACTTAGTTGTGTTCTTAGATTGTTATAATTACGCCAAGATAGTACATACTAACTCGATCAAATTGGGCCAGCAGGATGTATTCTTTTAACAGGAAGAAAAGATATGTCCTTAATAAAGTCATAGTTTAAAATATCACCTTATTTAAATGATCTTCTTTCTTATTTATTCTTTGCAGAAAAGCTTTTATTTAAGAAACAATATGTCAAAAAACGTTTAAAACAGGATACAAAAGAATAAAGGATCTCACTCACGGCCTCTGCCTCGTGTCCTTAGTACAGTGAGCTGCTGTGAGAACATGCCTGTCGGATATGAGACTTCCTCCACACCAAAATTCGGTTCTTCTCGGTCCGTGGAGAAAAATTGCCGACATCCACGGCCACCGTCCGGGAAGAGATTCGTCCCCTCCGACCACACGAAATTTCGGAATGTCAGGTACACCACATTCTACGTCAAAAAATTTCTAGAATAAAAAAACACAATATGATCTTATTAATTCAGTGCTACCTTCGTTCAAATAAGTGGAACTGGGTTTCAGATGTTGATACGTCGGTTTATGTGTAACAGGATTGACCGGAACTGGGGGATATTTCGTAGTGGATATTATCAACGGCTGTTTTGTAGTAGCAATATTCCTAAAATATATTTATATTACTAATATTTTTGATTACTTTAAAACAGTGGATTAAATATGACACTTACACTGACGAAGTCGGACAACAGACGCCAGGGACAAAAAGAGCTTTGAAACAGATGCTTTGTCTTAAGTTGACGAGATCAAGCAGCAATTGAGGACAATTGCTCAGATCCTCACACACGCCTTGCCTTCCCGCTGGTGTAGTGCAGGAGGTGCCACTATTGTTTGCACCACTGTTCGTCACCTTACCAAGCGGCAGCACCCTGACTAGAGGGGCTATAGAATCCGTTACATTTCGCCCAAAAACATTCTTTGATATTGTATAAATAGCTCCGGGAAGGTCTTCCGTACCCCTTTCCTAAAAAAATAAACAAACAACAAAGTGAATTTGTTCTAAAGAATATGTATAGCTAATAGAGTTATAATCGGTATACAACTATTCATAATTAATTACACCCAACGTCAGTTGAAAGATTGATTACTGTTCGTGATGGTGAAAGCAATGAATCATTTAACGCTTACTAGATTTCACCAGTATTGCTACTGTTATTTGTAATAGTATTACCGGAAAGATATTGAATATGTACTTTTAACATAATATATTGAATTATTTATAACGTTACGGATTGTTTTCTCCCCCCACTCTCTCATGCTCACGGGCATTTTTGTGTGTTTATTTATTTTTGATTTTCATGCTTCATAACCTGCATTTATACATATAGACATAAATTAGTTATTATATAATTATTTACACAATGCAAATTTTTGATTAAAATAATAGTTTCAACTTCACGTTTAACGTTCACGTTTATAACCACGCTACATAATAAATATCCAAGACTATAATTACATTTTTACCCTGTCTTTACCCCCTCTTAAAATCTAAATCTGTTATAAAATTATTAAATTGATTCTCAAAATTGTTCATTAGTACCAGTTCCTTTCCGTATGACGCCTCATATTAACCTGGTCCATGGTCGTTTGAGGATGGCCCATGAGAACAGGACAGGTTTCTGGTGCTTTAGCATAACTACTTCCTGGGTTAGACCAAAACGGTACAAGTTTGTTTTTGCGCCACCTTACATCTGATGTTTAAATCATTAAACCAAATTCATAATTTTTAACTGATATCCGAATTTAATCGCTGGTGAACTCATGGAACTTTCTGTTCCTTTTTCGCTATTTTCCAATTCTTCTTCTTCCCATAATCGAAGACTTGAAGCATATTGTAAGATATTACATATTATTATATTATTATTATTATTATATGTATTACAATAGTCATATTGATGATATATAGGTATGGCATAAAACGAAATCCAAAAGTAACTTTCTGCCACATCTTTCGCCAGTACGTCCGCTCTTTCCTTTTGTAAGTGCCCGGAGTGGGCTTTGATCCAGCGCTTTTTAGTGCTGGCAGCGGTTTCTTCATTAGCATTGCTGTTCCAGTCAGGCTTTTAGTTTGTGGAAAGTCGGCTGTCTCTCCTTAATATCCTACTTATGTTAAATCATCTTTTACTTCCATTGCTTGTGACCTTAACAATCCAGTGTATTCAAGATGACAAACAATCCCACTTGTCTATTAAAACCCAAACAGTTTACACTTAATTTTTATATATGTGTGTGTAGTGTAGAAAGAGAAAGAAAGAGAGAGGGGGCGGAGAGGGAAAGAGAGTGAATAAGAGTGAGCGAGGGTGAGAGAGAGTGTAAGGGATTGAGTGAGTGAGTGAGAGATAAAGAGAGGGGTTGGGAGAGGGAGATAGTGAAAGTGAGTGAATGAGGATGAGAGAGAGAATGAAAGTGAGAGGGGAAGGGAGATGGAGAGGGAGAGAGTGAAAGTGAGTGAATGAGAGTGAGCGAGGGTGAGAGAGAGTGTAAGGGATTGAGTGAGTGAGAGAGAGAGAGAGAGGGGAGAGGGTGAGAGTGAATGAGGGTGTGAGAGAGAGTGAGAGTGAATGAGGGTGTGAGAGAGAGTGAGAGTGAAAGAGAGAGAGTGAAAGTGAAAGAGAGAGAAAGAGAGAGAGAGAGAGAGAGAGAGAGAGAGTGAATGAGTGAGTGAGAGAGAGGGGTGGGAGAGGGAGAGAGTGAAAGTGAGTGAATGAGGGTGAGAGAGAGAAAGGGAGAGAGAGAAAGTGAGAGATAGAAAGAGAAAGTGAGTGAATGAGAGGGAGAGAGTGAGCAAAGGTGAGAGAGTAAGTGAGTGAGTGAGAGAGAGAGAGAGAGAGAGAGAGAGAGAGAGAGAGAGAGAGAGAGAGAAAGAAAGAGAGAGTGAGAGAGAAAATGTGTGATTATACAAGGTATAACTAAGTATTAAGGCATACAATAAAACTAGTACACGTTAAGTTGGTTTCTATGTGATCCGCCGACGATTATTAGTAAATAAATATTAGATTAGTGAAACAGGACCTGTCACATACGTACCGGTAATGGGGCTACGGTAGGTTCGCTTCTTGTGTAGTTGACAAGATATCGTCCAACGGTGTTGATGGCACCTAGTGTTTCTGAAATGGTTTTGAGAGTGTCGGACGAGATGTGCCTCCCTTCTTCATCCGCTGGATAGCCGCCTGCCGGATCCCAATTTTGTTTGCCTATTCCATCCAAAATATCAGGTGGATCGCCGAACCCTGGAGACACTTTGCTTTCCCTCCTTCTCCCACGTCCTTCGTTCCGCTGTATCGAATGGCCGTTCATCATAGTTTTCATCGACATCATCGACCACGGCATCCCCCAATCATCTGAAAATGTACGTTCAACGGTACAGTGCGTTGATTGAGGGTATGAGTTAAAATATTTGATTTGATAAATGGGATAAATAGAGAAGACACAGAACAAAATACTAGCAAATTTTAGAGCAGTAGGAAGAGCAATGTTCCATAACCATAAGGCAAGTTCAAACAAGTCTAAGTTTTCCTTCATACCAATAATTTTGACAGTTGAGGAAAATTGTTTTTGCCATTTTTTATAGAATTATAAAAAAAAAAGAACAGTGACACTATAGGTGAAAAGTGCAATTCACCCATTGGACACAAACAATTCGGTTGGTGTTGTTAAACAGGTTTCTGATGTTTCTGGGGTTGCTCAATTTTCGTTTCTGGAGAAGAATGATTGATTATAATTAGTGGAGGATTAATGTACTTTGCATAAATGACATAAGTCCTGTGACCGTGAATGACGTAAAGTTAGTAAGTGACCTTGCGTGAGTCAGGTGGAGAAAGCTGAAACCCGGATATGAGAGTGAAAGTAGACACCTTTGCAACATTTTAGACGCAAAAGAAAAACAAATAAGAAGGAAACTAAAAAAACCTAAACCTCGAAATTGTATTAGTTAAAATATATAAACTTTTAAACCAGGGGTTTATACAGAAAACAGAAGAATAACCAAAATTTCACATTTTCCCTCTCCATTTTATAACACCACTTCGGAACCAAAACTACACAATTTAAAAAGGACAATGTTTCTTTTAGGCAGATTCAACTCAGAACCATGTTCCCGGATGACTGGGCGCACAGTCCTCTTGGATGAATAATGTCCCTGTTGTGGACCATTGGATAACAAGCAGTCTCAACGCTGTTTATAATTATGATAAGAACTTCCTCGTGTGAACATTATTACAAAATAGAAATTCTCTTGGGAAGAATCGTTTCCGGTGTCTATGTTAAAAAGGCAAACGGTAGTCGAACGGACCGCCGTTACACGGTCGGTCAGTCGTCCATCTAATACCCAGCCGACCAACGTAGAAAGGAAAAAGTAACACCATGAAAATAATTAAGGTTAAAGATTGGCCTTAGAAATTGAATAGAATAAAAAAGTCTAAAGTGTAGAAATTAGTTAGCTGACAAGGACATTTATCAATACTATGGTTTTATGAAGATAATTGACATTATAAACTTGCGTCTTATAAAGGATTGTTGTAAATATTTGAAGACTTTCTGCTACCTTTGTAAATAACTCATCAATAAAAAGTATTTAAAAATAATATTTTTATATTCCCAAAACTGTATGAATTGTCAATAAAAATGATTGAGCTTTCCCAAAGACTATACACAGATCGACTTCGGTATATTCCCATCGGCAGAAAGCCCAGAGTTTGAAAATTTCACTTAATCATAATTATTCCCAATACTAATTATTATTAGTTGCAGCACTGTATGTTATATAACGGAGCATGGTTACACAATATTTAATCTAGGTCACGATGAATCTCCTCTGCCAAAGGATTGAGTGGAGGTCACTTTCTCCATTTCTTGTGAGTGTTACGTACGGACAGGGATTCCCCAAGGCTTATGTTATTGACCTTAACGCTTTTCAACATTTCCATAGATATATCTTCACAGAACATTAGACAAAAGACAGCAGTTTCAACAATAGGAAGACCGATTTTTAGTTACTCTTTTTTAACTTCTTTTTTATTTTTATTTTTTTTTTGTCACTCGTCTTTTACCTCTAGTATACTGATTAGGATGAAAAGCACTGAGATTACTGAAAAAAAGCTATTGGTCCAAGTGAGTGATAAAGAAAACAGGTCCTTGGCTAGAAATTATGTTCATTATTACAGTATTTCTGAGTTATTCATTTGATGAAGAGGAGCTTAGGGCTAGTACAGAAAAATTTATTGTTTTATTAAAGATGAGATGATGGATCGACCTGCTGTTGAACAACTTGGAAAAAAGGATCTTCGGTGAGGACAGAACGACAATTCTTTAAGTTTTTGCTGAATTTTCAACGATTATATCGTCATCATCAGGGCCCATTTATTTTTGGAAAATATCGCAGTTAGGACATATTGTACAATTTAAAAAACAAAATTAAAAATCAATTATATTTTTCTTACTTGAACTCGATGAGTGTTGAAATATATCTTGAGAAAAAGAAACTGCATTTATAGTACAATTATTTAAAATTAGGTGAAGCTCAGTATCAAAACATTAACAGTATGGAATTAATTAAAACAATAAAAACACCATAATATAAAATTTTTAAAAAACGTGGTCGTATAGGTTACCTCGGTTAAAATATACATATAAGTACTTACTTATTTTTTATGATAATTATAAATAAATATAAAAAAAGATAATTTTATTTAAAAAAAAGAGGCATTACTTATATGCATAATTTGACCTAGGTAATATAAAATTTTAAAAAACAACGTGGTCGTATAGGTTACCTCGGTTAAAATATACATATAAGTACATACTTCTTTTTTTATAATAATTATAAATAAATATTAAAAAAAGGTAATTTTATTTTTAAAAAAGAGGCATGTACTTATATGCATATTTCACCTAGGTAACCTATTCTACCACGTCGTTGTTTTTTTTAAATTTTAATATTATGTTGTCTTTATTGCTTTTAATTAATTCAATACTGTTAATGTTTAGATACTGAGCTTCACCTAGTTTTAAATAATTTTATTATAAATGCAGTTTCTTATTCTCAAGATATATTTCAACACTCGTCGAGTTAAAATAAGAAAAATATAATTGTTTTTTAAACTATGCAATATGTTCTAACGGCGATATTTTCCTGAAATAAATAGACCCTGATGATTTATTTGTAAGTATGTCGGGTTCGAATGCAGGGCCGCTGGATTCGAACCCGGGACCTTAACCTTACAGTGATGAGCGCCGTGTCAACGCCTACACCGTTGCAGCCACCGACGCCCCCCTTGTCGTTCTGTTATGACTACCCAAGATCCTTTTTTCCAAGTTATTGTTTTATATTTACCTATCATCCATATCTGTCTATCCTCGCTTATTTTTGTCAATTCAGACGCGTTTCGGCATTTTGCCATCTTTTGTGTTTGAGTGATATCTGGAATCGTAGATATCACACCGTATTTATAACCCAGACGTTGAAAATGGCGAAGTGCCGAAACGCGTCTGAATTAATAAAAATCAACGATAGGCAGATCAGGATGATATGTAACTATCAAACAATAAGTTTATCAGATCACACGAAGAAATCACATAATAGTTTCATAGATATTTTTTTTAATTCTTCACGTTACAGTTATTTTATCCTTACAATTCTTTAAAATGACTACCAATAAATTATTTACGAAATAAAATAATTAATAAAACTGTATGCATTATTTACGTTTCTGTATTATTAATCAAACATTTTTTAATTTTCTACATTGTACAGGGCGGCGATTTGCCTTATTTGCCAATTTATTGCTTCATTTGTAATAACAATCGCGGATCACAAAATACTCTGATAAGATCACGGAGAATGTTGGTATCTTCGAATACCTTCTAGCAAAATCTCGAATGAATAGATAGAGCAACAAGATATAAAGTTATATATTAAAATAGGAATAAAGACCTTTTGTGCATAAGTGACTTTTGTGTTTAAGGGATGATGAAATGCTGACATGCGTTTTAAAGAGAAACGAGGATGACAGGCGAGTCATGGCTGGCAGACCCAGAAATTAACTGGTTTGAGTTAGGCGAACAATTCAAATTCGAAGTTAACGTTTGAATATAAAATAAACAAAATATTAAAATCTTAAAATATATAAAATAAATATTAAATATAGGTTTAATAAAATCTTTAAAATGGAAGTATTGATTAAAATGTTAATTTTCGCAAAAATTATAAATAATTGTATTAACGAGTGAGCTTATTTCAAGCTGTTATACAAAATTATAATAATTATTTCATTTTTTTAGTTAATATAATTAATTATTACATTAAGTATTATAAAACAAAGTAGAGTAGGGTTGTACTTTTGAATCAACGTCAAGCTTCGACGAAATATTTTGTCTTCTTCAGGGTAGATACGTAATCGCAATTTAACAAATTGTACACACGTTAAATAACAAAAACCTCCATCTTCACTACTTTTAAATATATGTCTAAAAGTGACATTTGCTGTAATAATTAAATATAAAAATACATTTTACAAATACATTTTTTAAATAAAATTATTATTACCCTCAAATTATTTGTACATATTACAATGTGATTTAATTTTTTTTTTTCATTTTTCACTAATGGGTCGTCAGTGGCCGCAACGGATTAGGCGTAGACACGGCGCTCATCACTGTAAGGTAAAGGTCCCGGGTTCGAATCCAGCGGCCCAACATTCGAACCCGACATACAAATGGGCTTTTTTTTCAAAAACACCGGCACCCTGAGGGTTGATATGACCTCTGCTGTAGCGAACACTCGCAGGGGAAAAACTAAAGCCAGCGCTGCACCCGGAGGGCATATCGCACACCCGCGCAAACCGCAAGAAAAGTGACACAACTCAACAAAAGATAATTTTACAGTAGAAACAAATGGAAGTTTACTTTTTTCCTTAAGTATTAAGTACACGACGTTGGGTTGTTGGCAATAAAAACTGTCATGATCAATCAATACTGTCTTTCGTTTCTCCAAGACCTAAGCGAAAACACAAAACTTTAAAAATCCATCTGTACTACCTCTAAAAAACTACCTCTCTTTGAGTTGTGAAACTTTTCTTGCATATATTGGCCAATGAATGACTGTAAAAGTATTAATTTTTTGTGATAGTAAGAGACAACATACAAACCTAACAAACGAGCATAAATATCCATATAGAAGGCTTTACTAAAATCATTTTTGTCCCAAATGTGCTTTCCTTCTGGAGTCCGGGCTAATTAGTATTTAAAATACAGTAAGTGGTAGTCAATGAATGACTGTAGAAGTATTAATTTTTTGTGATAGTAAGAGACAACATACAAACCTAACAAACGACCATAAATATCCTTACAGTAATCTTAACTAAGTTATTTTTGTCCCAAATGTGCTTTTCCCCTGGAGTCAGGGCTAATTAGTTATTAAAAATATACAATTAATTATTGAAATAAAGGTTTTATTGATTATTAAAAATATTGTAATTAAAACACTAAAAAAATCGTTCAAACTATAAAATAATGTAAAAGTTAAAAGACAACACTGTTAAAAAAAAGTATGAAAAAATCTTATAATTAAGAATGTTTGTAAAATAAGGGAAATGAAACTAAAATAATTCATGAACACTAGATCAAGGTATAGTCTTGAAGAAAAAATCATATTCAGTTGTTAGCACCAAGCTTTCGATCTATTTTAAGGTCATCATCAGGGCCTATATTAATTTATTAATTTTTACGTAAAACATATTTATACAATTGATTTTCGTAATGTAAAAATGTGTCTCTGGTACAGCATAAAATCCTTCACTAAACATGAAAAAACTGGCCTAACTCGAAATGTGCCACTTTTCCTGATAAATTAATTAAAATTATGTCTTGACAGAGAACTGAGATACACACTTTTCGAGAATGGCGACATTACGTTCCCGCCAATCAAAAGTCACACTTGGTGCTGCCTAACAGCTAAGAGTCCACCTACCGTTGTATCATTTTTCCTTTAGCATCACACACCCGATTACTTACTTGCCGGACTAAATAATAAAGTTTGTATAATTTTTCGACCTGTGTCACTTTTCTTGTTGGTGTGCGATATGCCGTGAAAAGCCAGTGCGAGGAATTTAAGGGGCAAGGAGATCCCGACGCCAACGTCGGGAAGGCGACGTGGCGGGTTCTCGGGATGATTATGTGTAAAGAGGACTGGAGCAGTAGGGGGTTAGGATGGATCGAGAAGTTGGTGTGAAACTTTGTAATCGGGATCGGATCAGATTATTTGCCAAAAAAGGAATGTTGAGGTTGTTGTGGGTAGTGAGGTTAGTTACGTAATAAGGAGCTTTGACCATTTGTCTGAGGACTTTTGATAGTAAGGATTGGACGCGCTGATGTTGGAAGGCTTGGCGGATCCTCACATTTCAACTCACTTTGTCCAAAGTGGTTGAGGTAAAGTCTTATATATGGTTAGTTTAGTGTTGACGGTCAAGACGGATTTCGGTCCTGGACGTCTTCGTAGTTGGCCAAGTCTTCTGTTTAGTTATCCTAAGTATATGACTTGAATGGAAGTCGGTATCCCTGTTGTTAATGTACAATAGAGGGCGAGACTGTTTTCTCAGTATGAACGTACACTGAGCTTTATGAACTCGTGTTTTTCTTCATTCAGTCTTGTCCTCCATTTTTGGCCCCAGTATCGATAAGCTCAAGGTGTTCTTGGATCTTGGAGGTGGCTTGAATTCGAGGGAGAGGACAAAATTGTGGTATCGTCCGCGTATGTGGCGATGACGGTATTAGGGTGCAAGGTACGTCAGAAGTATAAATAATATAAAGAATAGGACCAAGAATTCTCCCTGGTAGGACGCCAGCTTGTACCTGTCTAACTTCCCAGAACTCGTTGTCGCACCATGTACGTATATGTAACATCTTAATTTTATTCTAGTCATATTATTTATTGGAGTTAATGTCAAATATATTATGTAAAAAATAGTGAATTCGTTTCTACCCCGAAAAAGACGAACTATATCGTTGAAAGCAGTCGTTGATACAAAAGCATTGTATGACCATGGTACTTTATGACCAACCCTTATCCACAAGACTCTATTACATAGTAAATGCTGATCTACAGTACATATTAAGTATTTTGCAAAGTACACTACATATATAAGTATTATTCCATTAAGCATTACAATTAAAAAAGTCCTCAAAGAGATTTAAGTTTTAGCGTTAACCACGTTCTAAGGTTAATTAAATTTGACGTGGATACGTTTTCCTTACCTTCAGATGGGTAACGGCTGTCATCAATGGCAAGAGAATAAAGTATACATCCTGCAAAAAAGTAATTTCAGTGTTAATAGGCAACGATAACAAATTAATTTCAACACATACAGGTTTATAAAAATACTGAATCCATTTAATGGAGAAACATTAAAAGAAAAAGCTGATTATTGTATTGAATGATGAAAAACGTTATTTTAAAATATGTAATACAAAGTATCGATTTTATGAAGAGGTTGATTTTTGTATCAGAACTATAAGCAAAGGACAGAGAAAAAGAAATTGTATTAATTACAAGCATTGTATCATTTCTCAAAGCTGGTCTACGTGAAAAATCCAAGTTCTACAAAAAGCTGAAGAAGAAGAAAGAAAAAAAGATTGACGATGGTTATTGTGATGAAGGAGCGGGAGACGAATAAATTCGGAGGAAGCACTTTTTCGTAAACTTTTTGAACCATGCAACTGCATTCAATCCACATACTGCCTGAGAAGGTGAAATAGTACAACGTGAAGTCTGTAATTCAGTTTACAAGACTTTTCAAAGAGTTCAATGAAAATTTTCTAGTCACTTGAAATAACAAGAAGACATAGAGACTGAGATAATCAACATAGTGATAAGTGATAACAGCTATTACAAACTAGGAATGTTGCTATAATGCTACACTGGTCTTCCACACGGCTACCCAGCTAAAAACAAAATCATGACAAAGTACTAACTGTTAAAAAAGAAAAATTGAGTGTGTTGAACAATAAATAGTTTAGGTACTACAGGCAGATCGTTTATTTTAATAATCGAGCACAAGAGAAGGTCCACGAGTTTAACTTCGAATCCTGGGTCTGTCAAATATTTCTCAAAGGACATTTGTTGAGCAAAGCAAATTTATTAATATTGATCTTATTTTATGTATTTATTTATTTACGTAGCGTAGTGTTAGCCATTTGAAAGTCAAGAGAGCTTTCTCACCACGGCACTTGAAAAGAAATAACCATGAAAATATGATGTTTGTTGATCGACCTGCAGATAATCTATGTGGAGTTACAATCTTCGTGAAATCGTTTTCTGCACGCTTGGGAAAGTATGCACATTATTTCATTTTGTTAATTGCTAATTACATATTATTTATATTTTCTTATATATTTTTTAATTTTTAATAAATAGGCCCTGATGCACTATAAGTTGCCGCAAGCTTGGTGAACCCAACAATTAGTCTTCTTCTTTCTTCACCTGTCTAATGACCTCCATGAAGATTGTAACTCCACATAGATTAACCATGTAAACTTTAGTCGATACCCTAAATGTGCATGAACTTGCAAGTAAATTGATATTAAGGTTGGGGCAAGACTTTTGACTTTTTGGATTTTGAAAGTAATTAGTAAAAAAAAAAATATCACTGATACGCCTATTCTCGCTTTAAGCTCTTTTACAATGACTGATATTTAAAGAGGAATAGATCTAAAGAAATAAAACTGTGTAAGTACTGGTGAGGAAGAGTGCAAAGTTGAGAAGGGCAAAAGGCAGAAAGCAAAACAAAGATCACCGAGAGTATTGTTTCTTGTTCATTGTGCATAGTGTACAGTAAATAAAGATGAACAATAACTAATAAGTTAATTAAGTAATGTCCTAGTTAACTTTGTTTTTATATATATGTAATAAAATATTGTTGTTAAGCAGTTAAACATGCTAATAAAAATAATATTGTGGAATTTCCTCTTGGGTTTTACGAGGTAGATGTCATTTTAGTTGGCTTATCCTCGATTTTTCGTTTATCAGAATAAAATGGAGAAAAGCGTCAGGTTTAAATAACGAGGATAGCTGGCCAAACTAATCGTAAAAATTTGTTTAAAAATTGTTCATACCGCTGGCTTTTCAAGGTATTTAATCAAATGTAAATATACAAATCCGAAATGTCATATCATCCGACCATATTCTTTGTACCATTGTTTTTATTGATTGTAGAGGAATTCATAAAATGACGGTTTATTTTGTCGATGGTTTCATGGGTGGAAATTCAGATCTTCTAGAAAGTCTCTCCCAAGTCCAGTAATTAAGTCTTGTTTTCATGTTAAATCCAAACGAGTGAATTGAATTTGTCACGAAAGCTATCGTAAATTTGATAGCTTTCTTCATGGGGTGGTGATTCTGTTGTGAAAAAAATGTTTGCAGTGGTGTAACAACGAAGGTTAAACAGATTGCACCCTGTTTTACTAATGACAAAATCTAATGATTTCAAGTTTAATTCAGAAAATCGGTTTTTCCTGGTTATAAAATCTCTTCTTGAAGTTCTAATGTGCACATTGGTATTGTGGCTATTCATTTCCCTCATTATTTTGTTCTACGATAACTTTATTAACAATTAAGTTTAAACAATTTATTAGTACATAATAGTTAACACCTTTAAATATGCCTACCAAATGTACCAAAATATAAACAAAATAATTCATAATTAACTACTGTGAGAACGAGTGGACTAAAAAATGCCAATTTCAATCCAACAGGCAACAACAGAATAATAACATAAAAAATGTGTATTATTTAGCGAACGCAAAGCAATACTTTGTTGAAATAGTGAGGAACCGTCAGGAATGAAGTATTTTTAGAAAAACACCTTTTTCATTTTTTTGCCGGCGTTCCGACCTTTATTCGGGTCATCTTCAGGGCCTGGGTGAATTAGAAAACTCTTGGTTGATTAGCAAAAATAATTGTACAATACAGATATAAGTAATGTAAATTTTGAACCAAGTATTTCATACTTACATAAAGCGAGGTGCTATTCTGCTGATGTCGTGTTTGTTTCATGTGAAATTGTTGTGAAACTTGAATTTGTGCTGTTTTTATATGATTGTTACAGGATGAGGGGTACGCGGTAAATCTGGGAAATTCTTTTTGATCGTAGACAGTTGTATTTGACTCAAAGTAACAGCAAAATACAAATTCACTTTCCACAATAATTTCACAAGACCAAACATGACACCACAATAATTGCACCACACTTTATATGAGTATGATTAGTTCGAAATTAATATTATTTACATCTGTATTGTATTTTTTCAAATCAACGGATTTTTTGTAATTCACCCAGGCACTGAAGATGACCCGAATAAAGGTCGAAATATCGGTAAAAAAAATTAAAAAAGTGTTTTTCTAAAATACTTTAATTCTGTCCGCTCCTCACTACTTCAACAAATTTTAAAACATAAATAATGTAATTATGTCAAAGAAAACCTGACTGTTAAATAAATGTTCCATTTGTTCGCTTCAGTTAATGGTTACGAGCCGAGACCGGATTTTTATGCAGTAAAGATTGCCAAAATATGCAATTGAAAGCCCTGAAATATATAATAATATTCAGAGAAGTATTAATACGTTAAAATATGCAATGATATGCAGTAAACCAGTTTTTTTACTATCTTAGTAACTTTAAATAGAAATATGATAATTAAACGGAATAGATTTTTTGTTATGAGGGTTAGCAACAGCAGAGGTTACATCAACCCTCGGGGTGCCGGTGTTTTTTAAAAAAAGCCCATTTGTAAGTACTTATGTCGGGTACGAATGCAGGGCCGCTGGATTCGAACCCGGGACCTTTACCTTACAGTGATGAGCGCCGTGTCAACGCCTACCATTGCGGCCACCAACGCCCCCTAGAATTTATTTACATTTAACAAAAATATTTTCTCACTTACATAATTAAATTACATATTTTACTAATTGAGTGTAATTAATGTTAAGTAACTAAACGTGAAATTTTGCCTACGGTCACTTTTCATCAACTTGTACCAATGTAATGCAATATTTTAAATATTTTGTGTGATAAATGCCGTGTAAATCATTCAAATATGCGATACTGTTCAAATATGAAATTTTATGTGATATTCATCAAATATTTAAAAATATGCTCTATAAAATTTAACCTACGGCTTCCTAGATACGTGATTCGGATAGATCGGACTTCCTGGGACGTGGTGGCAAACAAATTATGCAATTGCATAAAAATCCGGTCTCTGTTATGAGAAATAACTAAGATAATATTTTTGACGAAAAAGAAATAATCACAGTATTTCTTAGTGATACTTGTCCTTTGTCGTCAACTTTTCAAAAACGTTTGTACGTATTGGGCTCTCTCTCCAATTGTAAAGCAGATTAAAAGCTCTCTAATCCCTTTCGAAATATAATAGATTCGTTTTCAGACAAAAAGCCCTTATTTCATTCTGACCAAAACGCTTCTTTTAGAATTGTCGTAATTTTTTCTTCCCTATAATTTTGAAAAGACAGAGAGTCCATCTAGAATCGTGCATTGTGTAGTAGTTGTGTCAATGTCAATGTACAATTTCAAAGGAGACATTTTCTATATTGTACCGTTTCGTCGGTATTCTCGAGTACAAGAGTGATATGTGCTTAACTTCTCAATTTCTAAAGAGGTGTTGGAATCGTTTTTGTTAAGATGTGGTTTGTAGAAATGAGAGTGGGCCTCATTAAAGTCTTTTCTTCTCGATTTGAGTTCATCGTAACTAGGCGAGATGAACCGTTTATACCAACGAGCATATTTAATGACTTATTGTGTCGTTCAACAAAGTCGATGGGAAACGTCCTACCATCAGGGACTTTAGGTTGGAAGAAAGAAATCGATTATTTTTTCAGGAATATGCGTGAGAATGATTCCTTTTCCACACGATTTGCAACTTAAAAGTAAGACATAAGAAAAAAGTAAAAGTTGTTATTAATTGTTTGGAGTCCTTGGTTTGTATCATCTTCAGTAGACAATAAATGCAATGCTTATAACAGAACGAAGAAAAATGCGATCAATATTATATTTGAAGGAAAGCACTAAAATGACGAATTAGAAAAAATTAATTTCATTTATTAACACTAATGTATTTTGGAATGTATTGAAATTTGTTGACACAAATGAATCTAGGTCGCCATTGTTTCTTCACGCGGGGTTTTTCTCATGGTTTCGTCACCAAGAATGTATAAGCCGTTTTTAAGTCGATGCACAGAAACGTGCGTAATCAGTACAACCAGAGTTTATTTGAAACTTATTACAATTTTTCGACACCATTTATTTTAGAGGGAAATCAATTTTTGAACCACACGTATTTTTTTGCCCTTTTGTTATTTTTTTGTGCGAAATATTTAAAGTGAAATCACAAAGAAAGTGAACTGAGCAATCTCGTCTATTGCATATAGTGAAAGCTCTTTTCCGGGACACTTTATGAAAAGTAAGATTCATTTTAGGTTTTTTTTTATATATTAAACACTCTGTATTATATTATATCGAGATAATCGTTCTAGCGAGAGTGAAAAGCCCCAAAATAACCGTTATCAGGAAGGCTAAAGGTGAAAGTGTGTCCAGAACTAAGGTAGCGTGTTGGTAACCTTTTCTAGTGCATTCAAGTCACTGCAGGAAAAACTAAGCAGGGAGATTTTAATAAGTACTACACTGTCTTGCGCGTTAATCGTTACCTGAGAAGGCGAAAATTATTTTAATTTATCTAGAACCTTAGCCTATTTCATTTTATTATAAAATTAATAATTAACGTCATTTAATAATTATTATTGTGATATGTGTGGTTTTTAGTGACCGTTAGCCAATGATTATTTGGAGATCGTGAGATGCGGTCTGGTGTGATGTAGGTTTTAGAAAAACATTTTCTTTATCATGCCAACGTTTCGATTTTTATTGAGATCATCTTCAGGACTCAAAGTGTCTGTTGCAGTCTCACGACATCCTGGTATGTAATTCAACTAAAAGTATTTCATTGTCACATGCATATTCCGGTTGATGATGGGGATTATTAGTGCTGTAAGGAAATTAGAAAATTCAACTATCTGTCAAGTTTTGACTATTACGTTTTTATGGGGGGGGGCACTCTTAACACGACATACAAGAATGATACATCTACACGGAAAACACTTTGAGCTCTGAAGATGATCTTAATAAAAATCGAAATATTGGCATGATAAAGAAAATACTTTTCTAAAACCTACGTCACAGCAGACCGTGCCTCATGATCTCCAAATAGTTATTATTGTGATAGTTTTGACACTGTTTTACTAATGTAGGCGATTTCTCTCTATCTTTAATTTAGAACCCGTGTAAAAAGTAAAGTGAAATTTTCTAAGCTGAATAACAGGCTAGACATTATAGAGACTAGATTTATAGAAAATTTGTAAACGTCGAAATAAACGAAAACACCCCCAATAAGCTGTGATCTGTTTACACCGTTGAGCTTTGGAGCGAAAAGACCGCAATGTGAAAACAATTCCGAGTGGGCGAAAAAGTTTCTTTCCCCGCTCACTTCATTTCTCGAAGGACCCCAAACTCAACCACCGAAGATCCGCCGAGACAGTCCTCGAGAAGAAACTACCGAAATCGTCTGCCTCCGTGACAACAAATCAACATTGATCACCTTTGAGCGCGATAACGATGAAATTAATTTCCAGTTAGTTAGAAAAATTATATTTTGAGTGTTAACAAATCGATAAAATCGTTCAAAATGATATAGACAAATTGTCTTTCTTCTTGTGATAGAAAATTACATCCAATGCAAGAAAATTCACACCCAGTACGTGATTTTGGTTGTGAGCCAAATAGCGAGTTTATGAATCCTGGAAAAGGTCAATCATTTTCCCCAATTTCAGTTACTTGAAAAAACCATGATCTTGTACGCTTATATATGTTAACAGGGTTTTAAAGTTTACAATCAGAAATTATAATTTGTGTGATGCTACTTTCGATGAAAACAACACTACTGAAATTAATTCCGTTAAAAATGATAAAACATGTTAAGCTTTAACAATTTGAAATTAATCTTTTTCCTGTATGAGGAACTTTATCATAGAGCTTGGGACAAATGTATCACAAAGTAGACCAGCTTCATAATATAGCAGTAAATTTTGCGATCGTACGCATCGCAGAAAACGTCTGGATTTTTTTTTTTTTTTTTTTTTAAATAAAAGGAGGCTTTTAAGGGAAAATCTTACCGGCGAAAACACCGAAAGTGAAAAAGACGTCCATACCCCGCCGAGAGCGCATTACTGACTGGGATTTAATTTAGAAAGGGAGAGTTGGTGCCGTTCGTGCATCCTCCCACTCCTGAAGAGATTTCTGTGTGAACTAACAAAAATATATATATTCGTGATAAAAAATAATCCTAGTGACTTTTTCAAGAACATTTTTAATGTTTATTTACTGTGGACGAAAAAAAAAACATGCCTACATTTACGTTTAATTATTTGTTTTCATACTTCTGTGAATATATATTGATATAAAGCCTACACACTCATTATATCTTTCTCATCTACACTATTATGTCATTTGTCAGGGGAATTTTACAAATGTTGCAATCAATGTTAATTTTTTTATTTTCTCTATTCTTTCACATCACATAAAAATTAAATATCTATGTAAATCACATTTTTTTACAAGCAGTTAAATTAAAACAACAAATACAACCACTGTTAAAAACAAGTTTCTCTTTGGTTTCAGGATGTTCTAAAATGTTGAGTTGGCTTCGGTTCCATATTCACTCTTAGCCAATCAGAGTAGAGTGACAGCTGGGTAAATATTGTCATTCCGATGCCTGCGCTTGTCTCAACACCACTTAAATACCCTTCGCAAATAAGTGGTTTGCCTTTTTCTGACTTTTCCCTCTGGAAAATAAAATGCAAAGTCCAATTTTCAGGAAAACAAAAAACAAGCAAAATGAACAAATTGTCTTTAGATATTTTGCTTTCTTACTCTAATGATTTATTTCTTTATTTCAATTATCATTAGTTATTTATTTATTTATTTTTCAAGAAACTGAGTAACTATATGAAGACAAAATTCAAAATTGTACACACTTGATAATCCAACTGCATCGTTCCGTTGCACGGTAGAGTAAGAAACTCTTCTTTGGCTGTCCCCTGCAAGCTCTCAACTTCTGCTTCACAATTTGTATCTAAACAGATATTCAGTTTTATTTAAAAAATATGTATATTTATAATATTTCGAATAATTATTACCTGAGGTATTCTCGTTGGGAAATGTTTTACAAACTTGACCTGTAAATCCTTGTCCTCTAGTAGGAAGGCAAAGAGCGCATCTGCTTGTTGCATTTTTAAGCTGTACTAAACCTAAACAAAGTGGTGGATCATTAGTTAAAAAGTGAAACAAGTGAGAACAAATAAAAACAATTAAATTGTTCAAAAAAAATAATCAAGCCATTTACTACACTGCCTTGTTAACAATATCACTACAGCATTGTACTCGTGTATTTATATATTTATTTTATATCAACTGTTTTATTCTTTTAAAAGTAATAATAATGAATATTTGTTTTGCTATAATGGAAATATAAAAATTAGTTCAATTTTCTGATTTGAGAGTGAAAAATAAAAAAGGAATTAGTACCTAGTTATAAAATGGATTTGTTATTCTTCTATTACAGCCTGCTTTCCATTAGAATAAATATGCAGAATAAACAGCAGGAGTAGTCAAATTAAAAATATATTCTTATTGTAATAGAATAACATAAAATTTAAAAAATAAATATAAGTACTAATAAAAAGATACTTAAATCTCTTTCTTGACTTGGTGTATGAATTAATAAATTTTTCATGTTTTTAAAAAATGCAAAAATTTTAAAATTAGTAGCGGTACATATACATAGAATGACACTGTAAATACCAATTACCAAGATTGTTAATTTCTGGAAGAAGTAGATTTGGAGCAGTAGGCCTATAATTCTCATGCACGATTATTGTTTTCACGAAGCTTTCTAAAATATTGGGTTCTGCCATAAAATTTACCCCGACATTTTTCATCCCCAATCTAAAAATCCTGAAACAATAAGTAAAATTAATTTCCTTTTAGATATGTAAATTTTTAAATTATGAGAAAATCCTCCTGTTGTTTGTGGGGGGGGGATGAACCTAGTTTGATAGTTGGCTTATTCTCACTGATTATGTAACTGGCAGAACAAGGCAACTATCAGACTACAATTTTACAAACATACATTAAAAAAAAAAACCTTGTAATTATTGTCACTGACTTGAATAGAAATAAGATTCTGTTTATGATGAATTAAAGTAAGAGGTGCATTGAGCTGTCCAGATTAAAAGTTGGTGTTATATACATGGGAGATTGAAAACCTTAAAAAATATATTCACAATAATTATAAAATAATGAACTTGCAGTAATTAAAATAGAAATAGAAATATATATTCTTTGGCTAAAAAAACAAATTGTGTCTGTATTCTTATCTTGGAACAAAACACAATATACAATTGGAGAAATATTCATTTACCATTAATTATCTGATACCCTGTCCAGAATTTTTATTATAAGGTTACAATATTCTGTGATATTCGATGTTTATATAATAATATAAACATATTCTATGTTTATATATCCAATATTCCATGTCTATATAATTTATCCAATATTCTATGTTTATATAATAAGTATAACATATTTTTTTAAATTATACCTACATTTTTCACCAATAAATACTCATGCTGGATAACAAAAATGTGTACTACAATATTAGATTGCATCAAGTTTTTTTAAAATTTGCATTCTTGTAATGAGTCGCTAGTTCTAACTTTAACTGTACTTAATTGATGTGATATGATTTTACATAATATATATCCACTATTTCACTTTTAACCTTCTTTTTTTTTTAAGAGCATTTAGAGAGAACATTTAGAATAATAAATTAAGTAAACATAAATATAGTAATAGTACTAAAAGAAGAAGGAGAAGAATTAATTTTTAATTAAATATATCTTCTTGAGGTACTTAAAGTCTTAAGTTAGGTATTAGATGATATTAAAAGGAAATTACTCCATTGCGCATGAGGCTGAAGTAACTACCCATCCTGCACCAACATAACTTCCCATGCAAAACTGAGATCCTTCCATTGAAAATGCGATTGTGCTGTCACATGTGTTTGTCATGTTACACTTGACACCCTCCTGAATGACTGTTGTTTCTGTAACACAAAAAATTGAGGTTGAATTGGACAATATTTGGTCATTTCCATTTAAATCAATGTGGCTCATTCTGACCTGACTCTAGAATGATGTTATCCATCGACAATGTGGTGGTTTCTATGTTTTCTGTAGTCATGTCTGCTTCTATATCTGGTGGATACTGAAAAAAATTAATCTTAAACAAAACGAAACAATAATAACCTCAAGCAACTAATGTTATACACACTTTTGAAAAGTTTGTGGTATGTATAATATTTCCTTCGACCTCATTCCCCTTTTTGCTGTCTGAACAGCAGATGAAATGAGCAGAAGGTGTGAATGCCCCTCGCAGTCCTCCACAGTGTCCAGTACGATCTTCCATAAAATCCTTGTCCAATGAACAGTCAGTACCGAGGAGGCAGTACCCCTCTCCATTTCCACATGTTTTTACACCAGAGATGACAAAAAGCCCTATGATTATAATTATATCAAGATTATAGAAAATCCATTTATGTTTAGTGGTCACAATTGATCATATTTATTATTTCAATTAATTATTATTTTTATAAAAGGTCTTGGTTGGGATGAAAAAGTCAGTGACACGAGCGGGATTCGAACCCACGACCTTCGGCTCAATGAGCCACTGCTCTAACCACTTGAGCAGTCATGATGTCACATTGAGCCGAAGGTCGTGGGTTCGAATCCCCTCGTGACACTGAGTTTTTCATCTCAACCAAGATCTTATATAAAAAGAATAATTAATTGAAATGATATAAAATAATTATGTGTGATTACAAATTTAGTTAACTATTGTGATAATAATTTAATTTATATTAATTATATACATTTGAATATTGTACATTTTTATAAAACGTGACGGAATGGACTTTTTTTGTGTGGTATGAAAAATAAACAATTTTTTTTTATCAAGCTATAAACGGTTATGATAAATGATGATTTATATATCATCACACGGTGTGTTGAACCTGTTACTTGACAATTGGTCGTTACCGATCATTTTGGTCTGCCTAAGCTCGCTGGGTTTAGCATTTTGCCATCTTCAGTGTGTCTGACAAACCAAAATTATCGGTTACGACCAAATATCACTTTTATGATATATAAGATCCCGTTATGTTATTAGTATGCCGAAAAATATCATAGAATTATAATAATTGTATGTATTAAATTTATTATTTTGAGAATAATAATTATAGTTAATAGTTAATGAATTAAGAATATTATTAGTTAAAAAGTAATTATTATTTGGAGATCGTGAGATGCAGTCTGTGGTGTAGGTTTTAGGAAAACATTTTCTTTATCCTGCCAACGTTTCGACCTTTATTGAGATCATCTTCAGGGCTCAAAGTGTTTGTTTTCCGTGTAGATGTGTCATTCTTGTGTATCGTGTTGAGAGTGCCCCCCCCCCCTAAGAACAAAATGGTCAAAACTCGACAGATAGTTGAATTTTCTAATTTACAGCAGCAGCACTAATAAACCCGATCATCAACCGGAGTATACCTGTGACAATGAAATACTTTTAGTTGAATTAGTGCAATTACATACCAGGATCAACGAGAGGAAGTGCAGAACTGTAAACAGCAGAAACTATGATAATTAACAAAGCGGTAGGACTCATCTGAAACAAAAATCACACTTTGAGATGTTGCGTGGTACAATATTTGTCTATTGTCAAGTAAACTTGGTTAAACATTTCGGTAAAATTATTGTATGTATTAACGAATCGAAAATTCCCGACTACCGCCGTCTGCGTGCAGTACGGGACTTATTTTGATCTTTTATCTAAAGTCTTGGTTGAGATGAAAAAGTCAGTGACACGAGCGGGATTTGAACCAACGACCTTCGGCTCGATGCGCTGCTGTTCTAACTTGAGCTGTCATAATTTCACATTGAGCCGAAGGTCGTGGGTTTGAATCCCGCTCGTGTCACTGACTTTTTCATCTATACCAAGGCCATAGATAAAAAGAATAATTACTTGAAATGATATAAAATAATTATGTTTGATTACTAATTTATTTGACTGTTGTGATAATAATTTAAATGATTTTTTTTATCAAGCTCTAAACGGTTATGATAAATGATGATTTATATATGATAAATTGTTAGGGGTGTGGAACCTGTTACTTGACAATTGCTCGTTACCGATCAATTTGGTCTCAACACATTGACATTTGAAAAATGGTAAAAAGGAGGGAAAATTCGAAAGGTTGGGTTGAGATGGGAAGTTAGTGTCCGAGTCGATCGAAGTCACGATAGCTCAAGTGTTAGAACAGCGGCGTATTTAGCCAGGAGTCGTGGGTTCGAATCCCGCTCGTGACACTGACTTTTTTTTATCACAACCAATCCCTTACATAAAGATTACTTTCTCTAATCTTCCACCGACGTACTGTAAGTTCAAATAATTATCGTTACGTTGGTGACATTCTATTTTCTTAAATTTCAGTTATTAGAGAAAAGTTTCGCATTTAATGCCCTGTGTCCGAGTTAAGTTAATCCGTATTCATCGTGTGATGGGTGTATTTATTGAACTTCACTTTGTTTTACTGTTTATTGCCTATAAGTATTTCCGGACCACTGCCGGTACCCCCTTTTCAAGGCTTGTTGGAGCTCGGAACATACTCCCTCGAATGAATTCCGGAAATGGACCGGAAATACATATAGACAATAAAAACTAAAACAAAGAAAGAGGTTGTGAAGTTCAATAAATACCCCCATCACATGATGAATTCAACAACAAGCAAAATAAAATGAAAAGGAGTTCGTCTTAATCTATATTGAATGCATCCTTCAAATTATACAACTGGTTCAAATCCATCCAAAACCGGCTCTAAATACTACAAGAAAGATAGCAAAAGCGAAAGTTTCCACAATATCAATTAAAACAAATAATCGTTTTATTTTTATTTTTTTGTACAATTCTGGATCTTTGGGGCTTTTCTTAACCGACATTTAGTACACTTCGTTTACTAATTAACCGCCGCGTGTTTTAATGCTACAAAAAATGTTAATTTCGCATCTTTTAAAAGTTGTTAAATTAGCAGGACGGCGAATGGTTGTAGTTGTTATAAAAAGAGGTACTATTCTACTTAGCCAAAGGCTAAGAAGCTGTAACGGTACAAGAGAATTGGGAACACCGTACGACTGGCGACTTTTCCTCTCAACAGTTAGGATCGGTTAAATTTGTATTCGCTATCATATGGATATAAAGCAAGATTAGAAACTTTTATTTCCCATTTGATTTTATTAATTTTTGTTTGGCTTATAAAATTAATCAAATTTGATTGAATTTGAAATCCTGGATTTGAATACGGGGAGAATACAAATTTTCATTATTTACGTGTGTAGAGATTCGTGACCGTTAATCGATAGTTATTCAGATATCGTGAGATGCGGTCGGGTGTGATGCAGGTTTCAGAAAAACCTATGTTTGAATATAAAATATATTTTATATCCTAAATGTAATTGTTAAATGTAAACATTGTTTGTAAATCCCAGGCCCTGAAGATGATCTCAATAAAAGATCGAAACGTTGGCACGATAAAGAAAATGTTTTTCTGGAACCTACATCACACCCGACCGCATCTCACGATATCTGAATAACTTTCATTATTTACCTTTTGCTTATACCACGAGACAAATTATTTCCGTCTAAAAAGTCCAATGTGTTAGCAAGAACGTGTAAAATCAGGCTTCTTGTTTAATTGACCTTGATAATTTTATATAAAAATAAAAAAATAATGAATTAGTTGTTTGCTTGAGTAATGTAGTTGGTTTGGGAGGATCGGGTGCGCGTCTACAATATAGTTTGAAGATAGATTACTCTGAATCCTTGAACAATTGAGAAAGTGAAGAAAAAGAGGGGGAGCGAGTGAGTGAGTGAAAGAGAGAGCGAGAGAGAGTCAGTGGAAAAGAGAGTGAGAGAGCGCGAGATAGTCAATAGGAGGGGGGAGAGAGAGAGGGATGAGAAAGAGAGAGAGAAAGAATGAATATAATGTTATTGAAAAAATTTCGGAAATTTAAAATGAAACAGAGTGAGGGGGGAGAAAGATAGTGCATGAATGAGAGAGGTAAATAGAGATAAAGTTAGATAGTACCTATCTATCTCATAAATAGGTAGATATATAGATAGATAGATAGATAGATAGATAGATAGATAGATAGATAGAGAGAGAGAGAGAGAGAGAGAGAGAGAGAGAGAGAGAGAGAGAGAGAGAGAGAGAGAAATATTTCGCTGAACGGGGAGACTAAAACGACAAAATACTCCAACGGGAATTAGTAATTGTTAATAATAATAATAGTAATGGAATGTATTCCACGTTGATGCTGCATCTCAACAAAATTATAATTTTAAACTTCACATTCAATTTGTACATAATATTAATGAACCTCAACGAAATATATCACAATATTTGTTGTATTGAGTTATATATGTAACATTGCATTTTTAATTTTACTGTAATAATCTACTTGTTCTTTAAATGCATTCACGAGAATCTTAGTAATTATTAAAGAAATTAAAACTTTTCATTGCAAATTTCTTTTGCGGCTTGCAACAATGAGTGATAATGGTCTTAACCTAGTAAAAGTACATAAACAGAGAATAAAACTCGGTAAAAAAATGCACAGGGCAGAAGAGAGAAAACGTGGATGTGCATTTGTAAAGAAAAAATGAAAAATAAATGCAGTTAAACAAGAATAATTTCAAATTGTGGAAGGTACTGACCTCTTGTTTTGACGGATGTACTCACTGTGCCCAAAGGTGGAACACCCCTGAATAGCGATGAACAGCGGACAAATACGAACTGAGCCGAACGATTTCCGGTTCGCTGAAAAGCTGAATGCAACCATCTTCATTCTTCATCTTTCATTCTTAATTTGAATTGCTCCGACCGGCTGCAGAGCTCGTCTAGATTTTATAAGGAACGTTTACAGCCGGCCTTTCTAGTCTCGGAAAGATAAAAACGGAAAAAAGTCAAACCGAGCTACAAAAAACTGTTATAAACCGAAAATGAGTTCATCGTCCTGTTTTCGTTCAAATCCCTCGTCGGTTTGTGAATGGCGGAGTACGCCGGAGTTTTGCACACCCAAAAACTGGTTGGAAGTAATGATAATAATAAATTTGGATTAACAATGCTCTTTATTAAATTCATTTTAATAATTAAACTATAATATCTTTGATTTGGTTTTAAATGAAGTGTGTAACATGTTAACACTTTTTTTTGGATTTGTACTTATATAAGCTCAAATCCATAGTTATATGTACATACATGTGCAGAGTTAAGCCTATAACTTCTCGTAGTACACCGGCAATTCCAGTTTTTGAACTTACCATAAATTACCAGCAGGCCTCGAGAATCACCCACTTCGGTGTTGGCAGCCCGGCGTCGGTCTTATCCATCCAGCTATGGAGGTTGGGCTGTCAACAGGTCAATTCATCACCGAACGCATGCGGTGCCTAGATCCAAATCGATTCACACTCTCACTCATTCTTAAATACATTCTTTCCTATTAACTCATCTTTATTTCCCTGCTTTCCTTGGGTCTCCCCTTTTACGGCAAGGCCGAGTGAAGCCGTAGGTACCGTAGATCCCCTAAATTTGCAAAACATGTAAACTAATTTGGTCTGCCGTTATGGGGTTTTCCTTACCTACGGCGGGGAGGCGGATGGGGGAAAAATTCACTCGTCTAGAGGTGGAGTATTGTATCGATATTCCTCAGCACCCTCTACCTGTCTTTACAGGTTAGGTTAGTTCTATAACTAACCTAATTGAGGGTCGATGGGGTACTCAATATTCCGCAATCGGCTCTCTCCAGCTACTCATTCACGCTAATAAGTACATTCTATCTCAACACATGATAGATACAAACTATGTACGATAAATTAATTAGTTTTAGTTTTTTTAATATCTTAAGGAATTTGATTTTGTCTCGAGTTAACATAAGTTTTTTAAAACTCCACTTCATTGTGTAAGGAGAGCTTTGATTAAAAATGTATTCTTTTGAATTATGGTAATTATGGTACATACAAGCAAAATTGATATAGCTGAGGAATGTGCTGGCCGATTGAACGCAGATAGAAATCAAAAGACTTGAAATTCGGTTTTGCATTATCGCCCGTCGGTGCATACTGATGCCACAGTGACAAAACCTAACTGTACTATGACTTTTAACTGCTTTTTAAAAAGTAAATTGCAAATTATTCAACAAATCGAGAAATTAAGGATTTTTTCCCGCTGTACAAGAAATTGGGTCACGTATAAACATAAAGCTGTACTTTTGTCCATGTCATCGATGAAAGAAGGATAAAATTAATTCAAAATATAACCAAGTACGTCGGCAAAAGTACAAGAATTTCCCTAATGTCATTGAAAATGTTGCTTAAGTGTATTTGTCGGTAACTGGTGCTGAGGTGCGACAAAGAGGCCACGCTACGGAAAGAGAAGAGAACTCGAGGACCGTTAGGACTTCCAAGAGGTCTTTCAACCCTATCATATCCATCTAATCCCAATCACTTTCACAGTTCCCTGTGTTCGCATAACTGCCTATGATTTCAATACCTCTGCAAAAATATTCTATTCCTTTGTCCAGTTTAAATTAAACCAATTCTATATTTGGAGTTAGATAGTCCCAGGACGTACCGGTCTGCCTGCGCTCGAAACATTAATTGCACTAAACAAAATCTCACTTTTTAAACAATGGTATAGATCGAAAACTAAAATTGTTAACGTGGAAAAAACTTCACAAATTCCATTACTCCAATGTATGTTGTTTACTCAAGCCATGTTGGCCCCTTAGATTGCCAAAACGGCTGTAACAGCTATAACCAAAATTAACTGTAAATATATATATATATTTTTTAAATTAATTATTCTTTTTTATGTAAGGCCTTGGTTGAGATGAAAAAGTGTCACGAGCGGGATTCGAACCCACGACCTTCGGCTTAATAAGCCACTGCTCTAACCACACCGATAGCTCAAGTGGTTAGAGCAGCGGCATTTTGAGCCTAAAGTCATGGGTTCGAATCCCGCTCGTGACNTAAAGTTTTTAAAAAGGAATCAACCAGCGAAGTTGACTTAATTTATATATATATATATTGCAGCTATTCATCTTGTAAGATTTGAGAATAATACTATCTTAATTCATAACTCTAGACAATTATTGTAAGCACGAAATCCCTATGTTCGAGCAATACAACACAAAAGGTACTTTTTCGTTAGATTTAGCAAGAAAATGATCGGTTTTTGAAAACCATACCTTCGATTTATGATGATTTGACAAATCTTTCGGAAATGTGTTTAGGGATTAAATTATTTGTTTAATAGGAATGATATTTATAGTTACGTTCCATTATATTATTATTTCGACATGTCATTAAAATGTCAATGTTTAAACTTACTGCTCAGGGGCGTCGGTGGTCGCAAAGGTTTAGGCGTCCATCATTGTAACGTTAAGGTCCCGGGTTCGAATGCGGGGGTACTGGATTCGAATCCGACATACTTACAAATGTTTTTCTTTTTTTCAAAAAAATCAGCACCCTGAGGGTTTTTATATAATAACCTCGTAGCTGAAATACCCTCGGGAAAAAAAACTTACTGCATAAAATTTGAACCAAAACCTTACATAAAAAGAATAATTAATTGAAATAAGTAAATTGATCAATTAGACCAGTAAACATAAATGGATTTTCCTTTCAATTTAATATTATTATTCTTTGCTAAACATCTGGAGCGTTTCAGGCTACTGATATAAAACAATGATGTCAACAGAACTGATAATTTAAAAAAAAAAGTCAACATCAAGTTGAAGACAGATATATATATATATATATATAAAGATATATGGGTACGAAATACACTTAAGGTTCGTTTCATCGCAGATTTTGGTATATATTAAAAATAATACAAAAGATTCCATATCAAATGACATGTTCAAGCTATGGAGTTTGAATTAATTGCAACCAAAACGTTGTATATTTTAAATCAAGGGATACGAAAGGCAATTTTAAACCAACATATGTACATGCAACAATGTATAGTACTTAGTGACCGTTAATTAATGATTATTTACAGTTTGTAAGTTGAGTTCTGGTATGATGAAGGTTGAGAAAAACATTTTATTTATCGTACGAACGTTTCGATCCTTATTGAGATCATCTTCAGTGCTCAAAGTGAGTGTTTCCTTTGTAGATGTGTCACTGTTGTGCGTCGTGTTCGATATGTGTCACACAACAGTGACACATCTACATAGAGTATATAGATAATAAATAGCCTCAATAAAGATCGAAACTTTGGGTCGATAAAGAAAATATTTTTCTAAGCCTACATCTCACCAGATCGTATCTCGCGAACTCTAAATAATCATACGTAACAAGTTACATCACAATATACATATAACAAAAGCTTCTATTATTTTATGGTCTTATTTCATATTTGTTGAACACCACCGGACTAATAGAAAATTTATGACGAACGTTTCACTTTTTCTCGGGGTTTTCCGTAAGTTTAAAAACATACACCGTATCTGTCTCGATATATCCGGATGACCGTTATGGCAGCTTTCTTCTTTTCAAGAGAAAGAGGAAATGAATAATCACGTCGACTCGCATTCACAGCTCCGTAGATTTACTTAATTGTTTTGCAACAGTCGCGTCACCCGCTTAAAGGTAGTAAGGACAAAAGTTTCTTTTAAGGAAGTATATATGATTTATATAATTAACAATTGAAACAGGAACAAAGAATTGTCTAAGATTTAAAAAAAACTGTTCTGCTTTTATAAACAAATTAACCGTTAACCTAGTTAATAAATCTCATAAGATTCCATAAATTAATAAATTGGATGAGCACTAAAATTTTTAGTCATATAAACCTATCTACGACTAAACTATACCACCTTGGATACAATATTTGCAATAACCTATAAAGTTTTAACAGGTTACAAAAGAGAAGAACGAGAGAAAATCAAAAAATCAGGGTCAGGTATATTCAATGTAAACCGAAAATCATACTGCAATCACGTCATCGGGAAGTACACATCGGGTTTTGAAGCTGAAATAATCAGTTAATGCTTGGGCCCTAGAAAATCTGAAAAGAAGTTACACGTCAAAAAATCCTCATATAATCAGACATAAAAGCATTCCTACAAAAAACTGTCGCTTTCAATATAGTCTGAGAATGTATTCAATACCACCAAAACCTGTGAAAACATAACAGCCATGGGTGTCAGGCACAAATTAATTTTTGGCAATGAATAAGCGGGTAAACTGGCAGGTGTAGGAAATGGAAACAACAGAGCTAAACAGGGTGATAGGGGCATGTATTTTTAGCAAAGAACGAGCAAACAAACTGGCATGTAGAGAAATGGACAAATTCTACAGCTAAACAGGGTAGAATGAATATAGACGGTGAATGTATTCAATACACCAAAACTTGTGAAAATATATCAGTCTTGGGTGCCAGGACACAATTTTTTTGGTAATGAATATGCAGACAAACTGGCAGGTGTAGGAAATGGAAAAACAACAGAGCTAAACAGGGTAAAAGTGGTATGCAATGTAGGCAATGAACAAACTGGCAAGTGGAGGAAATGGAAAAACTCGAGATCTAAACAGAGTTAAAGGGTAAAAAAATGGCCGCACGTTTAAAACATGATACTGCGACTTATCTTTCTGGTCAGCGGAATTTGAATTCAACTTGCAAATGTGTTTTCTCCAAAAACACCAGGTTAAACTCAGAGGAAGTGATAGGTCTCTATGCTTGGAATATACACCTATACAACATAGGTATTTTCAACAATGACCCCATGCTATGAGGAGAAAGAAGAAACTGTTGGTGCTGGGCTTTCAACAATTTACACTGGGAATTAAATTAGTGTAAATGGAATCTTTAAGAATCTAACAAAACAAAATGTAATACTGGGGCTCGTTAAGATGAGGTGCAAGAATGCTAAGTGAGGATGTTTTACTTACGCCCGAGAGCAATGGTCTATCACGCCGGCAAGAAAGAAGACCCACAAAGGTCTTGAGTTCTAATCTGGAGAGCTTGAACATGAACTGTACCTCGCTACGGCAGTCCGGCTATTAAAGGGCCGATGATTTCCCCCAGAATGCGGGTAGCGGCAGGATACTGGGTTCAGGTACCCAAAGGGTAACTGCTACTTTCGTTTACTCGCGGTACGAAACAATTGGTTCAAACGATTTAACAAGTTATTATAAATGTCGGCAACCTTTGTGAGCTAGGCACCGGATTGCCTGGTGCAGTAGGCAACTAGTGCCATTATGGGATCTGTCTGGAGCCGGAACCAAGCACGGGAAGTTGACGGTGTAAAAACATGTGGTTACCCTGAATAACAGAATCTATATACCACAAATTCTATTACACAAAATAACAAGCTAATTCCATCACAAAACTGCCGCACGTATCATCTTCAAACCTTGGGTACCAAGATGACCCCGGATAAATAAATTGGAGCAGTAACCACTGAATACTAAACCCTACTTCCTTGCGTCCTCCTCATCATCAAACTTGAATTTACTTATTAAATTCATTAGTTTTCGTGGTCCGCTTGACCAATTTAATTCTTTCAATTAATTAAGGTTTTCAGTTGAGATAAAAACTCAGTGTCACGAACGGGATTTCGTTACTGACCGGAGTCATGATAGCTCAAGTGGTAGAGTAGCGGCGTATCTAGCCGAAGGTCGTGGGTTCGAATCCCGTTCGTGACACTACAATTGTAGTGTGAGCTATGTACACCAATTTCTTGTTTTTGATCGATTTCAACGAAATTTTAACATTACAGATGTGGGTAGTTTCGGCTAGGGGTTCGTGCGTCGGAGCCCAACTTGCAAAGTCGCCAATAAATCAAAGCTGCATTTTTTACTACCAGGAGCTTAGCAAAGTTGGATTTACACATATTTCCCCAAATTGGAGTGCCGTAAGTTCGTAATGTACTATATATAATCCATAAGGAAGTTTTTTTATTTTTACTGTCCATACATGAACGCTTATTAGAGCGAGTAAAGCTGGTCGATGCTTTTGACCATTTTTTTTCCAATGTGGTAACTATAATTAAGTCTGGATTCCAAGGTATTTAACAATCTTAGCCTATGGTAACAAGCTATTTATTGTGATATGATTGAGAATATGTGGACTGGGTCGAATAAACGATATTTCCTCAGTCTTGCTACCGTTCGGTCTGATTCTCCATTTTTCAAACTATAGCTTTTTCAATGGGTTGAAAGCGTTTAAAAAAAATATATTTTTCCGACGTTTCGGCATCCTATATCATTTCAAGAACTATTTTTATATTATTTCTTAAACCTAAATAAATAATAAAACTAACATAAATAAAAAAATAAAGGATTGTTTCAAGTTCAACTTTTACAAAAATCCATTAGGTTTCGTGGTCCGATTGACCAAATAAATTCTTTCAATTAATTAATCTTTAAGTAAGGTATTAGTTGAGATAAAAAGTCAGCGTCACGAGCGGGATTCCAACATAGCCGAAGGTCGTGGGTTCGAATCCCACTCTTGACGCTGACTTTTTTATTTCAACCAATACCTTACTTGAAGATTAATAAACTGAAAGTTTTACAAAAAGCTTCAAGTTTGTGAGCTCATTTCGGATAAAATACACTTTAACATAGAGTTGTATCAGGATGAGGCACTTCATTAGGTACCTTAAATTAGCAATTGCACCAAATTGGCACTAAAAATAAAAAAATGGTTTTGAGGGTTGTCACTTGTGCCAGGCCCTGTTACTAAAACGTTCATTATCACATCACCTTCACGACAGTATTAAGAGAACACCATAAAAATTAAAAAATAAATAAATACAATAAAAGTTATAACTGTTCTGCTCTCAGGGATGTATGGAGACCTTAAAATATCTTACAGATAAACGGGTCACAGACTGTAGAAATTCATGTAATCACAAAGTAGCAGGTAGACCGTCGGGTGGATTCGTCCATCCGTCTTCAGGTAAGTCCAACGAGATAAGGGCTGATGGGGCGGATGGGGAAAGGATAGTAGGATCGAATGTGTTAAAGACGATGTTGGTGAAGAAGTGGGGGATTACTCTCAAGGTGGCCAGTCAGTGCTGAACCACCGTCTTAGTGGGCAAGATGCTCCTTTATGCTTGGCTTACAGTGCTTTTGGGTGCAAGGGCGATGGGCCAGGATGGCGAAAGTATTGCATCCAGCTTTTTATCAGGTACCGTGTCAGATCGACAAGTTTCGACCGCAGAAAATATTTTATTGTCAAATCTAATGACTTTCGATAACTGTAGTTCATCCCAGCCTTCATCTCCCCTTGGATTTATTAAGATTATTCATTCATTCTATATAAAAATCGATAAATTTGACACAAAAATCGAATGTACGAAAAAGCTTTATTAACAACCTTCATATTAACATATAAAGCTGAAATGTTATTAAAAATTAAAAAACAAGCCTTTAATTAATTTGATATAATAATAACTACATAAGTGTTTTATTATTCATGAATCTTTCTTATTTTGCAGATTATAACTTATGTTTATTTAAAATTATCATTATTTTGCCAGCAAGATCTTTGATCGTAATACAATATGTAAAATCGTCAATTATATCGACATTATTGGCAATAAAAATTATTACTTTTTAGCGTTAAACGCGGGCGGGTAAAACCATTCTGGGTAACTTGTCGGCCATCTCCGTTAAGCTCAATAAGCCTTAAAAAAAGTTGAAAAGCGGAAATGGAATATTTCCATTGTTGGTACTTGGACAATTTGCCATTGTTTAAAACCCAACAGAGGGTTGCAAAAACTCTGAATTCTGAAACCCTAGAAGCAGATTTCAAATTAATAATGTAATTACAAACATTAACCCTGTGATAAAACCGGTTAAAATAGATTTATTTACCGATTCAGCAAATTTATTTTTAAAAATGTATCAATTGTATTTGATCTGCTTCAGGATGTGAGTATCTCATCAATTATAACCAAAATACGCATAAAACCGAAACTTTAATGCTGTATGAAAGCTTATTCGTTTAATTTTCAATCATTTGTTGGTTTATATTAGTTAAGATTTAAAAAAAACCGACCAAATTGCTTCCAGTCTAAAAGTCAGATTTATTTCAAATTCGTAAATCGTAAATAAAAATCGTACTTGCAGAAATATTATTTTGGTGGTATACTTCAAAGAACTAGGTTTAAATTTAAAAGTTTTATACATCCAGTCAGTGACAAGCCTTTTCGAATTGTACTCTTCATTTTAATGATATTCGGTGATATAACGTTATATACAATTCCATTCAAAATTTAACTATAAATAGTTCCAAGTTGTCTAAAATTTTGAATATGAATCACAGTTAATACGTTTTATGATGGTCAATAGTCAATAAAACATATCAAGCTTACATAATAATGTAATGTGTAAAAAGAATTTTTTGAAATTTATAAAATGCTTTCAATTTTATTGGATTAAATATTTCTTATCTATATCTTTCAATTTAAGATGCTTTCAATCGCTGAATTTAAAATCTAAATGTTTCAGTCGGTCCTAGTTAAACAAAGTAACGATTTAAATCGATTTATAATTTTTGAGAGAACGTGTCACGATAGCTCAAGTGGTTAGAGCACAGGGATTTCAGGCCGGAGGACATGGGTTCGAGTCAAGCTCGTGACACTAATTTTTCATCTCACCTACCCTTTAAATAAAATTATAAATCAATTTAATTTAAAATAATCTGTATTAAAATGCTATAATTTTAATAAATTAACTACTCATTAAAATGTCAACATTATTCTAACATGATGATTATCTTCTCATAATCCCATCACTCAATAGGGATGTATTTTTAAATGTCCTAATTTATCATTATTTGGCAAATGGTAGAGAATTATCTCTCTACTCTATCGTATTAATTTATGTATGGCATAAATTTTTACTTTACTGAGTACTCGGACCTGAAGAAGGCGAAAAGCTGAAACAGGCAAAACCAGAGATAACAGGATCACCTGGATGAGGGCTGCGGGTTCACCTCGTAGACTTCGACGGATTTTTGTCCATTAAGCCATTCTTTTACATTAATCTAACTCGATCAGACCTGAAGTGCAAACTATGTTTAAAAAAAGACACCGATGAATTTTTGACTGTTTTCTTCCAAATCCTATGAAAATACAGTGACAATAATGCTAGCAATTTGAAAAGAATTGAAAGTTCCAATCCTCACTTTCGGTAATTTCGTTAGAACATGCCACTGAAGTCAATTCAAGAATTTAGCCGTGTTTGACCTGAACGAATCAATGTTTTAGATCAGATTGAATTTTTTGTGTATCGGTTTTCAAAGGAGTATGAACTTCAACGGACATGTATCATGCTAATGCGATTTGTATGGTATTCGTTGCATGCTGTTTTAAGACGAGCGTTTCTTTTGCTGAAGACCCATTCGATTTGTATATTTGTATATATGAAACTGACAAACTGAATAAATAACACCACCTTTAGTGCATGTTACGAGAGGGTTGTAAAACTTTCTTTTACATATGGGCGAAGGGGAAAAAGACCGATGTGTGTAGTTTCGACTTTTGGACTTGAACTTGACTTTTATTTTTTTTTTAAATCCAGCCACGGTGAAAAATGTCGAAAAGACGACAATGTGCGATCTCGTCGAGCGGCCTTAACCGTGTTTCGGGTGGAGCGTTGACCCTCCTGCAGCAAGGTCGCCCGGGGACTCTCAGTAACGGTCCGACTGACGTAAGGGTACCCGTAACGGGACCATTCACCCACACTCTCACACTACAACTATATACGCACAAGCACAAGTCCGCATAAGCAACTCGGTCATTCCATCCTAAACCGCGCGTTGATTGGGGCTGGTTCGTTCATCGATGGACGAGTCCGGATTTAAATGAGCAATCGTCGTTGAGCGCCACCCCGATGACGAAACGGACCCCACAAGACTTCATCCCTCTCTCGTCCTTCGTAGTTAAGCACCAATCGGATTCACTTACTAACAATTCTTGCTCCTGTTCCATTTTTAGACGTTTTGCTGAATGCAATAAATTTATATGGATGGAAGTAAAATAAAAGAAGGAATTGGTCGTGCTTTCATAGTGTTTCAAGGATCAAATCTTGTAGAATGCAAGAAATTTAAATTACGTTTATGCTGCACTAACAAAAATGCTGAACTATTTGCTATGGGGCGTCGGTGGCCGCAACGGTTTAGGCGGCGCTCATCACTGTAAGGTAAAGGGACCCGGGTTCGAATCCAGCGGCCTGCATTCGAACCCGACATACTAACAAATGGGCTTTTTTTTCAAAAACACCGGCACCCCGAGGGTTGATATAACCTCTTCTGTTGCGAACCCTAGCTACAAAAAAAACTGGTTGCTATCCTTCAGGCAACAATATGGCTCCAACAGAAACATATTTCATCAGAGCACAATGCAGCACTAATTAAGAAAGCAAAATATCAATAGATCAAGAACAGAGAAATTCATTGGCCTATGCCTGAACAAATCATCTGGAAAGTAAGAATTGAGTGGACCTAGGCACACGTAGTGACCAGAGATAATGAAATGGCAGACGGATTGGCAAAGGAGGCAGCAGCACATGAAAATGCAGTTATGAATAGGACTGCTCCAAGATCTTACTTGAAGAAGAAAATGAAAGAGGTGACTGAGAAGAAATGGGAAGAGGAGTTATATACTAGCACTAAAGTAAGGGAGGCAAAGAAATACTTTCTGACAATACATTACAGGAAGAAGCTAGACAATTTAAAGGTGATGATGGGTTTTCGTCTGCAAGTCGGTGAATAGGGTCACTTATTGGGTTTGTCTCCACTCGCAGTCTTTTTTTATTTATCCAAAAATGTTTCAGCATTTAAATTAAAATAATTATCTTGCCAGAAACTCTTCCTCATTGAAGATGGTGCAATGCCGAAACGCGTTAGAATAATTAAAAAAAAAAAAACTGGCAAGTGAAGACAGACCCAGTAAGTGACCCTATGCCGGTTAACATAGACAATTTAAAGATCGACATCAAGCTAACTCATCTGAGAGTATCTACTAACAGGAAATGGAAGAACTAGATATTATTTGACCAAATTTCATATTATTGAAAATTCAAATTGTACATGCAACCCACTAACTGACCAAACAATGGTACATGTACAACAACAACAACAACAACAGTACATGAATGGTTACTATCAAGGCATATATCAATTCTACCAGAAATGTTACCATTATTTTTTTTAAATTTCTATCCAAAATCCCATTTTAATTAATCAAAAATACTTATTTCATTTTGCAGCTTTATATTTTATTTAAAATTAGGTTATTATATAATTTAATAGTGTTGCAAATTTACTGTTTAAATCATTTAATATATCTTCTTATTTTGATTATTAATAATTTTGTATATATTCACATTATTTTCGTTACTAAGATAATAATTTTAGTTTTAATACACTAATATTTTCACAATCTATGCCAAATTTTGTTATATTTTGGTTCTTAATTTAAATTACTGTTTACTATATTTGTACATTATACACATATATACTTTACATGACATGTGCTAGCTCATAATTATTAGGGAAAAAAAGCAACAGTCTTGATCGGACCTGAATTCAAATAGATGGGATGCCTTTTTATACTATGAATTGATAAAATTAACAGAAATCTTGTTTTTTCTACAAACAATCTTTTTTTTTTCAATTTAAACAATCATGAATTTTATCTCTCAAAAGCTATGTATATATTTGCCAGATCATAAGGAAAACAAAGATGGTCAGGTACTCATTGCTCAATTTTAAGGCAATCCGCTGTGAATTATGACTTTTCTTCTGCACTATTTTTTAGGATCCCAACTTCTTCTCTCTCATGCAAATATGAAACAAATCTCCACTCTCTACCCTAAAAGTTGGGATCCTTTTATTTAAACACTGTAGTACTAATCATGAAGTCTAAATCACAAAGTTGTAATTATGAAATAAAATTTAAGTGTGTCAAATCTATTAAAAGACAAAGGAAACGTTTTTCAAACTAAAGGATAATAAGGAAGCTTCTCAGCAGGAAAGAAAGTGTGCTAAAAATCCCGTCAATCATAAGACTTTTAACACTTCATTAATCTTAATTTCTCAAATATTAAAATTAATTGATTGTTTTTAACTCACACATAATTCATCTGTTACTTAACTAAAATTAGTTTACTGTGTGATAAAATTGAACTTTTAAGTTTATCTATAGTATTGTTGTTAATTGATCAATCAATCATGTCATTACAATGATTTTAGCGTATTAAGAAATTAGAGTTTAAACCTAATTTGACAAGTGAAAGGTCAGTAGGGTACATCGATAAATTAAATCCCAATTAACCTAAATACCTGGCATTTTCCTGGCATTTCCCCCTTTCATTGAATTGTATAGATACAGTCTGTTACAAAGTTAAAAATAGCTTTTGTTTAACTAAATTTATAATTCCCGCAGACAAATTTTTAAATTGTACTTAATGGAATAGCAAGTGAGAAAAAAATACATTTTTCTTGCTACCCAACATAAAAACCATTTCAAGTTGTTAGTGCCAATTAATTTTTAAATCTAATTGTGAACACATAAATTTTCATATATTTATTTACAAGACTTTAATTGTGTTTCATCTATAAAGAAATAAAGAATGGAATTAATGAAATAATTTTATTATTTCTTGCTTCAATTTTTGTTGGATATTTCTCATCTGGATTATAAAAATTTTGTAAGCTTTTCCAACTTTTATTTTATCAATTAATATTTTTAAGTAAGGTTTTATTTTATTCTTTAGGTAGATTCATTTCAAGGTTCTTTCCTCGTTTGTTGACATTCATAATACAAATTTACTGAGAAGATCATTCAGAAATCATGAGTGCGGTCTGACCCTCACACAACACGACATGCAAGAATGGCTCAATTACACAGAAGACAAACACTTTGAGCCCTGAAGATGATCTCAATAAAGATCGAAACGTTGGCACGATAAAGAAAATGTTTTTCTGAAATCTACATCACACCAGACCGCATCTCACGATTTCTGAATAATTATCAATTATCGGTCGCTAACCACCACACATTTACTGAGAAGGCGGAACAAGCCTCAAATAGGATCTATGAAAAAATTAATTAAAAAAAAACATGAAAAGCTTATAAGTTCTTATAAACCAAATTTTACTAGTAATTTGTCTATCTTTATTCCAAGGGCATGTTAGTATGCCCTACTATATGCCCTACTCGCCAGGGTCTCATGCATGCCATACAGCAGTTTTAGCATTAGAAGTTCTAGTAAATATAATTTAAAGACTCCACGAGCGTCTAACTGACTCATATTGCCAACTTTTCAACATACCTTCTATTAACGTTCTATGTTTGTGAATAGTTTTCAATTCAATTTCTTTAGTCAATTTTATTTAAACTTTTAAAGACTAAAACAAAACCGTTGTGTCTAACAGGACTTCTGGATACAATAACAACTACCGCAGAGAGCAAAAATTGTCCTGGTGTTTGTGTCCATACCCTAGCGACGCTAATTTGTTACGAGGTGATGGAAGATGTACCTTGCCCTTCACCTTCTATGAGGTGTTGCATAGAAACACCCCCAGCAAACACGACAGTTTCCACAGTAGCGACAGCCACCAGCCCAAGTAAGCATCATACTACGATGCAACATACGACCACTCCACCAACAAAAAAACCCCAGGTTAAATAATTTAAGTTGTACTCAGTTTTTTGTGTTATATGGTGTTTGAACATGTTTTAAATCTATTTGAAAAAGAGAAAGATTTTAAAGTAAGCGATGTCATTATTTCTAACTAATTTAATTGTGTAATACAAATTAATTTTTCGTATCTAATTAGTAAATAATAATAATTATTATTAAATATATATTTTTATAGATAATAACAGGCAAACCGAAACCAGAAGTGGCTGCCAGCACAATGACCAAACAGGATCCAGGTATTGAAATTATTTCAAAATTATATTAGAGTTTTTTAGTGTTCATCAAAGTAATCAATATATAATAATATTCAAAAATGAAAACTATTATTTAGTTTTAGAATAAAAGATTGCATGTATTTTAGATTGCATTTATTTTATTTACTATTAGTAAAGTGAATGTTATTGCTATATGACTATATTCTTTATATTATATTCTTTATTGCTATATAAGCCTGTATGTAATGTAATTAAATACTTTCTGCATCCCTGTCACAACATAGTCTAGCATAATATGTAAACATGGGGTCAGTGGTCACAACGGGTTAGACAATGACACAGCGCTCATCACTGTAAGGTAAAGGTCCTGCGTTTGAATCCAGCGGCCCTGCATTCGAACCCAACATGCTTAAAAATGAGCTTTTTTTTCAAAAACACTCCCCGAGAGATGATATGTCCACTTTTGCAAAAACTCTTAAAAAAATAAAATAAATAAATAAATATACAATTGTACATCAAAAGTTGAAAAATGTATTAACAAATCTAATATGCAATAGGCAAGAACTGCCCTGGAGTTTGTGTAGCCGAGAGGATTGCAGATTATTGTGAAGCTGTGCTTTCGCACAATAAAAACACGACTGGGCCCCTCTGTAAAGAAGGACTAAGATGTTGTGTCACAAGGGACGCTTTTCCAAATGCTCAAGCTCCATCACCTCACAATCGAAACACTACTTCCGGATTCACACACCGGCCAACCACATTAACGACAACTGCTGCTCCTACGACAAGGCCGCCACAAACAAGTTCTCCACAAGTAAGTAACTATAAATGGCAACATTATTTTCTTCTCAAATCTACACAATATAATTGCATAAACATAATTATGTAGTAACCATCTGTCTTTCCAGCAAAACAATGGGCATGAATGCCAGGGTGAGTGTGTTAATGGATTGTTAGCACTCTTTTGTGATGATATAGACACAGAAGCGACTTGCACTGGGGAGTACAGTTGCTGTATAACAAATCCTCCTTCCGGTGGCAGTGAAGGAGGTGAATCACCACAAAAGAGGCCGCCTCCCAGGCAGCCACCGACTACAACGACGACTCGAAGGACGACACCTGCTCCAACCCAACAACCTCTCCCACGTTGTCCTGGTTTCTGCCTGGTGAACATAATGGCAGGATTTTGTGAAAGACCATCCGTTCTTATCCCCCACACTTCTACTTGTCAAAGAGGTACTTGCAAGTTTATTTATTTTTATAAAACAATTAGTACTAAATAACAATGTAGAATTAGCTCTGAGATAAATCTTGGGCTATTTATGAATTTCAATATCATCTAAATGGTTCTAGAACAAACTTGTATTAAAAGTATGAAACTTATTCTCATCTGGATTAAAGAAAAAGTTTTGATGATTGGATTAATCATTATATTTTATTGTATAGGATCAGTTTGTTGTGACAACACAAGACAACCAGTTACAAAACCAAAACCTAGACCGACACAGCCCACAACGACTCCAAAACCGTCTCCTCCCGACAACAGACCTGATTGTCCAGGCTCGTGTATCGTCTCATACTTATCATTCACGTGCTTTAGTAAGTAACAATTTCTGGTCGTCTCACTTCTTTGATATTATTGATACAATTAACTTCTTTCAAGGAAATGCTGAGATGACTGAGCTGTTTAAATGTAAGAAGTCAGGGACACAGTGTTGTGCACCAAAATCAATAACACGAGGAGAAAGTATAAATAATAATGAGAATACCATATCGAGAAATGATACTGTTTTAACGTCTCAACAGTCACATAGGCCCGTCCATCCGACGGTCAGACCTCCATCACATCATTCGACAATAGGTAATACAATTTATTTTTCATTCTTAGTGATTTGTGAGTCACTTCAATTTCATTATGTTTGTGAATATATTTATCTTTATCTAATTAAAATGTAGTTGGCTAAGCCACTAATGAGCTTCTCTCTAAACTTTAAGGCCCACCGAGTGGAACGGTTGCTGCTACAAGACCTCCAGTGTATTCGAAATACGTATGTGGAGTCAAAGGTACAGAAAGGAATGGGAGAGTAGTCGGTGGTGAAGATGCTGGGCCAAGTGAATGGTGCTGGCAAGTAGCTCTAATCAACTCGTTAAATCAGTACCTTTGTGGAGGGGCTCTTATCGGAACCCAGTGGGTATTAACAGCAGCCCACTGTGTCACAAAGTAAGTGATGAAAAAAAAATCCATTTTGTAATATTAAAAAACTAATTTTTAAACATTTTAAAGCATTGTGAGATCAGGAGATGCTATTTATGTGAGAGTCGGTGATGATGATCTGACAAGAAAATACGGTTCGGCAGGGGCTCAGACGCTCAGAGTAGCAACCACATACATACACCATAATCACAATTCACAAACCTTAGACAATGATATCGCACTCTTGAAACTGCATGGGCAAGCGGAACTTAGAGATGGTGTTTGTTTAGTATGTCTTCCGGCAAGAGGAGTATCGCAAGCAGCTGGAAAAAGATGTACTGTAACAGGCTATGGTTACATGGGAGAATGTAGGTAGCTTTAATACACTTTTCAAATATTATTCGTACATTCATATTATTTTTTTATTTATATTTTTTAGCTGGTCCAATACCACTTAGAGTAAGAGAAGCAGAAATTCCAATTGTAAGTGATATGGAATGCATTAGAAAAATTAACGCAGTTACAGAAAAGATATTCATTTTGCCTGCAAGCAGTTTTTGTGCAGGTGGTGAAAAAGGAAATGATGCTTGTCAGGTAAATAAATTTTGAATTGAAAGCAATATTATTTGTTTTATTTTGGAATATCATTCAAAAAAGAGAAATTATGTTTTCATAATGTCAACTCAGTCTGTATTTGTACTTTTACCTTTATTTAACTTTAATTGCATAGCATTTATTCAAATTTTATTACTAAAGCCTAAAAATTTGGTCTATCCTGACTAGCTTGGAGAGATGTTTTTTGCCATCTTCAGTGACCAAATTACAGGTTCATCACCCGCCGACCATACACTCAAACCTCACCATTAAGTTTGCTTTCAGGGAGACGGAGGCGGCCCCTTGGTGTGCCAAGATGATGGCTTCTATGAACTTGCTGGTCTAGTTTCATGGGGTTTCGGTTGTGGAAGAATGGATGTACCAGGTGTTTACGTGAAAGTCTCATCCTTCATCGGTTGGATAAATCAAATAATAAGTGTAAACAATCTGTAAGAATTTAAATTATTATTTGAAAGCCAGGACAGCTTTAATACGACAACGGAATATCTCTTGAATCGTAACGATCTTTATTTAAGAGCTTTACTTCGGATTATCAATATCTTATTTATTTATTCTTCCTTGCTTCGTTCTGTTGAAATGGAGGAAGTTTTGTTCATTTTTGAAACTTTTGTTTGTGTGATACTCCATGTTGCATTTTGTATACTAGTATTGATATTATATCAATCTTAATTGTTCAATAAGTTTATCAAAATCTAGTATTAATAGTTTGTTTAATTATTTACCTTTATAGTGACGTTCTGCAAGAAAGAACACCATAAACGAATTTGAAAATGTACAAAACTATAATTATTATTACCTTGTAAATAATACTTATTTTGTGTAGTCAGTGTGTCACAAAACAAATAGAACTTTGGCAATGAAGAAAAAGTACCGACCCAAAAGAAAATGTATTAATAATATATGTTGTATATTTTATTCTCTCTAATGGTTTGTTGTTAATTAATACATGTTATTAGATACTTTTTGTTCCAACTGTTTTTGATTTCAATAAATCATTAGAAAAGTATGCAAATTTCTTTAAAATTTAGTTCCAGTGTGACTGACCTTTTTTTTAATCTGATTTTTATACAATTTATGTATAATCAATGCAAAATCAAAACAAACATACAAGGTGTTACAATAATGTAAAACAATTATTATGACAAAATTTGTATTTACAATTTGTGATCGGCAAAACATAACAAAACCGTATAATTTTAGGTTTTCACTTCAATGTTTGGGGTGAGATTAATAAGTCGGTGGCTGTTTTCCACAAGTTCTGTAAGTGAAACTCTGCCCCGTTGCTTTATAAATTTAACGACTGATTCCAGTTCCTTCCTGGTTATGTATATGAATTTTCCTCTATCATCGACTACTCCTGTAAAAAGGAAAAATCAAAATAAACATGGATTTAACAATGCGATGAGGAATGTTTTACCAGTTAACCGGCCTTCATTTTGCAGACCCTGAACCCTTTCGATAACAGACTGAGATTTCATATTGAATTTTGCACCCAAGTCTTCAAAGGTCACGACTTTCATATTCTGTATTAGCAAAAAATAATAACATTTAGCACATGATTGTAAAGTGTAATAGTTTAAGCATGAAATATATGAAATAAATATACCTCAATATATGAGATAAATTCTTGAAGAAGGTTCACATTTTCACTGATGTCTACATCATCGTATCCTTCTTCTTCCACACTGAATGCTGACTTGAGTTTCAAATATTCTTCGTGTTCCCTCTTCAATCTCTCTTCTTCTTCGCGTTTCTCTTGTTCTTCTTTAAGTCTTTCTTCTTCTTTTTCCTTTTCTTCTAATCTTTTTCTTTCTTCTTCAGCTTGCTCTTTTTTTTTCTTTTTTGCTTCCCTTTCCCTCTCTTCAAGCTGTGATATTACTTTGTTTAATATTAATTCACAACTATAAAACAACAATGGTCATACCTCTCTGTGAGCTTTTTTTTCAGCTTTTGCTTCTAATTTAGCCCTCTTTTTCGCTCCCATTTTTTCTTTTTCAGGTTCGAGACCATCTTTTTCCTCTTCATGATCAACTACACGTTGTTGAGCTAGATTTAAGATTTACATTTAGTGTTATTTTTTATACATTTAATCATTTAATTTCAATTAATTCTTGATCAGTTGATACAAACAATAAATTTCAATTGAAATTTAGAAAAGTTAGAATAAATTTATTTTAATTGATTAATATTTTTATGAACATAAATGAACTTTTAACAGAGGTTAGTTTATACATTATAAATGTTCAAAAACCATCATATCAGTTATACTTTGGCACAATTTCATACAAATACGTAGTTTGTTAGCAACCGATCATCTTGATATGCCTATCCTCACTGATTTTATCAATCGCGCTTTTTCGCCATCTTCAGTGTTGAGAGGAGGACTCCACAGAAATAACCTGGACTTTTCAGACTTGCATCTTTGGAAGGGGCAACTCTCCACATTATCAACTAAAATCGGGAGTTGCTGGACAAATGGGGAGAAGCTAAGACTAGTGACATTTTGTCGTCCAGGTTCTTATTTTATAAGAAACTAAATTTTCAATCGAGGTTATTTCCTGAGTAGCAAACAGAGAAGCAAGCCAACTGTTCAAATTGATAGAACTTTTATATTTCGACTACGCCACGTGGATGGAGAGAGAAATTACCCAAGTGATGTCTGTAATTTAAATACAAGAGAGGACGAATTCCATTATTTGACAATATGCCCTGTACTTGCTGAGTTCTGCATGTGGTACCAGTATGTTTCCAAGCTAAGTGAATCCCAGCTCATTTCTCTGCTAGACTCCTATTGCCGACCACTCATTAAATTTTTTATAGCAATATTATATATACATTCTAGTACAGTAATTCAACTTTTAAATATACTCACTTGTTCTTATCAATAGTTTGTATTTTATTTGTGCCTTTTCTTTTTCTTTTATTTTTTTTTTGTTTTTACATATTTATTTACACATTATTTATATTTATATATTTTAGGTTAGTTATGGTTAATTTTGTTGCAGCTTTCTCTCTCTCTCTCTCTCTCACCTCTCTTTTGATTTCTATATCTTTTATATGTGAAACAACCTGAAATGCATCGAGAAAGGGTGAAGAGGAGAAAAAAGAAATATATATGTATTGGGTTGTCCGGAAAATAATGCAGGTTTTCATGTTGTCTTTCAATTACCCCTTTATAAAATAAACTGTTTTATGTTTGCTGGATTATTCTTTTCTATTAATGTCAACACTTTGTAATCCTCTTCCAAACAAAAATGTTTGTTTACCTCAGTAGCATTTTTAACACCCAGTTTTGGCTTTTTCTCATTTTATAATTTCAGGACTTTGTTATAAACAACACGTGACATTTGTTAATAGTTTCTTTTGTTATAAACTGTTTATTAAGCCTAGTATGAACAAACAGAATGTATAATATGAATACAAAATCGATAACTGTGGAAAATGGAAAAAGGGGTGGGGCAAAAAAGTTTTGCCTTTTCATATTTTCTAATTTCAGGACATTTTACATTTTTTAACCGTTCCTTTAGTTTATTTAGCCTAGTACAGACAGGCAGAATGTTACTTGGGAATAATTCAATCTTTCTTAGGATTTCATTTTACAAATTTAAACTTGGTCATAACCGTATTTAGTGACCGTTAGTTAATGATTATTTGGCGATCGTGAGATGCACTGTCAACACGCCACACAAGAATGACACATCTATACAGAAAACAAACACTTTGAGCCATGAAGATGATCTCAATAAAGATCGAAACATTGGCACGATAAAGAACATGTTTTTCTAAAACCTATGTCACACCAGACCGTATCTCACGACCTCCAAATAATCATTAACTAACAGACACTAAACACCATCCATAATTATTATGTCCGTGAGAGTTGAATTTCCCATAAAATGATGTTTGATTGTGTTTCAAATTCAGTTTTGAATCCTTGTACCGTTTGAAACGAGTGGAGTTCTATGGTCGCTGGATGCTGTAGCCCAGGTGATATAAAGAAAAGAAGTGAAGTTTTTTGACTTATTGAAAAAAACTGTCAAAACCATTATAATTTTTTTTTTTTTTGTTTTTTGTTACGGTCCTCTGCCATGCTTTTACTGTATCTCGGAAAGGATACCTGCAGGTGAGTGTGCAGCCAACCAGTGGAAACCCAGAGGCTCCCCTGTCTTATACCATTTATTACATATTGCATTATGCGATCTTACAGAGCCCCTTTTCAAGGATGAGGATAAAAACCATTTATAATTTATACACCTACGGAAAATGCCATATCCTCTGGGGGCGTTTTAAATAGACAAAATCATAAAATACCTGCTCTTAGCCTGGCTCTAGCTCTCGGGTCGACTGCTCGCCTTGGCACCACCTCATCTTCATCAGCCTCACTTTCTGGAAAAAAATTCGAATCAAACTGTGCAAATAAATTAAAGAGTTAATTCAAAATGTTATTTAATTTGATTGTGAACTGTTCTAAATGAGACTCTTTTAAATGGTGTCAAATACAATATTTCCATCTTGTAATGAGATGTTAAGAAAATTGTTTTTTAACTAACTTGATTTGCTACGATGCCAGAGAAATGAAAAAAGAAATACAATAACTACACCAGATACAATAGCCAAAATTACAGTTAAGTCCATGACGTTTAAAATAGGGAAACTGAGTTCTCATAAGTTCCCATAACACCAAAGCAACTGAACAAACCGTACTATAAACTTCTCCACGTTGTAAAGGATATGAATCTGAATTGAAAATAATCTGTTGGAGAGTTCTAAATTATTAGATATACAAAAGAAAATCTTGAAATGACAGCTTATTAATAAATAAAAAAATGTTAATAACAATAGTAAAGAATTATGGTAAAATCTTTGTATTACAAAAGATTTTTTTGTTTCTGTTTAAAATCAATCAAAGCTGTAATTATATTCGCCTAAATAGAAAAGTACATTTATTTTATGTGATTTGCTTAATAATTTTATTGTAATAAATAAAAAGTGATTATTAAATTCGATATATCGAGCTGATGAAGTGTTGACGAAACTGTTACTTCAGAAAGCAGAGGTTACTTTTACACTTACTTTATACGTGTACCCAGTTTTGGTACAATGCTAGGTTGATTTGTCAGTTTGACTTTATTTTTATACTGCGCTTTATTTGATAAAAATGAGAGAAATAATGTTAAAATTGTATATTTGTTTTCCATTTTTGTTTATGGTACTTAATGGAAGTTCCGCTTTGTATTTTCACATTGGAGAAACGGAAAGGAAGTGTTTCATAGAAGAAATACCCGATGAAACTACTGTAGTCGGTATGTAAATATTCGACATTTATTTTTCAGTGTTTTTGTCTCGTAAATGGTCAAGTTTTTTATTTATCCGTCCCAACAAACAAGTGTAAAATTTCTTACTGGCGTGTGATATTCGTGATACATGGTGCCCCGATAAACTGAGATTTCTAAAATTAGGCTGCATTTCAATGTACCGACGGATGTACAATTAAAAAATATTTTCGTTAAAGGTTTCTGGTATGCCCTTTATTTCGTTTTTTCAATGTATTGAAGGAACTTTGATTTTGAAACATTTGAGTAGTTCAAAAATGCGTTTGTCAGCATTTAAAAAGTGGGACAGCTAAGCGATTCAAATCTAAACTAATGACAGTACACATTTCTCAAATTTCTTTTTTGAATAAATTTCACACGATGCGGTTTTAGTTGATTCACCGCCTGGTTGTCTCTCAACTAAACGAGACTTGGATGGTTTCACACTAGGCAACCCGTGAAAACACTTCACAGTGGTTGTTCAGTTTTCAGTATGATGTCAGTATCTGCGAAAGCGAGAGTACTTATTGTGAAAAAGAGAAACAAAAACTGGGGAAACCCAGACGGATTAAAATGTGGGTTTTCCATTGTTACAAAATAACGAAACTGGCACTTCCTTACAACTATTGTTGTCACTTCCCTCCAAACTTCACCCATTTTAATTTTGTCACCATACTCCCAGCCTGCCCTACATATTTGTTTAAAGTGTTTAAGTATCGACCACTTTTTACTCTTACTTTAAGAATAATGGCTGGATGGAAAAAATCGTTACCTGCCAATCTGTCAACTATTTTAAGGTCATAATAAATAAATTAATTAAATCTAGGACGTGCTAGGACTAGAATAATAGTTGGACTGTTGGCTGAACATTGCAGACTCCGGTGGCGTATGTATAGACTTGGAGTGACAGAAATAACCTGTTCAAATGTTGTCAAGAAGAAAAACAACGGAACATGTCCTATGTTCCTTCGAAGCCTATGTAGGCTGAGATACTTAATCTTTGAAGAGGAAAAGCCAGGGCCTGAAGGATACACATGGGAACCCTTGAAAAAGCTTTGGGGTCTGGTAAAAAGCCTTAAGCTTAACGAGGAGCTTTAGATAAAAGAATGGAGATGCTCCATAGACCAATTCTGGTCATAAAAAGGCTGGCTCCTACAAATCTAATCTAAGAGGATAAGCAAAAAATGAGGAAACCTAATTGAAGAAAAGTGTGGGTTTTCCATTGTTTAAAAAAAAATTCTAACTGTCGTCCCACTTCCCTCCAAACTTCGTCAATTTTAATTTTGCCAACCAGGGGTGATAAGATCGTGCATACTAACCATGTAGTTGTTTGAGTGCGAAAGGGTTTGGGTGATTCCCAATCGTTTGCTAAGGGGCTTCACTCCATCTAGTTGGATCGACTAACTGCCTCATTTGAAACTAGCATTATTGTCAACTTTTACCATCTCATACAAACCAGATCGATATAACAATTTTATATAAAAAGTTAACTGTAAAATTTGAAAATATTTGTTCCAGACGTGCTAGAAAGTTTAAAAGAATTAAAAATTTAATTAATTTGATATTCATCTGATTTGTACATGTTTGATCATGAAAACTTAGCTAGCAATTAAACATTTTTTGTGCATTATCTTTCCATAGATTTAGCCAAAGAAACTATGTACGTACGGATAATGTAAGGGGATGGGAGATGAAAAAAAGTCTACGAGTCAAAATCTGACCACAGTCCCATTCATAAATATTTATCTATTATCCATATTGTTATTTTCCAGTGAATTACAAAGTAGAAGTATTTGATCCAAGAACAGGGGGTTTCATGCAGTCTAACTCAGGGATTGGCATGCACGTCGAAGTGAAAGATCCTGATCTTAAAGTCATATTGTCTAGAGTAAGTGTATGCAGTTTATTCAAATGAACAACAAACTGCTTTTCTGTATTTAATTAAAATAGATTTATTTTATTTTATTTTTTTACTGTACAGAAATAAAGGATTGTATTTTATTTTTTAGGTGTACAGTTCTGAAGGAAGAATTTCTTTCACTTCACACACCCCTGGTGAGCATGTAATTTGCTTATATTCAAACAGCACTAAGTGGATTGGAGGGACACAATTGGTAATTATGTTTATATTAAAACGTTGGCTCTTTTACTTATACAATTTCATTTATTTTCTTTTAACAAATTTTAAATTAAACTTTACCCATTTATTTTTTGCAGAGAGTGCATTTGAATATTCAAGTCGGTGAACACACGATCGATTATGCAAATATAGCGCAGAAGGAAAAACTAGGAAATCTTCAGTTAAGGATGAGACAACTGTTGGATCAAGTTGAAGCAATAACAAAAGAACAAAATTATCAAAGAGTAATTAAAAAATGATTACCTTATTTTATTTTCATTTACTAACTCTTGTCTTAAATTTCAGTATCGAGAAGAAAGATTCAGATTGACTTCAGAAAGTACTAACCAAAGAGTATTTTGGTGGTCTTTTGCACAGTTGATAATGCTCATCCTAATGGGAGTTTGGCAAATGAGGCACTTAAAACGCTTTTTTGAAGCTAAAAAACTTGTGTAGAACATTGCTAATTAATTTAATATCATTTTTTTTCTAAACCCATTTTGTCTTTTACCTCATTACTTGATAATACATTTGTCTTCAGTTGATTTGTTAAATGTGAAAACACGTGAAACCAGTGGTTTGTTACACTTTTCATCCTTGTGTTTTAAGAAGCAGAGAAAAGCATGGTTTTCAGAACTTTTATTAACTTATTCCGTTTACATCATTGGCTAAAATTTTTGTATATTTAAGAAGTGGTTTAATATTGAATAAATTTAAAAAAAGAGAAAAAAGTGTGAGTTATTTCTAGTTTTTCCATTCTGTTAATTTACTACCAAATTATGAGTTTATACAGCTGTTTAAAAAAAGAACTCATGTAGGGCCATCTTAGGTGATCGAAGACAATAAAGTTACCTTTTTTTGAAATATGCACAAATTACAAACTTCTTTGGATTGTAACAATTATCAGAAAACTGGAAACAAGCTTTGTAACTAAAACCAGATATCTATCATGCTATTAAGACATTTATTTATTTTTCCATCAAATTAGTCCAAACAGGGAAAAAACGCAGGATAGGGCAGTCAATTACATAATTTTAAATGTGTGTGAAGATCGAACAGTAAAATTATTTGAGTGAGGATCAGGTAAATGGTCACTAGATGAAGAAAACGTCAAAAACATGCCTCACTCAAATTACATAATTCATATTCTCTATTATAATTTAGAAAAATAATAATCACAAAAATGCCTTAAGTTAATAAAAATTTAAATTACTATTATAATAAAATAAAGCTAAATACATATATACAAGACAATAAAACATAAAATATGTAATATGAAATTAAAGATCAAAGTTTAAAATTAAAAGTAAAAATAAGTTAAAATAATAACATTCTCCCTTAGCTGTTCAAACATTTATACATTTTCTTTTTGAAAACTTGCAGACTATCACCAAATGGATCACAATTTTTAAACATTTTAATAGACGGCTATTCTGACGACACGTTTAGACAACAAATTTGTCCTTTAAGTTGGAACATAAAACCTTAGATTAAGGTTAGGCAGTTTAAAACAAAGCTGATATCTTTTGGAGCATCGACAAGTCCATTAAAAAGATACAATGCAAAAATTAAAAAAAAGCAACCGATCGAGGTGAATCCAACGAAACTAAATTCAAAACTTTAAGGGCTGCATCATATGATGTGAAACTAAGTCTAGATTTAACAGAAATATATTTACGAGATCTAATTTGTATTTGATCCATGTCGGCAGTCTTATACAAGGGAGACTACACCAAACTATCATACTCCAAATACTCCGGACTATGAGTTTCCATTATTGTTCTATTTAATCGAAGATTCCTATATGCTCTATTAATAAATCGATAGATTTGTGAGTAACGGTCAAGAATGAGGTAGTTTAGAAAAACACTTTTTCATTTTTTTGCCACTACAATTTTTCTAAACTACCTCATTCTTGACTGCTCCTCACAAATCCAAAAATTATTAAACGACCGGTAATTAAAAAAACAATTTTATTAACAATTAGAGAAAGTTGTCCTCAAAGATGCAATTGTTATGAAAGAGAACTCCCAAATCTAAAAGCAAACTCTTTAAATGGAGTAAAACCAAATGATTAGAACAGTAGTAACGGTACTTTTGAGTGAAGGAGGGGGAGATACTGGTATCAAAGTACAAATTAAATAACTGGATTTAAACTAAAAGTAAAACAATGAAAGTAAACACTATAAACAGATTTATTTATATGAGATTTTAGATAAAAGTAAACACGATTCATACCTTTTATTAACTATAAAAATTTCTTTGAAAAAGAAGAATAAATTTACAAAGGGAATTTATGGCTTAGAAACTATCGGAATAACTTCTATGTCACCTATAAGAGTTTTTCTTTTATGAAGTTTGGTTGGCCTACTTGGTTTGTCCGAATGACCAATTTTTGTTGATTGCTAGGAAACTTGCCCAATTGACTGAAGGATTTCAAGTATTGCACTTCCAAGTTCTTCGTCTTGATTTGTCCATGAAACATACACGTTTTTCTGTTCGTCTTCACTACCTTCGACTTTAATAAGGACGGATTCTATGGAAATCGAACCGTCTGTGAACATTATATTCCAGCCTTTTAACTTTTCTTGAAACAGTTTATGCAGTTTCTCTGCAGTTTTCGATGGAGGGCTCGGATCTTCAAGTCGAATCGTGGAAGTAAATCTGTAAAATAAAATATAAAAATTATATGACTTAAATTTGTGTAAAATTAAAAATAAAACAAATTTGCTTAGTAAATGACTCTACACATAGAGTTCTTGGTAGTAGCAAAGTGTTGCTTATGGGCAAATACAGTAGAATCCTTTTTAACCGAACTAAAGGGAGAGGAGCTGTTTTGGATAGTGCAATTTTTCGGATGATCCATGGAAGCGGTAAAAAAAAAAAAAATTTCCAGTTAAAACCACCGATCCGTGTAATTTACATAGAAAAATGAAATACAGTATAATGTATCCGAAATGTAAACCAGAGAAAGAGATTAATTTTTTCATGATTAGCTAGCTTCATCATCTTACGGTTTGAAACTTTACAACTGTATTCATGAAGTTTTGATTTCATTATTGCAATGAAGTTTAGATAGTTGATATCCCAAAACAATAATTAGCAGCTACATTTCCCAATAACGCACCATTTTTTTAATAAAATCGTTTCGGTTAAGCCAAGTTAAGTTAAAAGGGGTTTTACTGTCATACATACTAGAACATAACATAGAAACTCAAACTCATATGGACATACCTAAATTAATTAATTTAAAACCAATTGTTACCTTTTGACTTATAAATATTCACATTTAATTAAATTATGAATACACACAAAATTTAGGATATTCTGAATTACCTTATGATATGACGGTTGATACCAGCCTCTTTACAAGCCTCGTCAACATCCATTAGTGAAAAAGAAGATTCCTTCATGACAAGTACTCCGTGAATAACTCTCGAGCGCTTCGGATTGGGAGGTTGATTGTTATACTTTACATTCTCTTTTTTCAGAAGATTGAGAGATACGTCTACAGGTATACGATAAGGAGTATTTATCACGCATGATTCGCCATTCGCAGGCATATAACAATCGAGATTAAATTCTCGCTTGATTTTCTCTTTGAGGAATTCCATTTTTGCGGATTCGCCATGAACAAGAAGTACATTTTTTGGTTCACAGTAATTTATGAGCTGCATAATCCCTTTAGCATCTGCATGGGCTGAGAAAGACATGTATTCGACGCTTAGTTTTACATCGACAAAATTTCTATTTTCGAATTCGATCTGTTTCGCCCCATTTAGAATTTTGTGACCGACAGTGCCGACGACACAAAACCCAGGCATGATGACCATATTGTTCTCATTCGGGGCCCATTTTTTGAAAAGCTGCAAGCTCAGACCTGCATGAAGCATCCCGGGTGCAGCCAAGACAACCATAGCACCAGGCGTATCCGCGTACGATTTATCAAAGGGCTTAATATGTTTAAAATCAAACATATTCCTCTGGACGAACGTTTTTTTAATGTTCTGGTTGGTCCAAGTGATGAACATTTTATAATAGTTGTTGGCCTTTTCTGTCAATCCAACGGCAAAGTACACAGGAGTTTTCAAATTCATCCTTTCCCAATGTGTGTCCAAGAGGATGCAAAGTTCCTGAGCTCTCCCGAGGGCGAAAACCGGAATGAGCACTTTACCGTTCCTGTCGATGCACTCGGTAACTTTTTTAAGGAAGTCTCTTTCTCTACAGCGTTTCGAATCTCGGATAGTTGTCGCATAGGTGGATTCGGTGATGAGAATATCCGGGCGACACTTGTCAATCCACGCCGCTCCCAAATGCCTGTCTGGCGTCATGTTGTAATCACCAGTGTACACAATGGACTGCGAACCGACTGATATTTTGAACATGGCAGCACCAAGGACGTGCCCTGCATAATACGCTTTGATCTCCAACTGGTTGTCAACAAGGAGCGATTGGTGCAGAGTGACAGCAGTCACTTTTTTCATGCAGTCTTTTATCATCTGCGACGTGAAGAAGTTCCCCTCGCCCTTCTTCTCCACGGCTATCTTCCTCATGTCTTCGAGCAGAATCGGTGCGATCGCCTTTGTGGGGTGCGTCATGTAAATGGGGCCCGTGTAGCCGATCATTTCCGTCAAGTAAGGAAGAGCGCCGCAATGGTCCAAATGAAAATGGGATATAATGACACAGTCTATAAAGCTGGTGACAGGGCCTTCGTTCGCTATGAAACTGAAATCCGGGAATCGCCTCTCGTCGTTGTAGCCCATGTGCATGCCGCAGTCCAACATGACGTTCTTTCCTCCTATTTGAACCAGGATGCAGCTACGGCCGACGTCTTGCCCAGCACCCAAAGGGATCACTCTTATATTCGGCATGTCTACAGATTATGAACACACGAAATATATAAACATTTAAGTAGGAATTAATTCAACTACGACGCGAAGGCTTGAGGATATCACCAAGGACAAATAAATAGACTGACATTCTAATTAATTGTCAAAATCTTAAACGGCTAACTGGAAAACAACAAGTTGTAACCAGCTCGGCACCTCGTTCACTTCTCAAGACTCAATCCATACTCACAAGTCACAGCTCCCTCCATGGTCGTCGTTGTCAATCCACAGACTGTCTTGAGCGCTCTGACGTCACCAAAACGTCATTCTTACAAACCAAAACTCTCAATCAATCGAAAAGGAAATATGACTATTTATTTATAATTTTTATTATGTAGTATGGATTTTTAAAAAGACATTTTCTGTTTGTCTGTTTTTATATTTATAGTTTGTGAGAAAAAAATCCATGTTTCTTTTTTCCAACCTCAAACTTTTCCATTCTTCAACCACTTTTGATATGTGAACTGCTTAAACCTGAGTACCGATATTGCCAATTTCGTAGTATTTACTTTCCCTAGCATTTGTATTTTACTTTTATTGCATTAAAATTTATTAGAAATTATTATGATTTTACTGAAAGAAAATTTAATTAAGGAATTTTGAAAAATAACACGGTAATAAATAAGGTTTTAATTTTATAATTTTGTTTATTAGACACAATATTTTTTTAAAAACAATTAATACCGTGTATAATGTGTAATATTTAGTGATCGTTAAGTAATGATTAGTTAGAGATTGTGTATAATGTCCTTTGTTTGCTAAAACGTCTGCACCTGTTAGGCATACTGTTAATAAGGATGCCACTAATTTCATAAGTAATTTCACTCCATAGATGTTGCAAAGCTGCACTCAGTTGTTGCAGGTCAACTGGCTGGGGATGGTGATCGAAAAGCCTTTTCCGCAACGCATCCCACATGTGTTCAATGGGATTTAGGTCTGGAGACAATGGGGGAATGGGGAGATGGGAAATTTCCAGGTTTTCTAAACAGTGACGAACAACTCGGGCTTCTGTGTCTGGCATTGTCATCCAGAAATCGAAAATCCCTGCCAACGAGATCCCTGGTTTGAGGGGTTTTATCGATAATTTCTTCGACATAACAGACTGCGGTGAGATTGCCTTCAACAATATGAAGTCCAGTTCGTCATCTGGTGTAAATCAGATCATTACACTGCTTCCTCCAAACTGCACTGGGAGCTCGAACTGGGACATTGAACTATCCAGACAGAAATACGACACATCAGTAAACTTAACAGCATTCCAATTAGTGTTCTCTTCCAGGCGCTCGCTGCACCATATTCTCCTGAGTTGCTGGTGGCGGGTTGTTGCTATAAGTCAGCTCAAAAGGGCATACGATTTGAGGCCAACGTCCCAATCCGAATTGTCTGTGTTGGTAGAGGCTTTACCAAAACATCTTGTACTTTAGGATCTGGTCGGCACTATGGAAAAGGTTCATGTATGTATTAATAACAACAGGCATACAATAAGAACTGGTTATGTGATTAAGTTTTAAACATACAAGACATAAAAAATAGGATAACAACCGTTAACCGCGCAGGCAGAAATTAGACCGTATACTTTTCCTTAAAACGGTACTTTTTAGGGATTAAGTCTGCGTTTCTGGTTTGTTCCAGCCGATCGTCGATCCTTTTTCTAAAATTTGTATAACGTGCAAGTTTTTATTGATTTGTATATTCATGAGTTTTAAGTTGTAAGTTTCTGACTACATTTGACAACCACTTTACAGTTTGATATGTATATCTTAATACTCTAGGATTACAAGCCAGGTCAAATTAATGTTGGTTCAGTTTGATAGATCATTATGCTAATATTATGCTCATTCCATGCTTTATGCGTGGAGATGATTTCATTGTAAAGACGAACTTTTGGGTCCTAGAGCATTAGCGCTCTCTTTAATTTTAAGTTTTTTATAATAATATTTACATATAAGTCTGTAAGTCTATTGAATTCTTTTAGAATTCAATAATAACTTGAAATGTCATTAAATTTTAGACGTATAAGAAATTTAAAAAAAGAAATTACACTACATTAGTCAATGGCACGAGCGGGATTCGAACCCACGATCTTCGGCTAGATACGCCGCTGCTCTACCACTTGAGCTATCGTGACCTCGATCTACTCGGACACTAACTTCCCATCTCAACCACACTTTTTGAATTTTCCCTCCTTTTTCCCATTTTTCAAATGTCGTGTAATCGGATTGGATTCTCGGCGACAAATGAAATGGCGACGGAGAGCTTTAGTGAAGTATACTTCATTTTAAATTATTAAATTCACTAATTTCGTGGTCCACTTACCAATTAATATATTACAATTAATTAAGGTTGTTAGTTGAGATAAAAAAGTCAATGGTACGAGCGGGATTCGAACCCACGATCTTCGACGAACAGGAGGCAAAAAGGAGGGAAAATTCAAAAGGTGGGGTTGAGATGGGAAGTTGTGTCCGAATGGATCGAGGTCACGATAGCTCAAGTTGTTAGAGCAGCGGCGTATTTAGCCGAAGGTCGTGGGTTCGAATCCCGCTTGTGACACTGACTTTTTTATTTAAACCAAAACCTTAATCTAAGATAGAAGGTTTAAATGTTAGGCCGTGATATGACCTTAGCCGTGTTAATACGCACTTAAAAATTAATAATAATATCAAACGAAATCAACGAAGGGAAAAAAATTTGAAGATAGCACTAAACTAAGGATGTAAACAAGACATTATGTAATGGTTATTTTGACTACGACAGCTCCTAATTACCTGTAACTAATGTTGAAAGATAATCAATTTAATTTTGAACTAAATAAATTTAGTGGTCCGTTAAATTTGCCCCTCAGTGAATATGTTCTTTTTCTTGTATGGTAGTGCAAATAAGATGTTTATTGTAGGATTTTTTTGTAATTGTATGTTTTTAAATAAATAAATAGAGCCTAAGTTTAATAAGAGTTCATAAACAGAGAACCGATGATGGTAGATCCTTGACTCAAAGGGCGAAGTACTGGCGTTTCATAAATACGGACTTCGTTGAAGTATTCAATTCAATTGTAGGGTTCCTTTTTACACGAGATCCGTACACAATAATTAATCACACTTAATAAATAATTTTATTGGGACATAATTATAACAGTATATTTTAGACTTACAATAATAATAATATATAAAGTAAGTGACAGTTAGAAATTTTGTTGATCCTCCATTGAGGGATAAGGGGAAATTTTACTTTCCGGATATTTTATCCATTCTGTCAGCGACGGTTTTCAATTCTGAAATCAGATATGATCACAGTGAGAAGAAAATGAGAATGTAGGCTTTGTAAGAAACGTGACGGCCTGCCTACCTTGAAGTAACAAATTGGCCTGCAGCTTAGTCATGTTAATGGCGAGTCGGTTGCTCGGGTTGCCGGGCCATTCGGCGAGCCGGAAGCTCACTTTCAACCCTGCAGGGGTTAAAGTAGCCGATAAATCTTCAGGAGCCGGCCGCCGAAGTACAGACTTGAGGGCAGCTTGACGAAGCCCGCTGTAGCATTTTGAATAGATGGAAACAAGCCTTGCAGCGTGTTCGGGTTCCAGGCCGAGCTGTTCCAATTCGGCTCCAAGCTCGCTGAAAACAACTCGTTTTATTTACAACCAAGACGACTTTTTCGGATTATTCCATTAACGGATTTTAGATAAATTTAATCTACATACTGTGACGGGACACCGTATTTTGTTCCTGATCTCAGAGTAAACGAAAGCCCCGATAAACACGCTTTCAGATCAGTCATATCTATAATAACACATAATACATAATAAGTTGTGTGCTCCTCCAATAAAAAAGGTCAAAGTTTTCTAAAAGCTAACATTACTATCGAACTACTGTACTTTAAGCTTATTTTGTACTGTTACAAGATTTGTTATAACAAATTTGTATAACAGAACATTTATTTTTATTAAGCCAATTGGATTTATAACAGATAAACAAACGCGGACACCATAATAGTACACACATAAAAGAAAATGAAGATTAATCATAATTCGAGCATAAGCGATATTTATCAAATTTGTTAAAATCTTGATACAAGTAGAACACATTTTTTTTGACAAAATTTGTACCTGTATCCAGAGATGCAACAAACAATGATTAACAAAATTTAATTAGTAAAAAATCATATACATATATAATATCAAAATTTATAATGACAAGATAAAATTAGGGCTATCATCGCTATGAGGTCCTGGAAAGGTTTCAAAGGTATTTCTTTAAAAAAATTATTTCCTCTACCTACAAACACCCTTACTTATACAGTTAATATTGAATACTCTGTTGAAACAATTTTCTTAAAAAAAATCTTATACAGGGCGGACTAAATTTCTCTTAAACCAATGATGCTATGCAAAAAAAAAGTTTTTATTATTTTTTAGTCTAGTTTCATATATTTACCTTTTTTTTGTAGAAAAATTATACAGAGTATCTAAGGCCCAGTTCAATTTCAAATATGACTCTACACATACTGACCCACCATTTTAAAGGAACGCTGAAAACAATAGTGCAATCGGATTTTAAATTGGTCAAAAAATGACAGTTATGGCAACAACAAAAAGAAACCGGCAGCTTAATTTCGATGAGGAGGTGTATATTTTTCGTATGCTCGCGAAAATCCAAATTCCTCTTTCCGAAATGTTGGAAGGATGTTAGGTTTGTCAAAAAAATAAATTTACAGATGTATTCCGGATTTACAATTTTAAGCCGTATCGCACTCATCTTCGGGGCTCTTATGACTCATTATGACGGGCGTCTAACGTTCTTAAATTCGAGAATTTCGTACTCTTGTCATCATCAGGTGGTTCACAGAGTCAACGTTTGGTGTGGACTTCTCAGAAATAAATTAATTGGGCCTTATTTCTATGAAAATAATAATACAATTTTTTGGGGGAGGTTTTACCAGCACCATTAGATAATGTTCCTCTGCGTCAACGACAAAGAATGATTCTCCAGCTTGATGGATGCACCGCACACAATTCTTTGCAGGTGAGGCGTTATTTGTATCGTCTCTTCCGGGAGGATAGGTGGTTGGGACCTCATGGCCCGATCTGTTGGCATCCTCGGTCACCCGATTTAACTCCACTTGTCTATTTTCTAAAGGGCTACTTAAAAAACAGTATCTACACCAATCATAACCCAGCAACCTCAATCGAAGAACTGCGACAAGGGATAGAAAACGCTTATCAATCCATCTTCCCTGACTATCGCTCTGAGCACCGGTGAAGAGTGGTTAAAAAGAAGAAATTTTTACAAATGCAAGGCGGCAGTTCGAAAATGAAATGTGATTAATAAATAGCAAACCAAATGACTGTTTTTTTTTCCAAATTAGCCATAAAGTTATTTTTGACCACTTTCAAATCCGATTGCACCATTGTTTTCAGCGTAAAAGAATCTTTAAAATGGTGTGACAGGAAGTGTAGAGCCGTACTGGAATTTGGATGTTGAACTAAGTCTGAGGTACTATGTATAATTTTCTCCAAAACAAAGGTAAAAATTTGAAACTAGACTAAAAATATAAAAAAATATTAAAAATATAAATAATAATATAATANTATATAAAAACGTATTTTTTTGTTTTTATATTTTTAGTCTAGTTGCAAATTTTTACCTTTGTTTTGGAGAAAATTATGCAGGCCTAGTTCAACATCCAAATTCAAGTACGGCCCTACAGTGTCACACCATTTTATTTTTTATTTTTTTTATAGCGTCAATGCTTCAAGAGAAATTCAGCTGGGCCATCTAAAAAGGACACTGGATACATTTTACATTTACGCCAGCATTATAAATTTGTTTGGGGTGTTGTCACTGCTAGGTCATCGATTGGTAAATGTTGTAGTCAGGGAGGTGGTCAGGTGCTCTCTGGGTTGATTCCTGACTCTTGCTAGTTTTTTGAACACTCTTTCCTTACAGACGGAAGGAATAGTTCATCGGTAGTAGTCTGTAAAGATGGCTGTGCAGTATGAGCACTATCTTCTGTATAAAATCCTTTTGGAGTCAGATATGCAATTCAGTGTTTTTGGCTGAAGTGGTTAGAGCAGCGGCGTATTTAGCCGAAGGTCGTGGGTTCGAATCCCGCTCGTGACACTAACCTTTTCATTTCAACCAATACATTACATAAAGATTAACTATAAATAACCTTGAAATACTTGCACAAAAAAAGCAGTAAACCACATTAATTTTTTTTAATTAAGTAAAAAAATCGTTTTTTAGGCCCCTATTGGCGAAACTGCTCGGACAATAATACTTTTGGCCTAGTAAAATATCAAAACTTCTCCATTAAAATTGGTGATCTCACAGCGTTGTGGATGTTTTCTTTCAAACTGACCTAACCCCAGATTTTTGATGTAATCTTATAAGCCGAAAGCTGAAATTAAAAGCCGGAATTAAGGTCGATAGACTATTTGCACGCAAGTTTTTTTTTTTTTTTTTTTTTTTTTTTTTTTGAGATTTTTTTTTTTTTTTTTTTTTTTTTTTTTGAGAAACGAGAGGCCTTAATCGTTCAAGCAGAGGCTTATACTTCTTTCACAATTAATAAGTAAGAAAATAATTGATAATTTTAAAACATGTAGAAATTTAAGACGAATAACTGATAGATATTGGATGTTAATTGATGTAAACTACCATCAACAGTTTCAAGGCGGTTGCATATAAATAATTATTTCACAATTAAAATTGAGTATAAATTTAACGCCCCTTTCAAGTAAACTTTTTAATTTTAAAAGCAAAGTGCGTCAGCTCTCTATACAAGATTATTTTCTTGGAGATTTTTTGAGAGGGTTCGGCAGAGAGAAGCGAGCACGCCTTTAAATACCCCTAAAAGTTCTTCTTTGTACCTTTAATAGAATAATTTCCTATTTTAAAATTACACCATTAAACTCACCAAGCTTAGCTTCTTTTCCCAGCTCGTTCATTCTGCCATACTGAAACAACAATATTTCAGACTTAAAATCAAAACTGTCGGCCGGCGATCTAATGAAATGTTGATTAGTAAATGGTTACGGGAAAATTCACGGAACCTGTTCAAACATGTAACACTATTTACACATCAAATGTAAATTGCAATTAATAGATTTACCATGATTAATTAGTGTAGAATACTGTTTTTGGATATGCCAAGAACATTTCGACAGCTCGCGACAAAAAGAGATAAAAAGTTACTCCAAAATTTTAAAACATAAGTGTGTTCATATTCGGAAATGGCATCGTTCTAGCATCTGCAGACTGTTTCAACTTTAACATTTATCAACAGAATAAAAAAAAAAATGCAACGAAGAGGCGAACATTTTTTTTTTTTTTTGAAAAGAGGTTCGCCACAAGTATATCTCACCACTGAAGGTTTCATATAAATCTTACTATTGGATTGAGTTTTATTCGGCGATCGATTAAACAGTCGGGTAGCCAGAATGGATAAATGGTAATGAGAGTCTGATTTGGCCATGATTGCAGGTGCAGGTACACAATTCGAAGCATGTACAGAAGCTTGATTGCATTGGGCGTTATGTCGAAGGGGGTGAGATGGACGAAACTGCCCACGATTCGCCGGATTTCCCAACAGGCAACGATGATCGCGACAAGACGAATTTCTACACGTTTTAACAAAAAAAGTGAGATTTACAACGGTTAGAATTTTCCTGGTATGAAGAAAATTAACTTGAATAATCGCTCCATCGTAGTTGATACACGATGGTTAAACAGTGTTCTGACATAATGGTGGTAGATTCCACTAATTGAAAAGTCTCTTAGGAGGAATGTTTACTTTCTTACCCCACATAACTTGCAGATAATGTTATTAGCTGGATGTGGTTTCCATGTGGGGTAGAATAAAGCAAGCAGTTGCCTCAGAAGGACGCAGGTGCCTTCTAACCGAGATTATAACTTAAACAAATTTAAAATGTGTAATCACACACAAAATCTTGTATTTTATTCAATTTCGACCCTTGGCAGTCGATATATATCTAGATTAGATCTACTCTAGATCAACTGATTATTGGGTATCCACTCAATATTGCAAAGAGGACAAATGCCACTGTATTACTGTATTCGTTATGGACAAAAAGGTTTATTTTCGGCCTTTTTATCTTTATTTTCGAATATTAAGAATTGTAAAAAATCTATAAATACGGTCGTTTTTATACACGATGATTTACGCAATTAAAAACATTACCCAAAACGTTTTTCTAAAAAAATCAATGGTGACTTATTACAACGTTATAAATCTATAATTCATACAAACTTTTAGGTTCTTCTCTCATTTTCTCTATAATTAAATTTAAGTTTGCTAAAAAAAAAACGCATCATTTGCGTGTTGAAAAATAAACAGAGAATTTTTATTACTACTTACATCCAAGTCGTTCCCCTGCAACGATTCGGCCACTGCCAGACAGATTTCTTCAAAATGATCCACGCTCTGAAACAAAAACAATATTTTTGTCGCGGATTGTCAAGTAAATAAAAGACAATTTTTATAAGGGTCTCACAAGAGCTGACAGCGTGTTGATTTGCATCAGAAGCCAATCCGGGCAATCGGCATCACCGCAGAATCGGAATTTCTGGAGAAAAAAATTAATTATAATCTCAAACAAATACAAATATGTAATGTGAAAAGTACATAGATCATGTGAGAATTGAGTGCTTACCATTTCCGTCCAGAATTAAAACAAATTTCCAAGAAACCTACAACACAAGAACAATACGATCATTGCTTTTCAAGACAAGCGTAATAAACTTTTTATTATTTAAAATTATTGAAACTTTGAAATATGTACACCGACAGGCAAAAAATACCACCCGCTTGTAATATAACTTGATTTGTATATGTTTTTATATATTAATCGAAGTTTCTCGTTTTTTAATGTTTAATAATTGCGTATTTGTCTAAAAAAGTTTAAAAAATGTAACTTGCTAAGGAAAATATATATAAAAAAATGAAGGACAGATAAAATTTGTTTTAGATGTTTTATTATTTCAATATCGCGTATTTCTTCCTCTTGCCTTAAGGAGGATTTTCGACCTTCTTCTTCGAGCAGTGCGTTTAGAAATTTGGACACCTCGAACTTCCTAAAGCTGATGAATCGCTTGAACAATAGTAAAGTGCCGGTTTTGCAAAATTCTCAATGTCAAAAACGGTCATTTCTGTGGTTCTGTTACCCTAGGATGCCCAGAACCGGGCCTTCTACGGTAGGACACAGTTTCTTGAAAATGTCTAACGGCGTCTCGCAGTGTTTCGTAGTGAACTCCGATGGCAATAACCCGTTGGACCGTCCATCATCAATAATTGCCACACCACGCACAACATCCTCAGCATTAAGTGGCTTTTTTAAGTTTTTAAAATTGAAATTAAGAAAACAAAGAAGAAAACCAAACAGTTTATTGCTTCAGAATTCAAATGAGACTGAATAAACATTTTAAATTCCGTAAAAAAGTAAACATTGAAAAATCGTTATCTTGTTTTGGATTAAGGATTAAGCGTGTTTACCACTATTGATATTCCCAATTTAAAACATAACAGAAATAAATATTTATTGGTAAAAACAATGAGATAAATTAAGGGAAGAATTTTGTTTTATCGAAAAAAAGAAACAATCAATATGGTGGAATTTTTTGCTCTTTTATTAATTTACATTTCATAATATTAGCAAATAAAATAGAGGGATGGAGGGGAATTATTTTAAAACGCCATCGATTTTCACATAGACGTTTCCCAGCATTGTAAAGGAACGACTATTAAGAATAAAACCTAATGGATTCCACGGCAATATAATTTTTTTCGTATCAAAACAGAATTACATTAGAATGGTAGAATTACGCTGAATAATCCATTAAGTGCCTACATTCTTTGCATGCTAAAATATTCTAGACGCATAGCATCAAAACAAAAATATAACTCAGGCATGATTGTATTTTATTTTCTACAAATGATAACGAATCTTTCGTTTTCCAAACAAAAATTCCGTATTGGCCGTGTGGTTAGAGCTTTCTACTCGTATTTAGCCTCGTTGGAGGTCCTGGGTTCTAATCTCGGCATAACCCTTAGAATTTTAATTGAGAATAATTACAAAAAATTATTGTAATGTGGTTTGGACCCTCGTTAGACACCCTTAAACCTTCCCTCTGTACTTTACTATCAGATGGTTTTATTATCGACATAATTGCAATTTCAGTTTTCCAAAATGAATAAAATTTCAACTTTAAACGGTTCTGGAAATTAACGATGCGAATTTACAATTTTCTCATCAACCCATAATAATACGGTATTTATTTTGTATTTTTTCATTTGTTGAAGTTGCGAGGCTCAAATGAGTTAGTTTAGAAAAACACCTTTTTCATTTTTTACGGACTTTTCGACCTTTATTCGGGTCATCTTCAGGGCCTGGGTAAATTACAAAACATGCTGATCGGAAAAATAAAAATTCAAGATGTAAATATAATTTTTTTTCAATTAGTTAATCTTTTTTATGTAGGGTTTTGGCTGAAATGAAAAAGTTAGTGCCACGAGCGAACCCACGACTTTTAGCTCCATAGATGCCGAAGGTCGTGGGTTCGAATCCCGCTCGTGGCACTAACTTTTTCATTTCATCCAAAACCTTAACATAAAAAAGATTAATTGAAAGAAATAATTTGGTCAATGGGCCACTAAATATAATGAATTTAAGGAGTAAATATAAATACTGAACCAATATTTCATACTTGTATAAAGTGTAGTGCTATTCTTGTGCTGTCATATTGGTTTTGTGTGAAAGTGTTGTGAAACGTGAACTACTAGCCTGCTGTTTTTTTGTGATTGATGGCGCGGTCATCATAGGCGATTTTATTTACCTCAAAGGACGAATTTTTAATTATTATTAATTTCTCAACCTGTAGCCCAGCGGATTTAAAGCTATTACTTTCAAATACAAAAAAAGAGAAAGGAAAAACCCCTAGGCTCGTAAAAATAGAAATGACCCTTCCAAACTGTTGCAGATTAAGAAAGACGTCGGTCTCTGGACCTCGGAAAACAGATTGAAAAGTGAAAAAGGCCGTACTGACAAGACTGCGCATAGGCCATTCAAGAATAACGCACGGGCACCTACGTGTAACCAGTAGGTGCTCGTTATGTAAAAATACAATTACGGTCGAGGACATTTTCAATTGGAGAAGTTTTGAATTTTATAGGAAATATTGTAATATATCGTCGGACATTTGCGTAGTCTTGGGGCACGGCGATCGACTTCAGGGCTATAGGAAACTATTAATTTTAAACAGGTTTATGTTGTGTCTTTACGTTAATTTACTGAAATGAATGTGATTTATTAGCCTGAAAGGAAGGGGTTTTTAACCCCGCCCCAAGGAATATGGAATATCGAGTACTCTTGAGTGTGTGTGACGTCTGGAGAGTAAAAATACGTTATTTGGGTATTTGGGATCTGGTTTCTGGTCAGGTAGAAAAAGAAGTTAACTCTGTGATCACTTGCCAAGCTTTCGGCCTTTATAAAGACCACCATCAGCGCAGTATCCCATTTCTCGTATTAACATTACAGCGTGACGAAAAACTCCGACGATTTCGACTACGAGGTCTCGAAGTACCTGAGGTTGGTTAAGTTGAAATTACAAGTTTTTTTAAGGATAGTGGTCTTCTCAAAATGCAGGTCCAGTCGATAAAGAAAACGTTATGTTATTAGAGGAATCGAGTGGTTCGATCTTGCCCCGAGTAATATCGAACTCTGAAATATATATGAAATCTTTCTGAAATATATATGTATTGTATGTTTTATGTACATTCTGAGTTGACAATCTGAGGTACAAATGAAAGGGTAATATTTTAGGATATAGTAAAGCAGAGATTTATTAACACGTTGTTATACGGCTCATATGGCTGCAAATAGAAAAATAGATAGACCAGGAAAAGAAGTACAAATTCTCAGTGGGCCGGATGTTTTTTCATCAAGACCATACCGTGATCCAGACTTTGCTCTTTTTTTATTAGCGTGACTGCCGAAAAATCAGCTTCGCACAAATATGACTTTGCAAATGGAACTACCACTAAACAGTGGATATTCTTATTTTACTCATATCCAAAAATCATAAAGTTCCATGCTATTAAATTTTGTTTTCAATGTATTGTCGCAAGACAACTCAATAAGATATTCCTTTTCTAAAGTGGTAAATTCATAGAGATGTTTGTGTCTTGAATCCATTTGAATCTGTCGATATTATCTGCTTGAAAGTATTTTCCGAATCATTTGATACGCTGTGATAGGTGTCTTCAAAAACAGTTTTAATCTGTTAAACTACAAGACAAATCAACTTCGTTGATGATTACAAAGTGGTGCAACAACTGAAAACAATCATTGATACCATCTTCATCAATTTTTCTTTTCTATAGATGTATTTGTAATAGAAAATTTTAGCTGCGCTCCGTTACAGATAATGTTTAACGTTCTAGGGAGTAAAATAAAAAATAACTTTCCATTAATTAAGGTTTTTAGTTGAGATAAAAAAGTCAGTGTCACGAGCGGCATTCGAACCCACGATCTTCGGCTAAACACGCCGCTGCTCTAACCACTTGAGCTTTCGTGACTTCGATCCCCATTCGAATACTAACTTCCCACCTCAACCACACCTTTTGAATTTTCCCTCCTTTTTGCCATTTTTCAATCTCTTTTTTATCTCAACTAAAAACTTTAATTAATCGAATGATATTAATTGGTCAAGCGGACCACGAAAACTAGTGAATTTAATAAAAAATAACATTAAAAAAAATCAATTGGAGTAAAGTAATACGCTGTGACAACTTTGTGCCCACCTGCTGTCCCATGGTACTTCGAATTTAGACATACCTAAACGAAGTTAGTGAAAATCTAATACAAAAACCTTTCTTAGGTCTCTAAAAACAGGCTTCAGTATTCTTCTAACCAGCGCAAGCTCCAGTGCGCTCTCTTACACTGTCACAATAACATTCATAAGCAATTTATATAAAAATTAAAACTAAAAAACAAATATAACAATAAACAACAAATAAAAAACAAAAACACGTATACTTAAAAAAAGAAGCGAAACTAGCTCTACATATATCCAGATATGTTCATCAACGTAAGGTCATTATTCCTGAAATAGGAAAATAAAAGGAGTTGGATTGAAATGTTAATGTACTCCAGTAATTCACGAAATGGCAGAATATTAACTGCCACTAATGAATGTCCAGCGAGCCAGCGCCTCATCCTATAAATTTCTATCTTTTCAAATGATCCGTATCAACTAAGGTTGGGGTACGATTAAATGGATTTGTTGCTTATAAAAGGTCTGCTTTTTTCTTTTTTTGACAGTTGTTAATAATTTAAGATTGTAACAGAACTAAAATTTCCAATTTACTCGTTAAAAAATACAATCAGAAATTAACCTGTTACTAAGATCATCTGTGATCTTTTCTCGTATTTATATAATATGATTATTAAATTGTGAACAATGAAAAATAACCCATAGATTAGATGCAATTTTTTTTCTGATACCGCAGGCTGGCAAATTTTAACAATTAATATACAACAGAATTATCTATGTAAATGTAATCTATGCTTTTTTTGATTTTTTGAGGGTTCGAATCGCAATATTAATGTTATTAAGAAATGTTCGTTTTTGTTGTCGATAATTCTAATTTCCATATACAAGGGTGTAAAGGAATGACCGGATACCACAAAGCCCTTCTGGGCTGGAAAGTGTGTTTGGTCAGAAGGTAATTAGATTCTTGTGTGGTTGACATTTTTTCTACCGCGTGAAAAAAAAAGAATTAAATTCGAGAGAAAAGGCCAACTCTACTACGGACTTGTTGATGATGCAGTTTTTAAAATGTTCTTTTCGCCATACTCTGGCCATACTTAATGATTTCCAATTTTCCGATTATTTTTTCTTCTTCGTTCGATTCAATTGGAATATTTTCTTTCTCTTATCGATTAAACAAACAGTTTTTAATACCACGTAAACAAATATTTAAAAACTATCTATTTTTGGATGTTTGATGTATCGAAATGCGTTTATCTTTAATTCTTTAATTTTTCAGTGTGTTGTGTTTTATATTGGTTGTTTCCTAGCACTAAATCAATTAGTTAAAGTTGTGATATTTCATTCAAACTACCTCACTACATTCTTGTCGTTTTTTGATAAAGTTACTACAGGGATTTCTGTGTTTGGAAGCAATCACTAAGAAAAAGATTAAAAAAGAAAGGAAAAAAAGACATTATTTCCTTGCCTTATTAATTATGTTTTTTATAGAGGTACTTAACAACTTTAAATTAAATACATAAAATAAAATACTCATCTAAGTAAATAAGCCATACCCACTAGTATATAATTTTTTATATATATTTTTTTTTGGGGGGGGGGACACAAACCCTAGTATCCTCATCACAAACACCATCACTGGTATATTTTTATTATTTATTTAATTAAACTACAATATTTATGGCTTTTGTTGGAGTTTCAACATTTACCAGTCTGTCGTAATCATAGTCCCGAAGTCCCTGGACAAGACGAGAGCAATGCGGCTTAAAATTGTAAGTCCGGAGTACATCTCTAATTTTATTTTTTGATAAACCTAAAACCCTTCCAACATTTCGAAGAGAAAAATTCGGATGTTCGGGAACATACAGTAAAATATTCAGCTCCTCGTCGAAATTTCGCGCCGATTTCTTTTTGCCATATCTTTGTCATTTTTGACCAATTTAAAATCCGATTGCACCATTGTTTTCAGCGTAAAAGATCTTTTAAAACGATATGTCAGTATGTGTAGGTTCATATTTGAAATTTTGAAATTGAACTGGGCCTGAGGACATGTTTCTATTTAAATTGGAACACAATCGTTAAAAATCATGCACGATGTGATTAACTAGAAGCGAATCAAGATGGAGTATTACAAAACCTCAAGGCGAAGTATTTCGGGAACCCGTGTAAGAAGAAAATTCAAGCTAAAAGCTCAGAACCAACTTTAGTTTCTGTGAAGAAAATCAGGTAATTAAGACATGAAAGGGCAGATTGGGTAAACCGAGTTAACCTTACTGTGTTCTATGCTCTTTGTTTAATCAGAAGCGGAGATTTCCCGACGGGCAGTCCCTTAGGACGTAGAAAGAACCCCACCACCTTCGTCTTCAGCTACATAAGGGAGGGAAGAAATCGCTCAGCCTCAGTCCTAGTACGATATGTCTCTTGCCTCTGGACTTCTACTTGCCCTTCTTGCCCTAGCTTTACAGGTATCTGTCCTTAACGTTAGATGCTATCGGGACAATCGATAAATTAAATTATATTGCCACAGTAAATGGAAGATGGTTTTAATGTTCTTTATTTATTTAAGTTCACGATGTTCGTCATATATCTTTGTTAGGGCAACTGTTGAAACGAGACCAGATATGATATTTTCAATAACTGGAATTAATAATTGGACGGCGTATTTCATCTGTTCCCTTGTGAATTTACTCATTCGCACAATCATTATCGATTATCGTTATAACTCACTTCACTGCCTCTGATGTTACACCCCCTTCCGTCTCATCAACATTTTCTAGCTTGTTAAATCAAAATTCATTTGGTAAAAAAAGGTGACGAAGTTCAAATTTTTAACTTACTCTTCTCACGATCACCTTGGATATTAAACGTTTTAAGCAAGGCGAAAAAAAGAGAGATAAGATTGATTAATTTCATTTTCAACATTTTATAATCAGATTGAAAGTCGTAATTTATTGAAATTATAAGTGTAAAAAAATTAAATATTGGCAGACGGAAATGTATTATTATACATTTCCATCACATTTCCCTTTTGGGCTCGTGAGGTCCAACAGAAACACCATTTTCTAAAGTATTCAGGTTTCATAATTTTCAGCTTTTAATTTTTTGTTAACAATAAAAAAAACGTTTAAAAATAATTTTATCCATTCGGTCAAAAACAACATACAAATTAAAAAAACAAAAAGAGATATAGGACCCCCAACTCTTCCGTAAAACAGCCATTAGCTTTTGGCGTTAATAATCGGCGAGAATAAAATACAACCATGGGACAAAATATATTTGAAAAACTTCCGACTTTAAATTGCGTTCAATTCGAGTTGACAGGGTGGCGCGCATTAATTTTTAAAAATCTTTTCCAGCCAAAATTGGGAAAAGTTTCTTAAATCAACTGTCCAAGTTAGAGGTTAATTAACCGGACCAATAATTAAACGTTCGAACGGGCCCTCTCCCGCTATGTACTTCGTTCAAATAAATGTTTCCACAAAATGAGAATGTAAGATGTAATATAATAACAATAATATAAGGTGAAATGTAAAAGGAAACAAAGGAGATCAAAATATTAGTATGTCTCTACTAGTAAAATTAAAAAAAAAAGTTTAAACGTCATTATTAATATCTAGATATCAGACTTAAAAACATTGAAAGTTAAAAAAGGTCAAATAAAGTAATTATTATTATACAGGATGTAACCCAAAAGTCCTAATTAACTATGGTCCGAACCTCAGCAGTTACGTAGTTATTCCACTTTTTCTGATTTTTTAAAATTTCACGACCTTGCTTCAAACAATGATAACTCCAAAACTAAAACGTTATGGACAAATCCGTTGAGACCGTTGAAAACTACGTTAAATTTACTATAAGATGTGATTACTAGTAAACTTGTAACAGTTGGAAAAATAAGCGTTTTAGTAGTCAGCACTATGAAAAATAATTTTGGTTCAATGTTGACAAACTAACTATGGTGATTTTAAACTAATATTTTCTAACCTAGAGACTAGCAAATTTCAGAAAACGTACTACGTTTAATATGCTTTTTAGTTGTGTAATTGCTTTTTTAATTTCCTTTTCATAGATGAAAAAATTGACGAAGGAAAGGAAAAATCGTGTTTGACGGATTGGTAAGGTGGAAAGATTAATAATAATAAAAAATAAAAAACTTAAGGAAATTTTGAATGAATTTATTAAACGATTTTTGATTTTGATTCGAAATGACCCTCCGTAATGTATTTTCGACTTACCTCATCCTCAACCACGGTTTTTTTTCCTTCATCGATTTCTTCATTTTTGAAAAAGTTACAAAAAAAGTTAATTATAAAAGCAAAAAAAAGGATATTAAATGGAGTACTTTTCTGAAATTTGCTCGTCTCTAGGTTTGGAAATAGTCGTTTAGAATCACCATAGTAAGTGTTTCAACTTTGAAAAAAAATGGTTTTTTCAAAGTTTTCGCTACTAAAACGCTTATTTTCACGAAGGTTTACAGGTTTAGTATTGCTCATATCTTTTGGAAATTTAACCTAGTTTGCAATGGTATCAACGGATTTGTTCAAATCCATTTAGTTTTGAAGTTATCACGGTTTATTTGAAGCAAGGTCGTAAAATCTTAAAAAATAAGAAAAAGAGGAATAACTCCGAAACTGCTGAGGTTCGGACCGTAGTTAGGACTTTGGTTCCTTTTTGAATGTGGAATCTACTGGAAAAGTGTGTAACACGAGTAGCCGAACACCCTGTATAAGAGGGTTTAACGTCCAACTACTCCAAGAAAACTACAGATTCCCATAATCCCATAGACCAAATGAATAAATCTCATCCTATCATAGGATATAGTTGATTATCCTAGTCTAGTTTTCTCGACTAAATGTGAAATGTTAAATTTTCAGGGAATAGGCGCTGAAGACAGACGTAGCGACGTGAGAGCCGTCCTGGGAGCTGAAACCGAACCCGGCTTCTGGCCGACTCGTGGTAGACGTGGTGGTTCCTCCGAAGAACAACCGCCTCCGTTTTGGGCCCACCGCGGACGTGACATCCAGATCCCATGCTCGTCCTCCCCGGTACCGTCGAGACTCTACGCCCAGGAGCCGAAGTATCTTCTGATCCAGAGACGAGACGTGCTCGATCAACCGTTATGGGTCAGAGGGAAAAAATGGCCACAGGAATAGACAGTGTTAATTATTTAACCCTTTAAGGAAATAAACAATAAATTAATTATTGATAATGGGATGTATTGTTTAAAATTATTTTCTGATTCAATATTTTGCTTCATTGTAATGCAGTATAAACATTTTAATTTATCATCAATTTGAAAAACTGCAATACGTTATTATCCCGCCTTATTTTTGAAAGTTTTTACAATAAATCATCACTTATAAGTACAATTCAACAAAATTTAACAACCAAAATAAATATATATAGTATTTCTTATTTACATCCTCTATGCCAATCCCGAATCATAATCACGATTGTATCAAAGTAGCACTATGTAAAATCTTATTATAGACATAGTTTCATGAAAAAAATTGATTTTCGTTACCCTCGTGTTTTTTCTTCGATTTCAGACGGCTACTCTAGATTCAACGAGCGAACTGCAGTCCAATTATAACATCATCGATGCACTTAGATTGACCCGAGATAATTGTACAAGAAACATTATAAGAAAGAATGCAAATCTCTCAAAAAAGAATACAAATAAACACATAGAAGCAAAATTTCGTTTAATCTACAAAACCGGTACTATTTTCGTCTCGGAATTACATTGTACTTGTTTTTCGCTTCCGAGCCATTTCCTAAGGACACAGGACTTTTAATAGCTGATAATTATTTCCGAGCAAGTGAGAAATCAGTGGGTCGTAATTGAGCTGCCGATCTTTCTTGTCGTGCAAAATCTTAGTCCGCTCATTTTAAACGTACGACTCCGGCGCAAATAGCATTTATGTCAATTTCCTGTTTCCCTGCTCGATTCGATTACATCGAGATAATTAATTAAAGTGGTTTGTTGTAAAAGTTTTGGACCAGGCTGGGTTGATTGCTCCAATCATTTCCCTTTCCGAGTCCTAAAGACCCTCAGGTTCATTAGTAAGGGCTACCAACCCCCCTTTTACTTCAGCCCATGCATACCTCCCGCCTAAAAATAATCATAATGAATTATTCGTTACTCATAATGAAATTGGAAGAACAAATCGTACTTATTTGCTAAATAATCAGATCCACCAATTTATGTATGTACATAATCAATTCTACTTGTTTTCCGACCCACGTGATCAGAAGAGATGTTCCGTTGTGTAAATAATAAAATAAATTATAATACATTTTTAGAACTATTTAAATAAAATATTAACAAAATGACTAATTTTATCTACGACAGGTTTTTTGAAGATTTATATAAAAATCCTACAACACATAAATTGAGTTAACGTAGAAAACTCGGCCCCGTGCACCATTTATCTTCATCCTTTGGTGTGTTTTTTTTCCTCAGAAATACACTTTAATTGTATTACCTTTATGATTTCATTTTTGCCACTATTAAAAACAATAAGTTTTGGAAACATTTTGAAATAATTATTTTGCTAAGCATACTCTGTCAAAGATTATCAGAAGTTAGGAAAGTAGGTATAAAAAAAACCCTTATAATAAAATTTAATATAATATATAATCCTGAAATAAAATCGGTTTACCAATCGTGTATCGAAAGCTCATGTTTCGTCAGAATTAACAGAGTTTTCCTGTCTTTTTTTAATTAATGAATCTCTTATCATTCTGGCAAATAATACACCACAAAACTAATTATTAATTAAATTTGCAAACACAATTTTTGTTTTTGTTGTTTTAGCTATATTATAGATATATTTTTATTTCCAATAATAGTTACAAATTTAGATTTGCTTTTGCCTATTTATTTACAAACTAATACATACCGGGTCAATGTTTTATTACTTTTCCAAGTTGAACTACCGTTCAAAAATTTAAGTAATAAAAAAATGGAAAACATTCTAAAGTTTTGAAGCAGTTAACATTACGCTCTAATACTAGACGAAACCAAGAAATATTCTTATAGTCTTTTAATATGTATAACAGATGAACAGGGTAAATTTTATTCTCAGTGTACAGTTCCGTTCCAATTGTAATCTTGAAAGTAGATCGGAAGCCCTTTTTTAGAGGCGAAGCGCCTCCTCAAATCAACATCGGTGTCAAAAGCTTAAGACCAGTTGTCAAAGTCAAGATATTTTTAACAAGTCCTCAAATACAGATGCTTGCCAATCATTCGACAAAATATCGCAACAATTCGTGATACTTGAAACGTTCACAAATATCCACACCAAATATAACAACCAGAACTGAAAAAGTTTGAAGTACTTTTTAGCGAGTGATATTGCAACAATTATTTATTGCCGAAAAAAATGTTAAGCTGTTCATCACATTTCAGAGTTTTTAATTTAATTACAACTATTCTCTATGGTAAAATAATCTCTATATACAAAAGTATGAATCAGCTAATACACATTTTTACGGTATACTGTACGGTATAAACCCTAAATTATTAATTTTACATTTATTTAACAAAATAAATTTAACAAAAAAACAAATAAATATATCTACCTTATATAATTACTTTGATATACTTTATACTATAACTTTTTAACCTTTCATGTAAAGACGTGGGAGAGATCGGAGGATTGATCAGCGATAAACTTGTGGCTGGAAGAGCCGTGGTAAGATACGTAGAGTCGGTGAGCTTCCTCGGCTTCACGTTCGTTTAAAAGTTAAAGAGGCAGCCAAACATTGACGACGTCGGGGTGAAAGTAAGGATAACATTATTGAAGTTGGTCGGTCGCTTCAGGACAGGGATTCTTCTTGAAATGTTTGACTCGCTCGACTTGTTTTATGGTTGCATGGCTTATCCTTCAGCCCGAAAATCGCGCTTGCATTGGCTCCTGCCTGAACGTCGGAGACTACTTTGCCAAACAGTGGCATCTGCGGTCGAGTACAAGTACAGCGGAACGAGCCAATTCAGCACGGACGTGTCCCCTGGGAATACGTCTCAGCAAAACGTGGTTACCGTCTGGGTCTTGAGACTAAAAGGCGGACGAGACCGCTAAATACGTCCAATCTTCCGGACTGTATCTCCAAAATTAAAAGAAAGTGGTAGCGTCGGTGGGGAGGATCGAGTATCAAGAGCACTGTCGATAGGTGGCCCTCGGAGTATCTGGCTCATAGAAGAGGAGTCATCCTCACCCGATTAAGAATAGGCCTTGCGGCGTTGTCACACTAACAAATACTTTTGGGCCAAAGCCCGCCTATGTTCGAAGAAAGGTTGCCCAATGTGCCTCACCTAATTGAAGGGTGCGGCTCCTTGGCTCTATATAGTGAGCATGAAAGGATCTACCCGATATAAGAATCGTACTTGACCTCGGCAGCGAGTATCCCCTGTTCCGATTTTTGGAAGAAACAAGTTTGTTTCATTACATATAATTCTGATAGTTTTGAGTATATAGCGTGTTTTGAGAGTGATGGTATATATTTTATTGTATTGAATTTATTTATATTTATAAAAAAAGTCATAGAATCATATAATATATATAATAAATCATATAATCCGTTAAAACATACGCGTGTCTTAAGGTGGTGACTGACCCAGAAAATACACATTAAATTAATTAATATTTAAACCAATCATGAATACAAATAACACTAATAATCACTATGCCAGGTGAGAAGTTTAGAGTTCCGTCTTTAGACTGTAAACTAATTTATTCGTCTTAATCGAAATCGATGCGATTTAGTTAAACTTTTAGAGAACTGGTGGTTAGCCATCTAGATATTTGATTGTCGTTATGAGTTAGAAATTCGAAGTGCCGGATCGTGATTTGCTTTCAAACGTCTAAATAACTTCCTCTTAAGACGGTGGATATTTAAAGAATACAGTTTGGGAGCGGATTTTATATGAGGTGAATCATACGAATGAAATTATACCATAGTTTTCTTTAATCAGCTATCGAGGAAAGAGGATTGCAGTAATCGGAATAAATAAGTGCAATCTATAATATATTACGTGACTCGATGAAAAGTAATTTATTTACAGTCTTTATTAATGAATAAGAAAATGCCAAATGTAAGGGAATGCACATTCAAAAGATAGCGCTAATGGCTCCAGGTTCCTCCTTTTTTTAAGTATTTTTTACCTTGAGTGGTCTAATTTATTTCCTTTTTGTGAAGAGTTTATTCAAAAATGTTTAAAGTCGATCGTAACTTCTATTAATTAATGCACTTAAAATTAAAGTAAATAATACCTATATTTCTTAATAATAATTATGTTTCTATATAAAAACAATATGATTTATAAATGCGTTAAAGCAAATAATAACAGACTGCGAAGTGTCTGCAAAGAAAGAAATGCAACATCCCGAATGACCTATGCGCGGCCTCGAGGTGCTACAGCAAGCATATGTATTATTTATTGATACGAATGTATTTATTTGCTGGAATGAAGGGGCTTACCCGTCCAATTACCCCGAAAAATATCGAGTACTCTGGGGTAATTTATTAGCGTGAATGGAGAGGCCTATCCCCAATTACCTCGAGAAGTATCGAAGTACTTTGTGGTAGTGTGAATGCTAACAGGACTCTCACGTTTTCATCTGTTTCTGTGTATTTGTGTTATTTTATCCACAACTGTCGAGGCCCTGAGGTACAGAGAGGCACGAAATAGTATAAAGAAAAGAGAGATCCTGGACATCATACCTTGGCTGGAGAATCAGTAAAAGAAATTAGTAGGTTTAAAATGTTCAAAAGATAAGAAAAGAAATGCAAAACTCAGGAACAGATGGCGGGCAATGACCAATGTAGTTTACCGACCCTAAAACTTATAAATGGCGAAATAGGACATAATTGGCAATGTTGAATTTTCTTCAATTGAAAATAGAATGTCAGCCGATGACGAAACTTGAAAAGACCTTCACGACGGGCAGGTCTTGCCGGCTATGTATAACCACGCCTGAAATTTAAACAATTTTTCCGAGAATGAGAAAATTAAAGCGAACAGTATTTCTGAAACTGAAAATTAACTAAGATTTTATGAACGATTGAATCAGGATTAAAATGAAACTTCCGTTAAAAGTCGCGTTACGTTAATCCTGCGTTTTAACAGTCCTACTGGAATTTGTGAAGTCACGACATCATCAAAGCCTTCTTCTCAAAATTTGTTTTATCTGGAACGCCACATTAGTTTTCTAGTTGTATTACAGATAATATTTCTTTAAGTTTGTAGTATAAAATAGATACTATTAAATTGATTTTATTATTTAGCTATTTTAAGAATTGATAGCATAATAAATAAAAACTGCAATGTTGATCTTGACATTAACATCAGTTTTTTCTATCTATCTCACTTTTATTTTGCAATCAGCCCTAGCAACAACCACCACGGAAAAAAAGGAATGAACCGAACTTGACTGGATTGTACACTCAAAGCAGAAAGAAGAAGTGAAATGCATGTAAACGTATTATACTATAGTTGTAGGTGATAGTTGGCCTGCGCGTATTATAATGTGATATTGTACTATACGAGTACTTTCACTTTCTTGGTGGGGGGGGGAGTTGTCAATCTGCATCTAGCTCATGATGAATAATATGATAGTATGATTAATCCTGTCTATGGTGCAACCTCTTGGAGAAAGAAAACCATACAAATTACTAACAAAAATAATTCAGTAAAGCATAGAGGCACGCTGTTTTGATCAATCAACGAATGATAGTATAAACAAGGAAAACAACGCAAAACTTAAGACAGAACCGCTCTAACAAAAGAAGACTCATAAGAAATAAGCAAGAACCTCGAGGTTCACAAACTTCCGAACTACGTACCGGAAAACTTCATTTATTAAGAAGGTACAATGTGGTGGTTTTGGTTGGTTCAGATGGATGGAGTCACATTGAACTAAGCGACACTGATCACTTTATTGGGTCAGTACATTCACGCGCGTTACGTGGTTCTGCGTTGTAGCATTCAGTGAGGAACGACCGAAAAAGCGTAAGAGGGCAGCATGTGCCAGCGATAATGGAAGTCAGCAAGAAGGCTCTCGGTTGTTCGGTCTTAAAATCAAATCGAAAACACTTTTAAATAGATTTTCCATCAATACTGAACAGAAGATGTAAAAAAAATAATAATAAATTGCCGCAGAAATCGTATGCTCAAAGATGGGTCCAAATTTTAAAACCAGATTGAACAAGTCACAGAATACCCTCCCCAAATTGTTTCTAGGATATGTACAGACGAATAGGATCACAAAACGGGAAGGAATCTTCGAATTGATTTGCTTTTGATAAGGCAAAACATCAGAACGCTTTATAAAAAGATAGAAGAAACTAAGATATTACTGAATGATAAGTTAAAGATATTAATGAATAGGCCATGTATATATTTTGGAAAACATCAGAAGAAACCTCAACTTTTAATATTACTTATGGACGAATTTAACGCATCACTGTAGAGTGTAAATCACTCTGCAATGGGAAGGGTTCATCGGCACTTCAGTGAAACAAGGCTTCACACTAGATGGCCAGGACAGGGTCGACCTAGGTCTACAGACGAGAGAGATTCATCCGTCCTCAGGCTCTACGAAATGGCAGCATTACGGGAAATGAGATAAGAAATCTGATAAGACAAGTCTGTAATGTTTTGATTTCCTCCATGACTATTAGCAGAAGGCTCAGTGAAAATAACCTCATGGTACGGCACCCGGCTCGTGAACTTCTTTTAAGCACAGCTCACAAAATGACCAGTCTTCAATTAGTACAGGAACATGTGAATTCGACATTGGAAGATTGGGGACGAGTTCTCTTTACAGATGAGGTGAGAGTTGACCTCAAATCTCAGATGGGCGTAATTTCATATGGAGTGGCTCAGAAGAAAGGTACGCACCATGTTGTTGGATCCTCAGGAGGCATTCCACGGTGGTCATTGTTGTTTTGGGGTGGCATTTCCTTGGACGTCCTTACCGAATTGGTTGTTGTGCGAAGAAGATCTCTAACTACCAGAGGCACTTACAATACATAATCGAATAATTGTAGTGCCATTTGCCCCCTCATCGGTGATAGAATTTTTTCTAATGCAAGAGCACGTATTGTGGATCACTACCTGAATGAGGTTGGAATTGAATTCTTCCAGTTTTGAACTCAATCGAACATATTTGGGGCCAACATAAGCGACGAGTACGACGGCCAAACCCAGGTCCAAGGTTGTTTTTTCTGTGCTCAATAATTGTTTTTTTTACAATAACTAAATACTAATAATAGATTTGGTTTTCCGATATACGTTATTTTCTTAGATGTCTCCAATCAAAGAATGAAATATTCAAATATGTATTTTTTAGTTTTCTTTACCGGAAAACAGATGGATTTTGTGCGTTAGAAATCTTCAGCAATGTCAACATATTCTCTGTTTGAAATAAAAAGAAACATGTTAAAAATATGAAATGTACTGTAATGGGGTGCGATTAAAACATAGTCCCGATCCGCTAAAGGGAAGTAATCACAAAAAGCAAACCATGCGGGTGAAGAAATCTAACGTCAGAAACACACAGAAAACCTAGATCGTTACAGATTTCATTTGCGAATTTTGCCTCTTTTTGGTACAAATTTTATATCATCATTAAGGCAAAACATTAAATTAAATTCCGACTAAACAACACAATAAGGAAGGTTGTGGCATTAATTTTCTTAGAAGTTGTCAAAAGTCAATGAAGAAGTAAAGTATGAAACAAAGTATTTAATTATACAATAATAGTTTATAACATTAACACGAAAAAAAGACTTTTTTAAATTCACATTTTAAAATAATTGAACGTTTTTACATACAACAGTAATACAAAATAATTAAGAGATTTTACACATACTATCATCTACCATTTTCTAATTTAAATGATCATAGAACACACGAACGCACTAACGTTTTTACATACAACAGTAATACAAACTAATTAAGAGATTTTACACATACTACCATCTACCATTTTCTAATTTAAATGATCATAGAACACAAGAACGCACGCGCGCGCGCACATATATATATATATATAATACGAAAATAACAGTTTAAAAAGACAATGAAGTTTATCAGAAGACCCAAATTTCATCTTTACATCTGTAGGCAATATGTTTTACCATTCCTTTAAAAAATTAAAAATCAGAGTTTGTTAGCGTTGTTTTATGATGTGATTAATTAATTATTCCAGTCATAGAGAAGGCTTAACGTTCAACTACCCGTCGGGTGTCATTTACGATTACGATATAATTATAAATTATGAAAATCAATGTGCTTATGTAACGTCCTTAAAGCAATTCAACACTTCATCTGACTTCATTTAAACAATTTAAACAGATAGAACTACTAATCAAAATGAAGTGCAACGTTGAAGATAAATAAGTCGAACCAACTGTCAAACTCACAAGCACACTCAGCAATGCGGACGTTCCAAAATATCCACGTTGTGCATATTAAAAAACATGAATATCATAAAAGACCATTTGTGTATTACCATTGGGTTTCAAACAAACCTAATTTTTAAGTCTTTATTTATTTATTTTTTTACTTGGCACTGCCAGTCCAGTCAGGTCTTTGACTTAACCATTTAAATTGAGATGTGTTAAAACTAAATATTAAAAGCTCCCACCTCTTGCGGGGGAAGGGAGGAGCTACGCCCCCTTTTGGTCCCTATATCATGGGACAACCCCCGAGTAGGACCGCCAGTACCAGCCTACTCACTTACCAATAACCATCGACATGTAAGTACTCATAAAAAAATTGTATGACACAAACAAAGTACGACACTACGTAATCTGTACGATAAAATTTTGGTTTCGAGAGAGTCCGACGTCAATCGTACGAAAACTGAAAATTTTCTACCCGGCTGCGGGTTCTAAAATGCGCTATTCTAAAAATATACACATAAAGGCATAGAAAACTGAATGAATTTTAAATCATATAGTATATGGTAATTCACATACTGTAGAATTTTCAGGAGTGTAAGCCTAGCAGTCTTTAAACATTCGCCTAGATTTTTTACATTAAAAGTAGGTTTATACGATAAATAATCAAATTTTATCAAAATAGATAAAATAAAGGAATTTATGTCGAGGAAAGTAATAAATGTTTCATATCATTATTTCAATTATAATTCATTTATTTTCTTTTTCCATTAATTTGTTGAATGTTGTATGTAATAAACACACCCACATTCGAACAAAAGCTTTGTAAAACTTCAAAAACTGATATGAAAAAACTAAAGTTGCAACTTCACAACTCAATATTTTTGACTATATCTTCGATACCGTTGGCTTCATTAATTATGCCATGAATAATGAAAACTAGAAAGTCCTAACATATCGAACAACAAAAATAATTTTAGTTTTTATCGACTTTCAAGTGAAAAATATCCCGGAGACGCCAATTGGGACTTCACAACCGGACGGTTTCGACTATGTCTTCTACACCGTTGGCTTCACAAATTGTTCCAATATCTTGACATGTACATTGTAAACTGTAGAAATACCAAATATATTCCAATTTTATTTTTAAAGTAGTAGTTTTCATCGATTTTCAAGGGAAAAATATCCCGGAGGTGCCTGTTGCAACTTCACAACTGAACGGTTTCGGCTTCCATACTGTCAGCTTCACCAATTGTTCCAATATATACACGAACAATGTAAACTGTAGATATACCAAATATATTTTTTAAAAAGTAGACGTTTTTCGTCGATTTTTAATTTATGCTTTGTTGTTCAGAATATTTCGTACAAAATCAATTCAGAAAACTTTAAGCTGATGTTAAACGCGTTCAGAGATTCATACTTTGTACAAGCAAAATAAAATACATATATAAATCGATAGTGTAGGTGTAATAAAGCAGTTTTATGCTCTGGGCATATGAAGCTGTATGTTAATTCCTTTAGTATTCCTTAACATCGGTCGATCTGATGGTATATTTTGCAACGTCCGGTTTCAAATTTAAATACGTTATATTTATTGAAATCAAAACAAATATTTTGTTTAATAATACAAACAAACAACAATCGTAGTAAAAGTTCTGTTTCTTTTTAAAAAGATAGTTCCTACTCCCAGTAAGTGAGAATTTTTAATTCCAAAAATCAATCGTTTTACACAATTAAATGTATAAATGGGATAACAATCTCATTTTCCTTGTTATCTACTCAATATATAAATCACATATGTAAAGAACATTAGGCTAGAAATAGTTTAAGCTGAAGTAGTGTCTTTGTATGCCCATTCATCGGCTTAAGTATATCCTTTGCGTGACCGAGCTACAAAAATCAAATATTTCCTAAATTCAAAAATTATGCAAAGAACAACCAAAGGGCATTCATCATGTTTGGATCGAAATGTATATGTAAAAGTAATATTCATAAAAAAAAATTCCCGATTTAGTTATTATTAAAACCTTTCCCAATTACATTTTAACAATGAGATTAACTATTTTCTATTGATGTATACTGAACTTAATTAAATTTAGATTTACTACATCTCTATTGGCTAAGAATAATTCTCCTATTCAAAGGGAGTAAAAGTTTCGTCAAAATTGAGTGTTTACCAGCATGAACTTAGCTTATGTTAATTAATATAACAATAATTCAATTTCACAATAATTAACCAAGAACATCACGTTGTTCGGTTTGTAAATCATGAGATGTTATCAACTTCAATTTAAACCTTTTTGTCGTGAATTCAGTTAGGAGAAGCGATTGATGAATTGTCAATTTTCCTTTCGATAAATAAACAACTCAATGGCACAGATGTAGAAAATAATGAACTAAGTGTTAGCAGGAAGAGAAATTAATTCTACAGGAGAAGAAATTTATTATAATTTTATTAATCCCATTTACGGGGTTTTAATTAAACGGAATATGAGATTTTCTTTTTATAAATGAATACGTGAAAAGTAACAAGGCGAACATTAAAAAATACACTTACAACCAAATATTCATATGTGACAACAATAAATATCTAACTTCTAAGTTTTAATGTGTTTTAAATGCAACGCATAAAAGCGGAAAAACGAGTCTTTTCAAACAATTGCCTATTGTAATATTCCCTTTGTTCGCGCTAACGTGTAAATTAGCAAAAAGAGATAACATTTATCCAGGTTGACATCTTCCTCCTTTAAGTTTATACGTGTCTGACGATTCTTATATAAAAGGTACGAATCCCTTAATCGAGACCTTACTTGCTAGTGACGCGAGGATGTAACAATCGGCGTAAAGAAAATTCCTTAGATTGTAACTTTTATCAAAACGAGAGGAACTGGTAACGGTTGTACAGCCGGTACGCGAATTAGATTCTGTATGGTCATCAATTTGTTTTTATACAAAAAAAAATCATAAATTATCTTACAAAACAAGTATTTTGAAAAGATAATTTTCAAAACATATACATAGGACTAAATTTACATCTTTTTCTTTTAAAGACAGTTCCGAGGCTATACCTAGATGTTAAACAAGCGGAATTTTCATAATCAGATCTTTCTTGGGTTGAGGTCAAAACATAAGCTTTCAAAGTCTGTATCAAATATTCATAACTGTTCTTATATTTTTTTCCTTCTCTTCTTTAACGAGTTCTCAGTTGTTTTTTGTTTGGGGTAAAGCGATAACGAAAATCATCAAAGCAAAAGTAGCTTATAACCGACAGTCTCAATCCTTTCATGATACATCGCACGTCAAAAAAATTGTTGAAATAAGGCCCCAAGTCTCAATTAAGTACATAAATCAGGCGAAATTAAGGCGTTCGATTATTTTAAAAAATTGAAAACTACAAGTTTCATACAGGTTATAAACATTACAGTTATAGGTAGTAATGCATATAAATGCAATGGTCACATACAAAACTATGTTTCTAGGTATTCCAAAAATTTGTGAATAGATATGAATGCCTGTAAGTACTAAAATCAACAACTGCGATCATTTTTTGGCTTTTCAAGACAACATTTTGAAAAGTTAATGCCAATTTTAAAACTATACAGCGTGTCCTTTTTAGATGGTCCAGCTGAATTTCTCTTGAACCAATGACGCTATCCAAAGTTTAATATTTTCTAGTCTAGTTTCAAAATTGTACTTTTTTGGGGAAAGTTATACAGGGTACCTCAGGCCCAGTTCAACATCAAAATTTCAAATACGACCCTATATATCCTGCCAAATCATTTTAAAGAAGATTCTACGCTGAAAAGAATGGTGCAATCGGATTCTAAATTGACATAAAATGACAAAATTTTGGCAAAAAGTTTGAAAAAAGTCTTTTGATTTGCTATTTATTAATCACGTTTTCGAACTGCCTGTCTTGCGTAAACATGCGAAGATCTGCTCATTTTAACCACTCTTCACCCGTGCTCGGAGCGATAGTCAGGGGAGATGGATCGACAAGCATTTTCTATCCTTCGCCGCACTTCTTCGACTGAGGTCGCTGGATTATGATTGGCGTAGACACAGTTTTTTAAGTGGCACCACAAAAAATAGTCAAGTGGAATTAAATCGGATGACCGAGGATGCCAACAGATCGGGCCATGACGTCCTATCCACCTATCTCGGAAGTGACGATTCAAATAATCAAATTACAATTAAAATAACATATCATTTGCAAAGAATTGTATGCCGTGCATCCATCAAGCTGGAGAATCCATTCTTTGTTGCAGAGGAACATCATACTGTGAACCACCTGATGATGACGAGAATATGAAATTCTCGGATTTTCCTCTGCCCACGTTCGAAAATTCAAACGGTTTAATTATGCCATTAGAGGTGAACTTGGAGAACGTTTTCTTCATTACAACATTGTTTTCAGCGTAAAAAAAATCCTGTATAATGATGTTTCAGGTTGTATACAGTCGTATTTGAAATTTTGAATTTGAACTGGGCCTGACGTACCCGGCATAATTTTTCTCCAAAAAAGGTAAAAAGTTGAAACTAGACTAAAAAATATTAAACACTTTTTTTATAGTGTCATTGGTGCAAGAGAAATTCAGCCGGGCCATCTAAAAAGGATACCCTGCATAATAATTATGTGAACATCATAATTTACATATATTACATCATGAAAGTTATTTAGAAATAAGAAATTTAAAAAAAATATATATAATCCAATTTTTTATACAACATAGAAAAAATTACAATTCATCGACCTAATTAAATAAGTATGATAAGTATTATCATTAAATCATATAGGAGCCGGCCCCTTTACGACCTGTGCACCGCAATCAGTATTGGTCTATTGTGCATAAGTATTATCATAGTCGATGATTGCATTTTCATAATGGAAAAACTGAAACATGTATAATTATGCTACACAGGAACATTTATTTAAATGAGAAAAATAACTACTACGACGGTAAATATTGGAAATCATGTTAAACATACAATACCGAGTAATGTAAATGATTTTTTTTTTAACTATCCAACTATAAACGACGTTTTACAACTTTAAAAACTACTAGTAAGCCATTTATAACTTTTTTTATGCCTGCGATGTATAAATGTTTGGTCCGCCTCTGATTCAATTTTCCAAATGTCCAAAAAGTTAAGGACGGCCAGAACTGTTACTGTGTCGACGGCGATGACCAAGTTACATTTGGAGGAATTCCTACTAAGAAGAAAGACGGCATTCTGAAGCGCGTTGAACATCGCGAAGTCCAAGCTTTGACTAAAAACAAACCCTAAGTGCAAATCGAGGCATTGTGCGGATAGTCAACATTTCTCTTGAGATAGACCCACGACATTTTGTA